AACCCATCCAAGCATTTTTCTATTTCCCAACATTTCCTTCGCTCCGTTATTAGTAAGTTTTTGTTTGCTATATCTTATGGAGTCACTTACAATCCTCTCGAGTCACTAAAACCGTCAAGTCATTTTTGGAATTTATGATATATATTCAGTTCCAGGTCTCTCCCTTTGTTGCATCATTCTCGCAATGGTGCCTTCCCCAACACCCGTTCCCCATCCGGGCCCTGCTACTGCTGGTGTGTCTCAAACATCTCTTCAACCAATTCCCAGTTTGCAGCCCCGCCCCCCGCTTCGGAGGGAAGGGGCCTTTATCTTCCTTTCACCAGCCGAACAAGCTATGGAAGATGCCATGATGAGGTCAAGCCCGACCCCAGAACCGGTTCTTGGGAAGCGAACGCGTCAAGTCGATGGTTCAACAGATGGTAATGATACTGAACCTGATGACGGACCCCCTTCGACAACGCAGCCTCAATCATTGCCTTCCATTAGCAATGTAGCAGCTGCGACTCTACGTTATGTATCGAAGAAGAAGCTTCGTCCCGAGCAACGTGATGAGGTAGATGCCTTCTTGTTGGTGAGTACTCCTTTAACGTATCTTTTGCGCTCGTGTCTAAACATTGACCAGGACACGGTGCTTGGACGACAGGCCAAGTTATTTGCATGCATCCTGTCCTCAGAAAACAAAATCGATACTTTCCGATCAGCTGCACCACCCTACCAATTATCTGACGAGCTTAAAGTATGTGTCAATCCTGTCCCCAGTGTCTCGCAGCTAAACTGCTTTATATAATAGACCAATATCACTAACTATGGCATAGCCGTCTTGCTTTCCGTCAATGTCAGTGCTTATAAGGGCGACATCCCTTGTAACCATGTTCTTGTCCGTATTTTGTCTATTACAGGAATGTTGCAATTAATCTTCCTACAGGATATTCTCAAGAGGTATCGTTTTGATTTGCCAGCGGGCATTGAGCACGATTATGCCAACTGGGAGAAGATATCAACGTTTGTCGGTTATTCACTAACTCAAACCCGCGCCAGAGTGAAGAAATTGGTATGTGTATTAATATTATTCCTCTTTTCAATGGAGCAATGGAGCGCTTACGCTTTATTGTTATACAGATTAAAGACAGTATAAAGGCAAATACCAATATATTTTCGCTTGCGCAGATGATTGTTCACTCCACGCCTTGTCGCACGACGATCCAGCTGTGCTCCCGTGTTGCGCTCATGGTAAGTGTCTTCTTGTCCTTTGTCCACAATATTGCCTTCTGAACTGGAGCAATTTTAGCGTGCGGTTCATGCCGAATGCAATGGTGGCGAAAAATTTTGGAATCTGACCGATGCACGCCTTGAATTTATCCGAACAAGAGCAGGATCCTCGGCCTCTAAAACAGCGAGGTGGGCTACCATCCCTTCATTCTTCTTCATTGATAATTAGCTGACATTCTATGCAGGGCATTCAATGAAATCCTGAAGATTGATCGAGCTACATACGGTGCGGCGGAAGAATATGTGATTGGGGATACTGTTCCCGATGAGTGGCAGCAGCGCGTTGATGATGTAGTTGCGGGGATAGATATAGTGTGATAATAACAGGGCATCAATGCGACTTCTTTTGATAAATGCACATTTTGTATGGGCCATTTTTCATGCCAGTCCCAACCTGAGAAACACTGCTCTAATAACCTAACTGACCTTGCTTAAGACAGGTGCCGAGGGCTTGAAATGTTGTAGGATTTTTGTGTTTAACAAATTGTTGAACCCCTCTGCAATAATAACTGACGGTGATTCAGGAGAGTCAGTCCTTGCTGGGTTGAATGATTAGCTACCGCCTTGTGAGTCGGCATGGCTGAAGTGCAATTTGTAACTGCAAACAATGGGCTGGAAATTGTAGCAAATGTTCGCCTTTACAGTGCATCGCACACGCCCCGGTACCAATCTGGACAACACATTCATACGGGCCAGTAGCTGAGCTGTTGAAACATATCACAAAAGCACAGTTGAGCAGACCTGAGACACAATTATAATAATGTAGATGATTTCATTTACGACGGGTAATTGAGGGCGGGAAATTGAAGCGAACGTTCGCCTTTACTGTATGTCGGATGGGGCCCAGTACCAATCTGGACAACACATTCATACGGGCCAGTAGCTGAGCTGTTGAAACATATCGCAAAAGCACAGTTGAGTGGACCTGAGACATGATTCTAATAATGTAAACGATTTCATTTACGACGGGTAATTGAGGAGGGGAAATTGGAGTGAATGTTCGCTTTTACTTTGGATCACACGGCGCCAACTACAAATGCGAACGACGCGTTCATACAGGCAAGGAGTTGATCTATCGAAAAGTATCGCAAAAACACATCAAAAAACATGCCGGTAGAGTAAACAATTTCATGGTATGAGACCAAATTAGATGGTGGTAGAAACAAGCCGAGGAAGATGGACAGCACATTGTTACAGGCAACCGTCTAAGCTACCAAAATTCATGAACGGCTTATCAGATTACAAGTGCTACCCACATTAAATGTAGTCACGGTGTCCAAATCCCAGAGTCAAACTGTCCACAATATTCCGCCCACGTCGACGCAACATTCCAAAAATACCTCAACTCCGTGAGAATTTCACGCTGCTAACGCGTTTCGCGGAAATGGCGGTGTAGGTCGGGTGACATCTGTATTTTGGGAGGGAATGTGCCTACGTCGTAACGTGACAGAGGCATCTTCAAGTTGAGCTGACAGGTTTGATGGATATACCTCCTGGCGTACGAGATGACGAGGGTTCGAGGTCAGGCGAATGTCATGCGCAAGAGCACAGTTGAGAGATATGACCTTATGCAGCAGCGAGATCAGGAATTCGAAAACCAAGGTCATAATGCCTCGAGGGTGCCATTCGTTTCCTCTCTACACTTCTCAGATACTCGTTGACAATTTGAACTACTTTATATATAGTCGACTCGATTAGGCGCCCATGGAAAGTTTGTTCAATGGACTGACCGTTCTAACTTCTAGACTTCTGGCGCCATCGGTTCGAATAGATAACCGTCAAATATTTCTCCAAAACGACATGTAATGAAGGGGAATCTACCGTATAGAAGCGCAGCCGCATGGAAGATTAGAAGAAGAGCTGAGTACTTTAGGGTTAACGTTGGGACCTGTTGGCAACGTTTGAGGTTCGACAGCCGGAAATGTCCGGCGGAGATTGATTCTGCTGTCCGGCATCATGCATCATTAGCCGTCCTGCATCATTATCCAGATTTCAAACGTTCGAACCGCCTCCAAATTCCAAAAGCCCTCTACTCAAATAACGGATTTTATGCTAACTCCGTACAAAAACCGTGACAACTCTAGGCTCTGCCTATAATTTCCGAAGTATCTCAAGTATGAGGAAGTCAACGTATTCACTGATGAGCAATCTCTTTTCATCTCTCACCGGACCTCATCGCCATGTTCTAGATACGCGTTGGGACTTCTTTGCCAACATCTCTGACTTCATACTCTGCCGAATCGATATCGGCCTAGGATGTTGAAATTCAACGATGCCGATACCTTGAAGATTGGAGGCATCTCCGCAGTGCGCTCCAGGGTGTAAGGCAACGAGCACGCAAAAGCGACGAGCATGCAAAAGCGACCTTCTTCGAAAGACCAGTGGCGCGCCAAGGGCCTCGAGATCGTCCCAGTTTCTGGCTGTTATGAAGCCCAGAAATTGCCGGATGATTGGGCGGATGTCTTCTGGGGAATTGGCCATAACTTCTTGCCTCGGTGTAACGCTGCCTGAGCCGATAACCTTTGTCGGTCCTTCGTGAAAGTTCGTCTCCAGGCTACCTTCTTAAATGCTAGAGCATGAAAATCCTGTTGGTTGGAGCTTTTTCGATGGCTATTTATCTTCACTCGCAGTTTCACATTCTCCAAAGAGTCGAGCCGAGAAATCCGCGTTGTGGGTCCCAACGGGAGTTAAAAAAGACAACAATGATCATCTTTCCTTGTTCAGACTCCTCGGCCTAAGGCTATCAGCGAAAAGTAAGTCCCAAGACGAGATCATCGCAACTATCCAACTGATTCTCTACACTAGGAATAAAATGCACAAAAGCAACCTACAACTCGAGCCCGAGATACTGGTATAGGGCGACGAAGTCGATGTATTCCCGAACACTTTGAATCCTTCCGTCCTTCACCACCATTTTGATGAGGCCATTATTCCGGTACGACTTTCCGTCAGGACCCTCGCCGATCGGCTCTCCCTCCAAAACTCCAGTGTCGCCTTCCACGGTTATGCCCAGAACCTTAAAGGTAAATGTATCCATTCCACCTAAGATAGGTTGCATTTGCTCGACCCGCTCGGTGTAAGGAGCGTCGCCAGCAAGGGGTATCTTCTTCTGAAGGCCGGCAACGAAGTAGCTGGCTTCTGGAGCGCCTAGGTTTGCGAGGGCGGTGAAGTTGCGCGCAGAAACAGCGTTGGCGAACTGCTGGATGACGCTTCGCACGATTTCTGTGGACGCGGACATATTGAGTTTTCGGATCCGGGGTGCTAGTGAGTTGCAATTTCTGTGAACGATAAGGCGTGAGCACGCTCAAAGGCATCCAGCAGGTGAAGCCAACGCACCTCTTCAGGGACGGTAAGTTTGCGTTGGTGGTCGCCACCTCCTCGTCGAGAGTATTTATCCTCTTCAAAACAAGAAGGTCGGCACTGGCTCTCGCTGACGCGTCGCTACTCGCCGATATCGCCATGCCTGACGCGTTCACCTGGCTCCTCAAGCCCTCGGGAGGGTTCTCACCGAATTCCCTTACTCCGCAATCAGAGAGCGGCCGGTCACGTACCATCACAGCCTGTGGGGATTGCAAAACAGCGAACTAGTCGACCAGTCGATTTTCGCCCTCCAAGAACGCGGTCAAATCAGATCCTAGCCCCAGTCAGGTCACTAGATTATCCATGGGCTACGTAGCAAGTATACTGGCTCGGTTGATCAGGTTGTTATAAGCTGACCCACGAAGTGTTTCGATTTTTCTTTGGTGAAGTATTCAGTAGTTCGAAGTGGTTGCTCTAGCATCCGCCAATTCTAAGTGCATGCAAGTATGCGCACATTTCTGCAAGTTTTCGGTAGCTCATCTGTGCAGTTTGGGAAAAATCTGCACATCGGACGGACCAGCCCAATAAATAAATTCACATAGTGGCACAGCTACGCACAAAAATCACGGTGCATTATGATATTGTCAGAAGAAACTCCTACTCAACAGAAACATCCACAGGGCAACGAACGTTATGTGACTTCTTCTTTGGTGCCTTCGAGAGATGACATGCAGCTCGAGGGTACATGGTGATGCCAATATTTGGTCCCTTGCTGAAAACTCAGAGGAAGGTGCCACGTCATGCGTGGTGCAAACGGTTCAAAATGGCTGGCCATTTGGGGTTTCGACAACGTCACCAAGATGAACGCCGCTCTCAAATCTGCCCAAGGAAATTAGACACGCCCCAGGGTCTGATACGCTTGACAGATTAACGAATCAATGAATAGCTGGCCTCTGCTCAACTTCGAAAGATAATGCAGTCATGGGTTGAGTGATTCGTCATTTCTGGACGAACGCTCACGGCAGGTATTTGCTTTGGTCGACTTCAGGATGTATTGAACTTTAAGTGGGTCCTTATCGAGACCTCGTGGAAAGCCTCATGATCTAGTCCATGAGAAGGGTGTCGAGGTTGGGGCCATTAGGCGCTGCATGTTGCAATTACCAGTCTTCGAATTTCCCAGAGGCGCTTCATAAAGCCTTAACGAAGGTTGTCATCATACCTGGGTCCGACAACATGTGAGACGGGAAGCAGCTCAGCCTGCAATTGTATGCCAGCACAATATGCCGGCTACTATGCCTGTAAAATGACTATATTATTTTGAGAAAACCCGAGGCTCAGGGGGTGCCCACCGGTGAGGTTGAAAGCTGGCCTTGAAAGCCTTGAGAATCAATGCCACTTTCTCCAACTGAAGCTCTGGTTACCTCTTCGAAACCTAAAAGCCACGTCATGCCACTTGGCAGCAGGTATAGACTGGACGAAGGACAGGTCCATTATTGAAGTTGTCTAGGTTCTCCTGGACCAGCGTCTGTTCACGAAATATCCGCGAAGCCGTTGAGAAAGCCTTGAGGAAGTCTACTTATCGCCGTTAAAACAGCGGTTGCCCAAAACCACAGACAAATCAGTCCTTATGGGTCAGGACGTCTGATCCTGAGGCCAAAAACACGCTCTTTCGACAACTTCTGTCGCGATAGCGTTGATATGGTTGAAGATGCCATCGCGGAGAACTTGGAATGTGCCATTTTGACCAACGAAGGTCGTGCAGCTACGATAAACCAGGCGATCGACGATGTGCTAGTTCGAGTTAGAAGTTGAGGAGCAGTTTAAAAATCTAGTTTCTGGCCTGGGAGCTTTTTGGGGAATTGGCACCTAAGAAAAGAAATCAGTCGCAAGTTTCTTCTTCCAAACGATGCAAAAATACCTTCTGAGCCAAGATATCTTTACCTGGCCCGAAAATAGATGAAAAGGGTTGCGGGGAAGCCGAAAAGAGGTAAGTGAATGGACGTAGTAACAGAAGCCGAAAACCCCGCCAAATAGGAAGCACTTCTTCCTCCCACAACGTCGTAACGACGACAATGCCCCAAGCACCTCGCAAGGCGGATGCGCAGGCTCAGCGTGCTCAGGATAAGGAGTCGAAGCGAGCTAGAGGTGCGTTGTATGGCAGAAAACGGCGCATATTAGCATTGTGACCCTTGGAAACAGGTGCCCTCTCTTGTGCTGAATGTCGACGGTGCGTTGAGCGTTTATTCTTGAACTTCTGGACGACATGGATGTTGGAAAAAAGCAAAGAGAAATTGCTCCAGTCCATAAGGTTCAGAACAAGGGGCAAACCTACAATCAAATGCCACCGCCGATCACGGAGGCATAATGTCGTTCCTTTGCTCATTCTATTTTTCTAGGCTGAAGCTGAAATGCGACAAGACTGTCCCATGCTCGAGGTATGTATTCAGCACCTTTATTCTTACAATAAGATGACGTTTCTCGCAAAGTTGCAAACGCAGAGGCTGCTCCGCCATTTGTCCAAATGGAAGTCTGATAACCGGTCAAGGAACTCGGTGCGTACGTTGAAGATGTCTAGTTACGCCAGCTCATACTCCCCTACAGCTTTGTCCTTGCAGACACCGAGAAGCTGCATCAGAAAATAGCGCATATGTCAGACCGAATCCGCCAGCTTGAGGACGCGCTTGCTATTCTGAGTCCCGGAGAGACCCATCCCCTCCTGCAGAGCGATTTGCTCAAAATCAAATCTTCTATTGAGCTACATTCCGCCGCCAACGAAGAGTCCCGGGAGCAAGGTGAAGGAGAGGACGAGGAGAGAGAAGAACAATACATTGACGCGTTCGGCACTTTGGCCATTCGGGACGACGGTGCAGCCACTTTCTACGGCAGGTCCGCAGGCTCAGAATCCCTCCTCATTGTAAGTACCGTCGGTGCTTTAAATTCCCACTAACTGAGCGGATTTCAGGGCGAGGACACTTCCCCTGGATCTACGTATTCTTCAATTTCAACACCTCCGAGAGATGAACCGTCTCCCCCTCAACGGTACAGCTCCTCTTACAGTGATCTCCAGTCTCTACCTCCAGCGGTGGCGACTCTTGCATCAGCATTTCCTCTTGCACCAGCACTCCCGCAACCTACGTCCACATCTTCACCCGTAATTGCTCCTCACCAGCCCGTTACACTTCAAATGCTCATCACACATTATCTTCCGCCATATGGCGAAGCGACGCGTCTAGTGCAGCTTTATCTCGAGCAGGCACCGTGGTTCTTCGGTGCCGTGACAGGTAGACAGCTGGAATCAGAAATAATGCCTCTCTGGTACGAAGAAGCCGTCAATGCATCGTCCACAACACCTCCCGCCGGTGGACTGGCATCCTCATCCTCTAGCAACCAAGATGGTGCGAAAGGTGCAAGACGAATAGGAACATCGCACGATCTTGCCTTGCTCTTCGTTGTCTTCTGCTTTGGAGCTTTGACGGACACAAATCTCCCGGCAGCACCAGACAATGCCCCTGCTGAGAGGTTCTATCAGCTTACCAAGGCGTCTCTGACGCTGGATCCTGGAGCGGGTATTGGTAAGGTTTATCGTTGGTGCTGAAGGGCAAACTGCTGATCTTGAATTTAGATATCAAATCATCCCGCAATGGAATACTTGAGCGACCACCTTCAGTGGCAACTGTCCAGACGCTCAGCCTGATGGCCATATATGAAGGCTTATGCAGCGGCGAGAACAGTATTGAGAGTACCTGGGCGTTAATGGGTCTCGCTTGCAAATTGTCGCAAAGTGTAATTATTTTTCTTATCCGCCATTGGTAAGGAATTCTGACCAGCCTCTGCGCGATAGATTGGCTTGCGTAAGTAATCTTTTTGGAAGGTCTCCTGGTGTTCGTCTTGATGAAGGCTACTCAGATCGCGACTGTGCACGTTGGAAATTGACGCCTGCGGAGGTGCAAAAGCGAAGGGCCTTGTTTTGGGAACTGTTCATTACCGACTGCTGGCAGGTTTGTTCTTTATGCCCTCATCACAGGCTGATATCTGATTGGACGACAGAGCCTCGCAACTGGCCGACTTGCCACTTTTTCTTTGCCCTTCGTTGACTGCGAATTACCGTTCGACCCTGACCAAACGATGGCTGACGACGGAACTGTTCAACCAAGCTGTGCGATTTTATCCCGCGAAATTCGATGAGAAATGTATTCACTTTCCGCCCAGTTCCCTTCTGGAAGGCTCGTTTCGGCGCCGAGTGTGTGGCGGCCGTCGTTCAAGGTACCTTAACCTCGCGTGCACCGAAATACTCCATCATCCTCGATCTCGACCGGAAAGTTCGCGATATGGAGCTTCCTGGCTATGCCCAGGGGCCGGTGCCTCAGGGCCTTGGATTGGCTCAGACTATGTCTCACTTCATGCCTATCAACTACCGAGAACTTAGTAGGTATTCTTTTCTTCATGATTCTATTTGCTGACTGTGGTTACCATCCTTAGCGCTGCTCTACATCCATCGTTGTTTCTTCGCTCATGCTATCTCGAGTAATCCTCTCGACCCTATCAAGAGCCCATACGCTCCTTCATTCCTTGCTGGATACCGGAGCGCCTGTACGATCCTCGGTTCTGTGAAACAACAATTCACACTTTTCCCCGCTCAAATCGCCAGATTCTGGGTGCTTTGGACTCATGCGTTCTCTGCCTCAGTACGTGACTATTCTTGTGATTTTGACCTTGCGAATCATGGAATACCTGTCACATAGGTGATGCTGGCTTCGGTCGCGACACACAGCTCACGCTCGAAGATGGCACCTGCTGCGTTGCTGGAGATCAAGAATGCATGTGATCTGTTCGAAGAGGCTGCGCGCTATGGGGGACGGGCGGTTAAATTCCTGGTGGGTGGGATTTCGGGTTCAGGAGCGACTTCCGGTCGTCAATCATTGATACCTTCTATGCGCATATAGCCTATTCTGAAGCGCTTGCAAGCGAAGGCTCAGAACGCCTACCGCGAAGCTAACAGTGGAGCAGCTCCCAACATTCCAAACGACATCTTTAAGCCTTCGCAGCCTGATGAGGCGAAGGACGAATTGTCGATTTTCAGTGGCAAGACTCATACCGTCAGCACCAAATCGGCTGCAACTTCGAGTGCTCAGGGTTCATCTATGAGTTCTCGAGCAGCAAGTGACTCGCCTCAGCAGGCCTTCACGGATAATCCATCATTTGCCAACGTTCATCCCAGTCTCATAACTGAGTTGAACATGTTCGATGGTCGTATCAAAGCGCAAATTCAGAATGCTTACCGGACTGGCGGAGAAGTCTTCGGTGGTGGGCCGATGACGGTTGACCCGATATCAAGAATACCTCCAGGACAACAACAAAGGCTCCCACAGCCTCCGCAGATGATACGGATCCAGCAACAGCACCAACAGCACCAGCAAGCAATGTATCAGGCCCAGCAAGCGCAGTACCAGCAACAACTCGAGCGGGAGAGGTTGGACAGGGAGAGAGAGGAAGCAGAGCGCCAGGAGCTCGAGAGGCAGGAGCTAGCGAGGCAACAACAATTACAACAGCAACAGGAGATTCAACGTCAGCACGAAATTCAGCGTCAGCAGCTGGCGCAACAGGAGGAGATTCAGCGACAGCAAAGGGCTCAACAAGAACTGCTCCAGCAACAGCACCAACAACGGCAGTTGGAGGTGCAGCAGCAGCACGCCCAAGAGCAACAGAGGCAAGAGCAGTATCGTCAGCAGTTGGAGATTCAACAACAACAGTTACAGCAGCAGCAACAGCTTCAGTACCAGCAACAGACCCACGAAGCTCAGCCTCCGCAGTCTGCTTATGCTTTGACTACCAGCTCGCACAGCATGCCGCCACCTCCCGTACATCACCGAAGGCAGTCATCTATTCCCCAGTCCCAGACCGTCGCTCAGCAGAGCTACCCACAAACCTATCAACAAGCTCAGCAATATCAACCACCTTATCAATACCAAGCTGCGACCTCTCAACCTCAACAGTCCGCTCATATGCCTCAGTCTGCGATCACACCACAACACACTGGCGTTTCACAAGTCACACATACCGTGAACCTCCAATTGCATTACCAACACTCCGCGCCGTCAGCCCCTCCACCGCCACCACACGCTCACATCCTACAGCACACAACCACACCGCAACATACTGGCGGAACTCAAGTCCCTTCGCACAGTGTTGTTCCTCAACAGCATTCGATGTATACTACGTCATCCGATTACGCTCAACAAACAAATCAGGAGTCCTCCAGAAACTATAAAGCTATCACATCTCCAGGTACTATGGTCACCTCTGCCGCCTATAGACAACCACCCGATCCATCTACCTCATCGTCATACGTATCAGATACGTACAAGTACTGGCCTGCGGCTTCTGGCGCATTCGCGATGCCTGATCAGCAGGCGTCGAGCAGTTACGCCGCTCCAGCTCCGCAATACTACCAACATTATACACCGGAAGGCGCGCTTCGTGGCATTGCTGCTGATGATCGCAGCCTACAGGAGACGTGGCAGTCCTACATGAACAAAGTACGTTCTTGCTCGTTTCGCCTTGTGCCTGTATTTATGACACATGTCTGCGTAGGTTGGCTCCCCTCGTCAATTCCTTGACGACTGATACTCCCCTTTCCTGCTGGCTCGTATCCGCGAACCAATAGCTACCCACTATCATCTACATAAGTGGATTTCGCCGAGCGAATATTTTGCGCCATCTAATTTCGCACCATGGATATATCTTTTATCGCCGCACGACGACTTCAAGGTTTCTCCACTGGAAGCACCGTCCACGCATCAGTCTTTTTAGCCCCTCGTTCGCTTCTATCTCATATCCTCACTCTTGCTATTTTCACTTCCCCTCTCTATTGCTTTGCTGTATTTCTTGCTGTCTTGCTTTCCTGTGTATCTTGATGTTCAGTGGTGTGCTGTTTTTGGAGGCATATATGAACGGGCTCCTGTTCCATAGACTTAGTTGAACATAATTACATAACGAGTTGACTCAGTCGATTGTAAAGTACAGTTAGGCGAGATATCGTTTCCTTCCTCTAGGGTTAGACACTCGTGATTGAACTTAAGTCACAAAGAGTGGCATTTAAATAAGGAACGTAAGTACTAGTAACGATGTCGATGAAGTGCTATGGCATTTACGCAAGTGAAAAGCCGAGAATACCATACAGGTTCTGTATTCATAATTAATTCTCCACCATACAATCTACTTGGCCTTGCAGAATTTGCTGCAGTCTTTAGCCTACAGTACGAATTAGCATTTGTCCATCGCCAACACGTTTTGGGTAGCATACCTCTTGCGCCGTGGCATATTTGGCGCTGCAGTAGGGACACATGTAAGTCTTGGGCTTGGAGAGCTTCCCACCGCGGCGTTCGATGCGCATGGCGAGTTCATCGACGAGGTCACGGGTGGAGAACTCCTCAAGAGTGCCGGCACGGGCGTGGTAGTCGAGAACGAGCTCTCTCGCGTGGAATTCATCGAGCCAATCTCGGGCCTCGAGCTCGTTGTGGTCCTAGTAATAAACAACAGCTGGTAAGGTTTGACTCTGCGTGAAGTAGGATTGCATCTTACAACGTGCGCTTTTACGGCTACGCCAGCGACGAGGGCGACGATGTAGAAGATCGAGGAAAACTTCATGATTGTAGAGGAGGCGGTAAGTTCGATGAGGTGATCAAGAGACTTGTTCTGAAGCTGCAACCCGAATACCAAGGCCTATAAATACTCTGCAGGACGCTGACCAAGTTACTAATTAATCATTCCTTGGAGATCTTGTTTTTTGGATGGCCGGCTTCGACGGAAATCATAAACCCTCATGCTGTTTTCCTTTCCTGGTAATTTTAACGTGTGGCGCGGCTCTTTCGGCAAGCTTTGACGCCTGATGCAAGTTGAAACATGAACAAATATGTGTTTATTTCGAGCAGCGAAAAGGGAGACCTCCGACGAAAGTAATGCTAAACAGCCTACGTACCAAAGAACCAGCAGAATCATTAGATTATGCCAAAAATATAATAAGTAGTATCCTTCAGGAGCATTTGCTCGATGAGCTCTTCTTGGCCCTTGCGCTATTTCCGCTGCCCCTCATAAAATGGGGAGAGTTGTTACTAGGCCTAGATGACTTTACATGGCCTTGGCTGCTGAGCCACTCCTCTAGCTCGTCAACAATCTCAGTCCTTGTCTCCTTGAAGCCCGCAGTACAGCATTGACCCGATTTTCTTCACGTCGTCCTACTCCCCTGCACTGTTCAAGACTCCAACTTGAAGCCCCACTTGTAAGTTGTAGATCGCCATCATTCTGATGCCCTCATTGAATAGCGGCTTGATAACGGCAGCAACGGCAGCAACTGCAAGATGTAGTTAGACAGGTTTCGCCTCCCTCGAACCCGACGCAGCGTCGTTTCCTCCATTCAGTTCGAATTTGAAAGTTTCAATCAATATCCTTACAATCGCCACATATCAACAGGATCAGGTGCAGGATCAGGTGGGACATAAATAAATCTTCTTTCGAGTGACAATATTGATGTCCCCGTAAGTAGGATAGATGATCCTCCTTGCTTGGATTTAGGTACAAAAATCTTCGAACCTTGAAGGAAGGAAGGAGGACGAGTTACGTAGCACCTAAGTAAGTAGTGTGGCATAAATAATCAACATACGATACTTCCATTCCAAAATAATGCGAATAGTCAACCACTAAACTCCAGCAACAAGAGTGTCTAGGCAGCATGCAATCAGTCATCGTAAGAACCTCTAGCGAGCCCCATTCTACTCGAATACTCCGCCAACCGTTGCCGTCTAAAGGCCCTTACACAGCCCTTTACCCCTTCTAACCTGCGCCTGACAAAGCTCGATCTCGGTGGGCACTGCCAGTATCGAGGCCAACAAGATGCCCGTCGAGTCCGCAAACCCGATGGAGCCAATGCGGAACTCGCGCTCCTGCCGCGTCTGTTCGAGGTCGTTGTTCCCCGTGCGCGGTGCGTTGTAGAGCGTATTCTGGTCTGGGATCTCGTGGTTGATACGGTAGAAGACGTTGACGCTGCAAGGCCACTGGAAATTTAGGAAGAGATGAGGGGAAGGGAAGGGGAGATACGAACTAGGCTAGACCTCCACATATACCCTCCACGCTGACAAGCGCGAAAACAAGGAGGATGCTCCATCCGTTGGATTCTTTGGAGGATTCGGTGCCGGGTCCGAGCACGCCAACGGCCGACTCATACGCAAGCGTCAAAAGGATGAGAAGCTGAACAATTGCTGGCATTGGTAGAAGGCTGGCCGGAAGGGCAGGGAGACCAAGAGAGATGGACGAGCGCGAGAGGAATACCGTCGTTTGGTAAACGAGCTAAATCAGCAGGTCAGCTTACCAGTAAGAATATTGCTTTCAGTCCCACAAACCTGCCAGAGAGGATAGTAATCCCGTACGCTGTGGATGATCTTGCTCAAGAGCCAACTCTCATCCTTGTCCGGGACTGGGTAGAGGAGAGTAGGTCCAATGCCCTATTAAGGGGGAAAAGGACGGATATCAGGAGGAAGATCAAGCATCTTGACAGCGAAGTCAAGAGCAAATAAGGGAGAAAATGACATACCTGATTGATAGTGTACTCAAACTGGCAAAAAATAAGTGGATCAACAAACGGGAGAGTACTCAAGTCGTGACTGACGACCTACAAGGTACACGCAGACTACAACAGAGGGACCGCATGAGTCTCCGTCCTATAAAAACAGGGATACGCACTCACATAGAGGCACCATGTACTTCCCGAGCAAAGGCTTCACAAGCCTCCACTTATCTGCTGCACTGAGCGCAACGCCTCTCTTCGGCCCCGGAGGTAGGGTCCCTTCCTCTTCGCCTTCTTCGTCTATAGCCGCGGCAAGAGGCGTATAAGGAAGAGCAGAGAGTGCTGGAGGAGGACTGAAGGCGTCTTGATATGTCGCCGGGGCACTCTGTGTCAGGAAGGCGGAGGCGTGTGGCAAGAGGAGGAAGTAGGTGAGTGGGATGACGGAGGGCATTATCTATAGAAAAACCCCCGCTAATTAGCTGGTTGTGTTGGAAAAGCGGGTTGGCATTGACGACATACCGAGGAAAGCCCAACACCTGCCCGTACACCTAGCCCACGCATCTCCCACCATAAGAACGCGCCTACGAGCCCGGCCGCACCAGTACCGGATGCAAAGTAGCTGCAGATAAAGGAGGATGGGAATGAGACTTCCGTTTGGTTTTAGCATTGGAAAGACTCCGCACCCAACGGCATGGCCTGCTATGAATGGTGGAGAATACGTTGTCGACAATTGAAGGAATGTAAGTTCTCCTAGACCTGTAGAAACAATCAGTTAGGAAGAGCATCAGAGACCAAAGTGTGGTCAGTGAGATACGAACCGGATGAGAATGACGCAAAACAAATGCCCAGCAGCCTCATGTACAAGCTGTCAAACCCGGCTACGACCTGTCCGTGGCGCAAGTGCAAGTGAATACAAATCCTGGTATGATAGCATTCATAACTCACGAGCATCCCCAGAGTGCTAAGAGTGCAGCACCCCAGGAGACGTCTAGCGTACCGAATTCGACCCTTCAGAATGTATGGCCATCCCACCTTGGCGACCAACGCTGGCGCGATGTTACAAAATGCGATGATACCCTTCGGTGTCGATGGAGGGACGAGGTCGAGTGCCGCTGAAAGGATGATAACATAGAGGACTGGAGATGCAGGGTCGTTAAGGAGTTCCGCGAATCTAGACACGACTCACCATTATTTATGAGTCCGAAGAGAAAGAACGAGATTCCAAGTCGGCGCAAGAACTTTTGATCTCTTTCTGAAAGTTTCTCATAACTCAAAGCAGAAAAAGCAGATTGGAATAAATTACACACCTTTCTGCTCCTTGAAATATTCCGGTGTGTCGCCTACTGGCGTATGGTGGTCCAGGTACTCGTCCTCGTCATCTGGAAAGGTAATCGAGAGTTCAGGAGGTGCGAACGTCGCTCTTCGAGGCATTGTCGCTACGCTTTCTTGTCGTCGGGCATTGAACCTGTGCGTTGACCTCAGCGGTAGACCTTGAGGTCGGCGAGGAGACGACCGTGACAATGTTACTGCTGACTTGTGATGTGACGGTGACATCAGTCGCTTGAAGTTCAACGTCAACGTTCAACCACTTGAACCCGGCGTGTGTAACAAGTTGAGAACTCCGTCGTTATTCTTCACCTTTAAGCGCCAAGGCCCCGAACTTTGGTCTTATCTGCGATCTATCATGGCGCGGGGCCGTCCAGCAACCAAAAGCTCTCAGAAACCACAAAAGATGACCTTCTCCAAGGTCAAATCGACCTCAAAAGCGCGGAAGTCGAAAGGGGAGGCTCCGAGCGGCCCATCTCCAGAGGAATTTGCTGCGATGTTGGAGTTTCAGGCCTGTCTTGGTGAGCACTTTACCTCATGGAAGACATGACAGCATTTATTGAATCTCTTTTGGATCTAGTTGATGATAATGATAAACACCATCATACGTTCAAGAAACACGATACGTGCGTTGCCGCCGGATGGGACTGAAAATGGCCCTAAGTAGAGGTTAACGACTGTACAGTATCGCAATTTTGCCTAACGGCTTCTCCCCCGGAGACCCTATCGAGCCATGGGAGCATTGGGTTGGCAAAATCAAAGAAATTCGCGGTGAAAGGTATGCCGACGAGTCGAACCTTGTGAGAGTCATTGACGTCATTCCATTGAAGAAACGTTGACCTCATCCCCTAGGTTTACGCCAAAGTGCAATGGTATTACAATTCGAAGGATGTAGCAGGCGTCATCAAATCATTGTGTGTCCACAATTTCCTTGCTAGAAAGACCAAATGTTCAAACTGCTTTCAGTGACCCACAAGTAGTCGGTCAGTTCGAACGTATCTATTCCGACCATTATGACCTGGTTGAGCCTGAAGCTTTCGACGGTATGCCCATGCTTTCTCTGTAAATTCATCTCTGTTATACACTGTAGGCGTCATACCATTGTACAAATTCAATGAAGAAGACCCAGAACAAACGTATATCCCTAGAGATTCCTTCTTCCGCAGATACACCTTCGAGTACAGGGCTCGTAACCTCCAAGTACATTCTCTTTCTTATTGTCGTACCGCTAGAGTGACCACTGATCAATCTCAGCCCAAACCCGGCGCAGACTCATGCATATGCCACACACCCTACAACCCCGACGATACCGAGCTCGCTAACTTGATGCATTTCTGCCCTCGTCCTTCTTGTCGAAGAGCATACCACCACGGCTGCCTCATTGCCGCCAAATCAAAAGAAAGCCCGTCCGAAACTTCAACAGGTGCGACCTCTATCAGGATAGTGCCTCCGAAAGGGAAGAAAGACGAAGAAGATGGCAAGTCCACAATCGCCGTCACCCGAAGCCGGAGTGCACAGAAGCAACCCGAACCCGCTAAACGCGGACGGCCGAAGCGCACTAAGCAGAAGGTAGAAGAGGAGGATACGGCTTCGCTGGTCGAATCCGCATCTTCTGCTCTGATAGCCGGGCTGTCCAGCAGAGATCTACGCCTTCTTGCCTGCTCGCCTGATACGGACGAAGTTGTGGACCTCCAGGATCTGGTTCCCTTCAGCTTATCATCAGCTCTGAATGGACTGGAGAGCGAAGAAGAGGACCAGGACGACGAAGATGAAGACGAGAAGGACGCTGTCGCTAAGACTGAAAGTTCAGATGAGGTGTCCGCCATGGAGGTTGAAGAAGAACCGCCAAAGAAACGTAGAAGGGGACGTCCACCGAAGGTCAAGCCCATCATCGCGGAGCCAGACGTCATCCGCTCGCAGCCCAAATGGAAACTCGAGCCAACGTCTCCAGTGTCCTCTTCCTTCCCCTCTGGTGCTACCCATTCCCTCTCCAACACCGTCAAGAAACCCGCATTCGCCTCTCCCACCGTCAAAAAGCCCTCGTCCTTCGGCAAACCATCCAAAGCCAAAGGAAAAGCCAAAGGAAAAGCCAAGTCCTCTCGAACAACACGGGCCTCTCAAAAGGCAAAGAAACCCAAGCTCCAACCTCAACGCGTCCCGCTAGCCACGCTGCTCTCTGCCCTTCCCCCAGAGTTCCTCCACGTAGCCACACAGCCCATGGTCCGAGGTGGCGCTTTCGTCAAGGGCGGCGTCAGCGGGAACGTGGGCATCATCACTCGTGCCCGTAGGATGGTCTATGCGTACCTCGCCGAAGCAGGTGGCGGGACGGGCGGGGCTGACGTCGAGGTATGGGAGGAGAAGGTATTCGGAATGAGCGTAGACGAGCAGGCGCAGGAGAGAGCCATCGAGTGGGACAAGGAGAACGCGGCGCAGGCAGGCCCGAAGGGCATCGGAGTAGGGATAGGAGGTCGGGATTCACTGGACATTGTGGGTTTAGAGAACGCGATTGTGAAGATCGATGGCTCGAAGAAGCCTCTCCCCCTGTTTGTGTGCCCGAAATGCAAGAGTGCTATCTGAGAGTGTCATTGGTTAATGTTTCTCGTTTCGTGCCCCTTCTTTTCAGAAAGTTGGACCGTTTCCTACTCATGGTCTTCACGACTTATGGGATGCTTTTGCTCCTGTCTTGCGTATGTATATATGCGGACCCGGTTTTCCTGTAGCTGCTCTCAAATCGCCTCCAACGACAAGTCATGAATCTGTATTATCTACTCTGCTTGATGTTTTCTGTACATTCGACTTGCTTTGATGATTATTTAATACACTAAATACTTCACGACGCCATGTCTCTGCCCTTCAAGAGGGCTGTGAATGGTAGAATACAATTCTAAATTAAGAGCAGCAAAATAAGGCCATGTATGCGGATGGGAAGCGAAGCATGTGGTATATAGGGGTAGAAGAAAAAAAGGCGGAGGCTACCATCAACCTCGATATGTACATCCTACGAAGGGCGGGGCTTGCTATGAGCGTAGCATAAGTCCCGCGTGGTTGAGGACGTTGATGTACGATCCATGCTGTTTCCTGACGCCGACTCCGCAATCGAGTGGTTCCGGATCAAGCCTCTTCGCTCGTTGAGAGACTCCTGGTCATGGCCGTTCATCGGCTGGTACCCAGATCGACCGCCGAAGCCTGGGCCTGAGGTGCTAGGTAGGCCGGGCGTGGGTTTGGGCTTGCGGAAGGTTGTCATTGAACGGCCGAGGCTGTTCACGACGCCCTGCAACTTGGGCAACCCAGTGTGGCGGGCAGCCTCCACGAGTTGCTCGCGCGGGGCATTGTTCTTGGTCGATGATGAGAAAGCAGACATAGAGCGTTTGTTGGCTTGCTTTCCGGAGAGCGTTGAACTCGTTATGAGTTCTGGTGGGAGGATGTCGGAGAAGGACATTGGGGCTGCGGCTTGGTGGCCCGGATACGGAGGGAGAGTTCCACTTCTGTTAGCTATAATGAGAAGAAATAGACGTCAGAAGGAATAGAGGATGAAGAATACACAGTTGGAGCTGACAATGAGCAAATGCCCCAGGCCGGACACGGTCAACTGAGGCCGTCGAGGATGATAGTGGGGTCAGTCGCCCATATTCGACATCTGGCTCGCCCTGGTAGTGCACGCCCGTATTCGTGTCAACGAAAGTATATCTTCTCGTGTCCGCATCGTAGCTGATTCGCTTAAATCCCTCTGGAAGGCGATACGAGTCCTAAATTGGTTGAAAATCAGGTTATTTCAGGTTCAACGCTTAGTGGCATGCCAAAAATACATGCCTCTTCATGCTGTGTCCACTGGGAAGGCATTGCGCTATGTTTGAGATTCAGGACTTTCGTTTCCCTTTATATGCGCCTAAACATTGAAGAGGACAACGGGTATCGCACAAGTCAAGTGTGGCGGCAAGGGTTATGTGCCGCCCCGTTGTTAATGAGGTCATTAGGATTATGTTTTCTCACGGGTCAATACAAGAAGCGCCCATAACTTGGCCTAAATGGAACCAAAATGCATCTTGGCACGCCACTTAGCCTAGTGCATTGATCGCCTAAGTGGAGCCTAGGTAGTTACAACAGTGTTCAGTTACAAGGGCAGTTCAGGAAGTGGCACGAATCTACGATGATCGCTCTGAGGCCCATCGACTTCACCAGTCTAGAGTATGGCCATCAAAGAATGTATGTAGCCCTCTTCCCAATGTACCAAGCGTCTACAAATTCACCAACAGGTGGAGACTAATTCTTTGATATTCTCTCAATTTGTGGCGGACAAGTTACGACCTCGATTTGACCTCGAAAATTCCGTCATCTTCCAAGACTCGCTAGTCAGAGTATAAGATTGAACGAATGGGTGGCTAACTGCCTCGCTCCGGTCGACCCATATCACCCTTCGTCAGTAGCCTCAGAACGGGCTTCAATGGATATCCCCGAAAAGACTTTTGAGGCTTCTCTTCGCCTTATCCGACCGACGATCGGCAGCTTATAATTAATGAGAAAAAAGAGACTAGCGACGCTGAGCTGGAGTGAAACCGGAAGCCACAGGACGTGTGGCCCGGAGGGGGTTTGGTTCAAAGATGAGGTGATCTCGCCAACAGTATCGACCGCCTGGCCAGGTGTTTAATAGGGAGATATTTTTGACAAATGGATATAGGAATTGAGTTATTCAATTCACCGCCGAATTTTGAACCTTTCACGCATCCGGACTCGTGGGTTCTAGCCATTTTCAGAGGAGTTATCTGGGACGGAACCCGAGGCATCACTCGCAGCTGCCGTAGCTGCTGAATAAAGACCACTTACCACTGAATGAGATCGAAGGTATTGAATTTTGAGTCGTGAGGTGCGCAAGTACCCCACTGCGTGACACAAAGTTTACCTATGCTTAAGTGAGGTGTGTCCAAGATGACGTTCAACCATAATTATGAAACCTAGCAGACAATCGTGCGCCTCGGCTTCTTGCAATTGGCTGAGATGAAAGGAAGAATGTAGTAACCTCTCAACGCATCCCCGCGTGGATCGATGGGAACCACGAAAGCGCGACATATTGTATGCGGCCCTGAGCTTCTTATCGGCTTTTCTTCCCCCTTCAAAGCCTGTTTGCTCTTCTTCAGTGCCTCAACACGGGCTTATATGTCGACAATCTCCTCTCGAATAGCTGATACCAAGTCCTCCGTTGATCTTTTGTACGCCGAGTGTTCGTCCAGTTTTTCTTCACAAGGGACGGTGGTTGTATTGCCTGTGGAAGGTCGATGTTGACCTATAGACGGCTCATTAATCACTCCGAAGAGGCCATAAATGTCCTTGAGCGCACCTATCGTATGTCGTGCTTCTACGAAACCCTCCGATTTCAATCAGGTTCTACATATCATGTACGTGAACACCTGCGATTCCCGGTTCTTCACCCGAGTCGTTGGTGTATACGATTTACGTGCATACCGTACGAAATGAGTGCTGTGAAAAGGCCAGCGCAAGCGCTGGGTTCCCCATCGATCGTCTCTGATTCCAAACCATCGTCACGTTGGTCTACGTAAGTGGAACAAGCACGTGGGAGCCTAAAACAAGCTTCGCATCTCCGAACTTTAGAATTTGACTGAATAATTCATTAACAATCGTAGTCACTCAACGCTTAACACAGACCCCGGCCGGAGCCTGTGATTTAGTTGGCGTGACAGGAGGGATCGATGGCGTCAGTGTGGCGCACACATTTTGCCGCCGTGGAATTTCCAAAATGGGACGCCCATCAGAACCGACTGAGGACACAGGATTCTTTCAGCTTCGATGGATATTACGTAGTCTCACTTTTCAGATAGATCAAAGTCATAGTTATTGGGACAGTATCTGAGGTACAATTTAATCGTAAACTTCATCAAAGGCGATGTACAGAGCTCGAGATATCTGCATTTCCAGTGGAGACTGGGTTACATTGAGATAAGACTGAGAGGCGCAGGAATTTCCAACTTCGAAGAATATTGACACTATGGCTTGGAAGGACTTCAAGGGCAGAAAGTGAGAGTGTAATCAGCCTTGGAGGAAGACGGGCAGGTCCACAACGCCGTGCCGCTTGATTCGTCGTAAGCGTATGCGTATGACCTGGGGCAGTTGTTTTCTGGAATAACGTTAAGGGAATGCTTGTCCAGCCTATTTAACTGGACTCACTGAAGTAGCTGTAGTGGGCAACACCGGAGGCCGGGCAGGTTGCTGGAGTGCTGAAGCTACCTGAGCAGCAATTGCGCGAATTTCCTGGAGAAGATAATTTCGGTTTTCAAAGAGCTTCTATACCGTACGATAGCTCCAACTGCGCTTACCTGGGTTACCGTCGAGGTTGGCAGAGCATGCCGATTTGCACCCGACAGGGAATCCAGTCGAATCGTATGGTCCCTTCAGGGGAGCAGGACCTATTGATATGTTGGTTCGTAATCTAGTATGCACGAATACTTGACTTACAGTTTGGACCGAGGTCGACGGCACACTCGGCGACCGGGCAACCCTTGTTGTTGCTGATGCTGTATACGAAAGGGGGTCTTAGCAAGGCCAAGAGCGTCGAGTCGGTTGAACAAACCGCATCGGAAGGTTGTATCCGTCGACGAGCGATACTAAGGTTTTTTCATCGTCAGACGTGAGTGGTGTTTTCAGTCAAGGTATACATACCATCGTACCAATCCTGGTTGCCTGCACCTTCCAAGGTCCATTCAGCAACAGTAGCGGGGGGAACACCCTGGTACAATTGTTAATAAATGGAAGAATTGTCCAATGATCACTGACAGTTCCGGTGCGAGGGTTGCACTGAAGACCACCGTTGCAACCTCCCGTGAGGCAAGAGTTGGGACCGGGGTTAGTGGCGAAATTGCAGTTGCGCCGTCCCTGGAAAGAGAAAGTGAGGAGTTATGAACATAAAACATCGACGCTTACCCAAATCCTGCCCGCTTTCCAATTATCAGGGACGGTGAAGGACACTTTGGTCCAGGCCTTCGCTTCCCATCTACGACAGAAGTAATAAATGACGAGACTGGATCCACAAAACTGTTTAAAACCACCAACCCGGTCGTAAAAGCAGGGACGTTGGGTGCAACGTTCAAGTCCGTGAACATCTGGATAACCGTCAACAACCCCGGAAGAATGGACGTGTGATGAGAACAATACCGCTGGCCTATAAATCGTGATGCACCTAAGACAATGATATAAATTGAAAGGCACGATAGACAAACCAGATAGTGAAAGGGCAGGCATTGTAAACCTATGGGCTAGTTAGAGGTATTCGACGAAGCAAAGCCGTTAACACAGACGGTGAAGGTGCGAGCAGCGGCTCCGGAGACGAGAACTAATGACACAGCGATCAAGCTCTTCATCGCGAAAGAGAGCGGAGTGTGAGAGGAGAAGTAGATGGCTACTAAGGAACGTACTTGACTGCTCTCCTTATATAGAGCGAATGCATGCAGTTTCCTTCGATAAGACACGAGAATGTCTGATGATCCCTCGTGGCTGGCGTTCTCGAGACTCGCTCAGGTGGACCGCGGGAGGCCTAGCATTTGGAGAACCAAGACTGCCTGCCCATGAGGTTGCCATCGGTTCGAAGTGGTCATGCTGAGATGTGATGTAACGTTGAGTCGCCTAGATCGCGTAGGCGCCGTATTCGACGATCTGAAGAATGAACATGAACGTCAGTGGACAGAAGGAGATGCGACAATCTTCCGTTCGCCGTTCGGGATAGAGTTGGGAACCACTTCGAGCAGTACATCGTCCAATCCGGCTTCTTCAGGTGATTATCTACGAGTCAGCCGATACTCAGCCGACTGAGAAGTTAGAACAGCTGAGAACAGATCCCGGAAGTCATCGCACCGCCGACTGGTCAATAAGAATTGCCCCATTAATTTTAGGTCTGTTCTCCATCAAAATATGTGCTGAAGCCGAGCACTCCAGAGAATGCTTCTCTGGGCCACTGCATGGTCGGAGAGACCTACAATCTGGTTCAGGAAGCACCGTTGTTTCCTTTTGAGCTGAGGGCGCTACTTGTGGCAAGTGCCGCCTGATCGGGTGGTCAACTCCCAAGGTCAGATGCGAAATGTTTACTGACATATTCGGTCACATAGATGCAACGCTGCCAAAATACAGGGTGTTCATTTCATAAATATCGTCACTGGGTTTCTCGGAAAACATAAAGAAGCTCGAGAACGAACCGAAAGACACAGGTAAGGAGGTCCAGCTGGAACAGGAATCGAGAGCTTTGGGTCCAGGGTTCTCCACATTTGCGGCAGTGGGCGGAAGGTTAAGAATATAATCGGCCTCGAGACCCGAGTCATCGGTCTCGAGAGAGCACCGCCTATATAGGCAGCCTAGGTTTGTAGGCATAGCTGTAGGCCTAAAGACAGTTGCTCTTGAAATAGCTGTAGAGGGCTGCGCCTACGGACTGTGTCAGTGAAGATTTTAGGGTATGATAGTAGCCCTCACCGGAGCTTGGACAGGTCGCTGGAGTGCTATGACAACCAAGACAGCACTTCACCGAGCGGCTTATGATGGATAGAGGTGAGCTAAAAAGCTATTCTCGACAAAAATAGAAACATCTGACGAGGATTTCTGTTTAGGTTAGCCATGTAAGTACTCCACTGGCACCCTGCTGGAAATCGTGTCGAGTCATAAGGGTCTTTCAACGGACCGGGGCTTACAGAATGTTAAGGACAATGAAACGCGTAATGACAACCGGGACCGATATCTAGGGGACAAGAAGCCCGGGACATCCTTTGCCGTCGTCGATTCCCATTGGCAAATCGTATCCGTTCCTGAAAGAGGTTCAGAGATGCACGATTTAAGTTCCGGAACGTCCGTTAGAGAAAAATCGATACCATCATAGCAATCCTTGTTTCCGTCGCTTTTGACAGTCCGTTCAGCAATAGTAGCGGGAGATACGCTCTGTACCGAAGTCAGTCGATGCAGCGTTCAGGCCTACACGATCACGAGAAAGAATGTTTGAGTCAACACAAAAGGACACCGAAGAAACGTAGCACAACACACAGATAACAAAGGGACAAGCATTGTAAACTTGTGGGTGAACTTATTTCCTCGACTCTAGCAGACATGAACACGAAGAGACGAACGGTGACGGTTCTACCTGATGCAGCGGGAAGGATGCTGAACAAGAGAGCCTTCATTGCGTTCTCAAGGATGAGAGTTGGACTGGATGGTGGCGGCCACCTGTGGATGCCTTTTGTCTCTCTATCTTCTGCAGTAAATGAGGAGAGACGGTAGTGCTAAGTAGGGACATTATGGTCGGATCAGGTAGTGTGCTGGCCAGAGAGATATAAAATAAAAATAAAAATACACCTGAGAGAACGAGTGAACAGGAAGCTGGTTGTGGCGTGAAAGACGTACCATACACTGGTGAAACATCAGAAGACCGAGAGTAACACCTCTGTCGTACGATATTTTAAGTGCGGACGTCCAGTCCCAACGTTGAAAAGGACACCATTTAGTTCAGATAATGCATGTCTTGCTGGATATTTATCCACTACGGTTTACGGGTCTGCATTCAAGTTCCGACCAAGATACACAGCATCAGCCTAGTCAAGTTCTGCGTCAGCGCTGCAGTCCTCAATGATCCCGCTCTGTGTGCTTACCTAGAATCCTATTGTAAAGCTACCCAATGAAACGAGGATCCAAAGAAGCTTTACGCAAGGAAAAGTTAGCTTTTGTACAGGTTTCTCCAACGACCACGAGTATCAGACCTTAAGATGAAAGCACCCTCAAGGACAGAAGGTCAAAGTGTAGTCGGCCCTGAGCGACGAGTCACAGGTCCAAAGTGCCGTTCCACTAGATTCGTCGTAAGCGTAGGCATATGCATTGGGGCAGTTGCTCTTGAAATAGCTGTAGAATGCAACACCTGGCGCATGACATTATTCATCGATCAGATATTCGCCACAAGTCGAACATACCAGAGCTCGGGCATCTATCAGGTGTGCTGAACGAGCCCGAACAACAGTTAGGTGAATTAGCTTCGGAGGATTCAAAAGGCTACATAAGATTCGGTCCTGCGTTCATGTCATACCGACCCACCTTGGTTGCCGTCCAAGTTTGCTTCGCATGCACTGCGACACCCGAGCGGAAAACCTGTGGAATCGACAGGCCCCCTCAAAGGCGCAGGACCTAGAGGCGACAGAAAAGAATTAACCTCGTTGTGGTATCAAGAGGGCTATATGCCTACATTTTGGTCCCAAATCCACAGGGCAGTCAGCGACAGGACACCCAACATTGTTCGTGATCCTTGCTGGTAGATTGTAGCCGTCGACAAGAGAGACTGAAAAGTTGTGATCAGTCAGTAGATTTGACGGTGATTCTTATTAAATCATGGCTCCACCATCGTAGAAGTCTCTGTTGCCATCGCCTTCCAGAGTCCATTCAGCCAAGGTTGCGGGTGGAACCCCCTGCCGCACAGGGACATCAGTGTGCCGCAGTTTGAAGTGGTTCAGCTAAGAAAGTACCGTGCCAGTTCGAGCATCGCAGAGAAGGCCTCCATTACAACCACCAGTCAAGCAAGAGTTGGGGCCTGGGTTCACACTGAAATCACAATTACGGCGAGCCTATCGGGGAGGGAGCGTTCAGAGAATGCGTCGTCCTGACAAAGAAGACATACCCAGATGCGGCCGGCCTTCCAGTTGTCTGGAACAGCGAATTCAACTTTGGTAAATGGCCCTGCTTCCCATCTGAAGCAGCGCTAAGAAAACGAGCATTTGTAACAGCGCAATCACTTTACCCAGTTGGAAAATTTGGAACATTGGGAGCTACGTTCAAATCCGTGAAAATCTAAGAATGTTCATCAGCCAGACATGATGGTAGCAAATCCTAGACAAATCTCTTACAGCAGGCCTGTAAAGATGTGATGAGTTGGCCATACGTGTGAGAAATAAACGCGCTGGTCGTACCAAATTGTGAAGGGGCACGCATTGTAAACCTATGAATAGGAATAGCCACGCAGAGAGTCAGAGTGGCTCTATTCTCTCGGCAAGCGGCTCACCGTGAAGGTGCGGCAAACACCTCCGACAACAGAAACAGCCACAGTGACAAGAGAAAGGATTTTCATGCTGGGTAAATCGAGGGGTGGGCGAGAGCTAGGAGAACGTTTCCCTAGCAGCCGGTTTTATTCTCTGCGCGATTCCCAAGGCCGATATCACGCAACGGAATAGATTTTTCCATTAGCCTTGCGAGCTCCATTGTACGACGCGTGAATTCCTTAGTCCTCTCAAAAGGCGTCAGGCGGCGTGCATGGGCTCCTTGGACGCGAGGATAAGGTGAGGGCTCCACAGGCGTTCAGAGGCCTTCAGCCACAGGATAGAAAGATCGCCTTTACGAAGGGCATGCTGTTCTGGGCGCTGACTGGGCTTCTTGAACTGAAACCGGAGTAACGCCTAGAGGGAAGGAAGCGCAGCAGTCTCTTCCAGCTGACCTGCCTGAAAAGGAGAGGTCAGTAAGAATAACATCAATTGCGACGAACCTCTCTCATGACCAACTCATGACCAGCACTGCCCGACGAGACCATGATAGGCCCGTGAATGACAAGATCGTGGTCATATTGTCTCGTATGGTAGGCGTACACTAAATGTCCTTGTGGTAGAAGATGATCCACGGTGGCCGATGAGGCGACTACCAACTAAAAGTCCATGAAGAAATTTCTCAACACCGCGAACATTAAAACAGAAGGGTGGGTGTGGAAGTGTCTATGCAAGTCGTAAGATTAGGGTCCATTACAAATTGTCACAAAGAGTGCAGGTGAATTTTAGGTTATTGCGGAGGATGACAGCTAGGACATGAACAGGTTAGGCGATGTCAAACTGGGGACGAACAATGCTTACGTAGAGCGAGGAGAGCAACGAAGATGGCGATAACGACAATATAGATGATACCGTATTTTATGATCTATACGGTCCTAACTCAGAATGAATCTCAAGAAGGATCATCAAGAGCACTCACGATCCAGCGCCGTTGTCGCTTTTGTTTGATGGAATACAGAGGCGCGCGGATTTGCTTCGATGGCCGGAGCCAGACTACGCAGAAAATCAGCGAAACTAGAACAAGGTGGCCATATGACACTTACAGAGGAGAGTGGCGTGGATCCGATCGAAGTAGGGTACGAGAATGGGAGGGGTCAGCATGAACAGAAGCATATGTCCGAGTAGCAGATCCGAGCTCCATAGCGACAGCTCGATGATTTTGACAATGAACTCGCGAGCAGGTTGGGACATCACATGAGAGCCGAGCCCACGTCCATACCAGCGCCCGGTCCACCACGCACGGTTTGTTTCGTCGTGTTTGAACTCCCGAGAAAGGAAGACGGCGATGAGGATCTTATGGATTGCACGTTGAATGTTGATCACGCAGATTAGACCAAGGACCGCATGAGAAACATCCCACAATTCGAGGAACCACTGAACGAGATAAGAGAATTAAGAACGGGTGGAGCGAGTCTCAGAACTGAAGACAGACGTACCAAAAACTCGAAGAAGCCGAGCATTCCGATGACGCCGAGAATATGGGCGATGAACGCGATTACAGAGCCGAATTTAGGAAACATGGGGTCCAGCATAGGGCCAAGGAACAACGACACCAAGAAAAGCACCAATAAGACGGCGGCATTCCATACGATAGGTCCGAGGGAGATGACGGCGATACGGATAAGTGGGCTTGGTGGGTATTTGCCATCCGCATCAGGGAACGACTTGACGAAGAGATAGGCGATCACGAAAAGGACAGCCAGGAACACTGGAAAGATGACCTGGGAGAAGATGACAGCGCGCCACCCAGCCCGAGGAACATCTCCCGACAGCTTCTCAGACGGGTGGCCAAGTTTCTTCTTCTTGTATCCTGTGATCATGGTACGCGAGAGCCGGCAATAGCCAATCCACGAATTGTTGTGTGATCGTGAGTTACCCCGAGACATCCATCTCAAGAATTCACTAAATAAAGTGAGCAACATTTAGTGCTTAACCGTTATCAGGGCAAGGGAAAAGTGCACACCGATAGTCAATGATGAAGTCAGAGAAGACGAACTGGTGAGGGTTGAACCAGAAAGGAGCAATGCAGAGCGAGAGGGTGGTAATCCAGAAATAGATGATGTATGGGGTCCACAAGGTGAGGGTGACATAGAGGAGCATGATGAGCGTCCTCATTCCCAGGTATATGCTCGGACCAGCGAAACGAGAGAAAAGAATGTTAAAGTAGATTCTTGTGGTTGCAAATCCACGGCCAGTCGCGATGTACCGAGCTCCTCCGAATGTCATGTTGCTGAGAATTGAATGGGTGTAAATCTGTGTCGAGAAGATCTCAAAGACGGGGGAAAGCGAGCCGAATTGTTTAGCCAGCCGTAATATAGCCTTCCATGTTCCACGTTCCACGAGTTCTGGAGGAGTATTAATTAGAACGATGGCTGGGTCAACGATCGGGAAAAAAAGTACCTTGCAAGAACAAAGGCAGGAAAGATATCATGAACACCAAGAAGATACTGATGACGCTACGCTCAATCCATTCGTAAACGGGCACAAGGTTGTAGCATCCGGCTTGACCACCTAGGAACTGTCCAGAAGGCGTGTACTCGCAAACTCTGAGTTGCGATGTTAGCGTGCCCAAAAACACCACTGCCCAAAAGACAAAGGTCAGTATACCAGGAAATTAAAATACGACCAGGCCACGCACTGGTGAGGATGAAGATTTGGACCGACAAAATGACCAACATATTGTTAATTTGGAATCCAGGATGCCCGTAGTAGAACGTCAAGAATCGGTCGATAGGCAGCTGTGTACCTAGATAGTAGTACTCGCGACTGAGGAATTGTTCACCCATGCCAGTGCCAATCTTCGTCTGGAAGTTCAAGATGGTGCCGAAGCCCAAGTCGCGACCTTTACCGCACTGGTAGTACTCTGTGTGCTTGATCCTTGACCCACGTCCAAAAGCGTTCATACCGGCGTAGATATCCTCATTCAAGTGCAAACCCTTCTGCGCTTTGGAGACACCGCCGCGAGTGGTCATGTACAATGCATTGAGAAAATCGGGATGTCCGTAGTGCAGCTTGCCTCCGATCCAGGCCATCGACCGTGCTGAGAGGGTACCGAAGGTCTGTTCCTTTCCAGCAGCCAAGTCTCCAAGAATACCGATATTCTCCGAGAAGATGTATTCACGAGCACCGACAATGGCTACCGGAGGTCGTTTGACGTCTTGTTGTGTCCATTGGGCATAAGGACTTTGATTCGAGACTGTGTACTCTTCGAACTCGGCAAGCACATTCCTAATCTTGAGGCACTCTTCGAGGTAGTTATCCTGATTGGCGTCGATGAGCTGTAGGTACTCGCCACGATAGAAGATGATGGCGTGATTCTGGTTGTCCGACTTGCCGTCTCCGAGAATGGGGTTGCCCGGAAGCTCAATGCGGAACTTGGGTCGGCGACGTCCTGTCTCGGGTACGAACTCGCTATGGCCATCGATCAAAGATGAGAAGATCCTAGGGTCGCCGCCCTCCTTGCGGGGTGGCTCCTCCTCAAGGTAGGCAATCTGCAAATCCGGGTAGGCACGCAGCAAGAATTCGGCGTTCTCGTGCTCTTCTTTGTTGAACTTCGAGTATCGTTGCATAGAGACGACGAATTTGAACTTGCGTCTGGCCATCCTTTCGAGTTCGCGTTCCAGCTTGTCTGTGTTACCACCAAACAATTGAACGACCTCTGGGTTCTCCACGCGGTATAGCAACTTGATGGCCTTGGAGTAGTTCATCATGCCAGAAACCGTCCTGTACAGCGTTTGTGCGCGAAGAGATGCCCAAATACGTGTGCGGAGGGTGAACTCAGGTGCTGCACTCTTGAAACCAATGAAGTAAAAAGGAAGATCGTCAGCCTTCGTTTGGCCTTTCTCGTCGTTGGCGAAGGGGTTGACGCCATTGAACATGGCAGACTCCTCGGCAAGAATCTTGGTGTCCTTGACAAAATTCTCCCACTCGATGGGGTGAAGCTGCTTTAGGTATTCGAGGAGCGTAACGCGAGTATTTTGGTCCTCTTCGCGAATGATCTCTCGGAGAGAAAGAAGGGTCTACGAGGAAGAGGTTACAAGGAAATACATGTAAATCAAAGAATAACGAACCTTCTCGCTGTAATGAGGCGTCAAGACGGTAAACGTGGGCATGGCATCGACAGGCAAAGGTTGAGGAATGTCCGTGGTTAATGACTGAGCGAAGAACGAGATCCGTCGCTCGGCCTCACTGCCTGGAGGGAAAAACTCTCCTTTGAAACCTTTCTCGCCTTGAGATACAAAGAATGGGGGTGCGCGAAGGCTTCGTCGGCCCCCAGCACCTGTGTCCACTTGGTGATAGAGAAGTTTCTGGACGTGGTCAATGGAAAGCAAGTGCTCGCGATACATCGAGATGATAATGGCGTTCCAAATTTGAGAGACGAGGACCTGCAACGGGCGATAAGCATAATTCTTCTGATACCGGAGGAATTGGACGAACCTTGGGCTTGTACTTGACCTCCATGTCCTGCGTCGCCAGCAGCTTTGCATAGATCCTCTTTGGCAGACGGGTATAGATATCCCTCCATGGTGTCCATATTGAAAGACCAAGAATGAATGACCTCCCAATACTGTAGACCGTGTTCCAAATAATGTACCAAAGGAAGGTATCCAAGAAGAAAAGCACTAGATCCATGATATACATGATCGTGAGCGTAAACGCTGCCTGGTTCGAGCATAGGGCGTTTCCGAAGAACCGATCGCGACAACCTTGAATCTTCATGCCGACCATGACCTGGATAGGTAGGCTGAACGATAGTGTGAGGAAGAAATAAGATTCCGTGAACTTGCAACCGAAAACGAGGACCCAGAGCAAGATAGAGCCCATACGACTCTTCTTGTTGAGCGCAGGGTAGCTCGCAGTGAATGTCTGGCTGGCAAGATATTTCCTAGACTTCCCGGCAACCCTATCACCGAACATCCGCCCCGACGGCATAACTGCAAATAGAACTGCCGCGATGACCGAAATAAAAAATTGGACAATACCCAAAATGAGTGAGAGCTGGCCGCCGGTGCCATTGTGTTCAACGATAGTGATGTAAAACGTGGGACCGCATGTAAGACCGAGGGTGACGAGCAAGAAAACAAGACGACGTGTTAGATGAGATGTGTTGTTCCAGGTAGTGGGGATATACGAGAATTCGGCGAGAGTGGCAAGAATCATGATGAGGGTGGCAACGGCTCCGCCCAAAGCAGTGGCGGACCACGTCATGGCGGCTGAAGAGCCACCGGAGACCTGGTAAATACGAGGCGACTTGTAGGCGGTGTAGAAGTAGTACATCGCGATGTGGATGACCCAGATTCGATTGAAGTTGACGAGAAGGTGGCCTATCGATCGCTTCTCGTAATACGTCTTGAAGAACGTCCGATTCCACTCGATCCGGTCGAATTTCATGAAGCGGTGGGAAGGAGGCAGGTCCACGAGGCGCGTCTAAGGACAAAATTAGGTGCCGAAAATTTGTTCGATAGGAAGAAGTACCTTATCGTTGAGGACGATGCGAGCGATGCCTTCCGGATACCAGAAGAGCTGGTTGACATCGTCGTAGCCGATTATATCCTTGTGGTCCCGCTCTCTTCTCACAAACTTGCCATCGACCACTTCATATCCCTGATCCCGAATGAACCTGTAGAGCGGCTTGACAACAGCTCTGAGGTAAAGACCCTCAGGAACCGGTTCCATACGGTTTTGACATTCTGGCGACCGGTAGTAGTCATCCGCGCACTTGAAGATGAAGCATAGGCACTCGGGGGCAAATCGCACTTGCGCCGCTTCTCCCCAACAGAGGAGGTAGAGCGCGATCTGTCGGAGTCGATCGTACTGGCTCATATTGTTCATGGCCTCGCGCCATCGTTCCAGGGCGGTGTTGAGCGACTTCTCGTGCGCTGGCCGTTTTGCGCCCCGCTTCGACTTGAGTCGGTTCAACCCAGGATTCTGTGTCTGCCCAATGGCGTCGTCGAGGTCGAGCTGGGCGGCAAAATACCATTTGCGATAGTTGGCGTTTTGGCCACCGATGTAGTCCGCATGCAAAGTGATCAGGGCTTGATGTGGCGACATCCGCGACGCTCTGCTGTCGAGTAATTGCATCAAAAAGTCGAACTAGAAATGCTAGTTAGTCTCGAAGTTTAAATTAACGAAAAAGAAACCATCGCGGGACTGTGCACAAGCAATAAAGATAACTACGGACGGAAATACCTCAAATAAATGGCCCTTAAAAAAGAGAGAAAAGGCCTTATGGAGCGCATAAAAATGCAGGCAGGGAGCGCTGGCACAGCTTGGCAACCATCCAGTTGCGACTGCGGAGAATGCAATACTGGGAAGGACGAGAAAGAATTGAGGTCACACCCAACCAGATTTATGGGAACCCTTGAGGCCCAATACCTGCTGGCAGCACACTACTGTTGCTGTCTTTCCTCGTTGTGGGCGAACAGGCGAGATCGGCCAAAAAATCTGTGAGGTGCACCTTGTCCATGGAAGCCAATTTGAATGTCCTGCCCGTAACATGGCCAGGCATCATTCCCAAAGATGGGTAATGAAACTAGCTAGCTTCGAGGTTGGTTTACCCGCCATTGTGAAGATGCGACTCAAACAAGGAAGGCTTCCCTCGTTGAAGGCGCGAATTCCGAAGCAATCATAATAATCGGAGGTGGCAAAGAAACAGCTCCGACCAACCAAGAAGTCTCTTGGCATAACCGAAGGTGGAAGTGAACATGACCATGGAGAAAGTGGCCATGGAGAAAGAAAAGCGGCCACGGAGGAAGACACTCACCATATTCCGCATCGAATCCCTCTGAAATCCAAACTTCTGCGTCAAATCAAGGAACACGTCCTCTATTTCCTCCTTAGAGAGGGGGATTTGGCGTTCGACACTCCAAGCAGGATAAGCCTCCCTTGCACCGGCTGGTCCTGCATATTCCATGAAGGTGGGCGTTGACGAGTCCGGATAGCCAGTACGGCTGCCTGTCGGGGGCAACGACTCTGACGAAGGTGCTGGTCGTTGTCCATAGACATCTGGATCCGAGTCAGTGTCTTGGAGCGCTGCAACAAAAAGATGAGACACAGAAGAAACTAGCCGAAAAGCATCGACTGACGATAGTCATAGTTTCCGTTGTGGTCGTAATCGTTCACAGCAGGATTGCTGGTATCGGAAGCATAGGTTTCCCTGTAGTCGCGACGTCCGCCAAATTCAACATGGTCTGACTCGTTATCGTGATAATGGCGGTTTGAGGAGTTGAAAGGGTCGCTCGAATGTGCGTCGAACGACGGTGACGAAGACGGGTAGCCTTCCTGGCTAGCAGGCCCTGGACGGGCGGGCATGGTGGTGGTGGTGGGAGACGGCGAGGAAACCCCTGGGCGGCGGCGGACTCAAAACGAGAATAGAGTCCGATTCAAAGTCCGCCTAGTGCGTGGATTCGCCCTCAACAGCCTTCAACCCGTCACAGAATACAGTTGACCAGTACTTCTAACCGTACCTTCCTACGGTTGCCAACCTATAACATGTGGTGAACAGCCAGTGGAACCTGAGTGCAACGTTGTGGGTCACTGTCCGCACTGCTTTGCCTGCGGAACCCGGCGTTACCCGCCGCCGGTCTTATTTTAGACACCCAAAGCTCTCCTCACGCGCACGGCCTAAACAAGGCTCCGCAGCCCTTTCACCGTCACTTTTTTCTAGACTGCTTAAGCCAAGTATGTGTCGAAATCGCCTGTATACTCTTTGACTGACGACTTTCTGCGGAGCTTCGGCGAGGCACAAGCTCACGTTCACTTTAAGCCGACGCCAAGCAGCACAGAACTCCACGCTCTCGTGTCAAAGACGTCATTGCCAATCATCACCTATATTCAGAGGCAGCAGAGTCTCCTGAGGTGGTTGCTGCCGTGAGGCAGGATTTTCCTGTTGCGTTCTGCGTGGATCGGCAGCTCCGTAGCTCAATAAGTACTGATCTGTGTTCTCCCTCTCGAGAAGCTTCTTAAATCGACGGCTGCTGGTGCTCGCTCAGACTGCTAATGTCAAGACCGATACTTGCCGGATTAATCAGCTAAAGCTTGAGGTTCGTCAATGCATCTCTGTACCAGCGCGCTCATCGGACTGACGCTCCGCTGAAGGTGGCCTTGGCAGTCGATGAGACACCGAAACTGACAGGGGCGGACAATTGGAGCCTGGCAGAAGACATTGCCCACTTTTCATCTTGAACGGCGAGCTTCGTCACCTCCCGAACGTAATCAAGCAGCCTGGGCACGACTGACAGCCTCATGGTAGCTGTACGGACACCGACGACTGGAACAAGAAGCAACGGGCAGTCGGTAATAGCACGCCGCTCATGAAACTGACCTTCGGTTGATATATTCCACCTGGCCTCATTACTCCATGGCATGACGCATATATCACCCTTCGGATGGCCATTTCACGTCAACCTCAATGCCCATGTACGCATACACTGCAAAGAAATCCAGGAATTCTTTGACCTCTATGATCTTCCCGTCCCTCACCACAAACTTGAAGATACCAGCATTTGAGTATATCTGGCCTTCCTTGGGCCCTTCTCCATTTGCCTTGGTTTCTAGAACACCGGTGTCACCTTCGACGGTAATGTCCACTATCTCCGGGTGCCAGAACGACATCGGGCCAAAGATGCTTCGAATAAGCTTGACTCGTTCGGAGTAGAGCTCAGTACCAGCGTATGGTATCTTCGACTTGAGCCCGGCGATCCAGTACATTGCATCTGGTGTGGCGAGGGAGGATAAGGCGGCCCAGTCACGACGGGCGATGGAGTCAATCCATTGTTTGATAACACTACGAACGTTGTCTTCTTGGTGGGACATGATAAGGTTGCCTGCATATATTGTGTCAGATGAATATTGGACGATAGTATGCACCTGGGAATACTGACCTAGAATCCTTTCGTTCAATTTACGAGGATTCTTTTCTGGCATCCTCAAGAGGCCCTTTATATGCATTCAAATGCTTCAGACCGGTGTAAAAATTCCCGGGGTCACCGCAAGAGCTTCGTAATAGTGCGGTAGGATGAGTTACTCAGCCCACGGGTCATCTCGGCGGTAAATCACATTTTATGAGTTTGGCGTGGTCTAGCTCAATGATCCTGCTCCATCCTTGTTGAATAAACGTCACCAAAAGAGGATCCCCGGAAACATCTCATCCGAGGTGCCTGGGAGGATCCGGGAACGTTTTTGGCAGGTTTTTGGCACCTCAGCAGCTCGGGAATAAACAACACAATGTCACCGCGTAGATAAGCAAATGTTATAGCTTGATTTGGGGTAGCTAACGAAACAAGTTCGGACGGGCAGAGAGCACGGATGTTGGGCTTGTATACTGCGACAAAAATGATAGAAGAGCCTCCGTATAACTGAATTGTAGGGAGGAGAGAGTGAAGGTAGTTGATGTTCGTTTTCTGCTCGTATGATGACGGTGTCCCCAACTTCTGCAATATTTCTCTGGGGATCCCCGTTTTAGAAACGTGTATGCCGAAATCGGAAAATGTCTTGCATAAATGACGTCACGACATATATCAGGCCGTGTTCGCGCAATGACTACACCTCTGTCCAAAGAATCAGATAGCTGACTAATACCCATTTGTTGTGAGCGGAAGGATGTCTAAGAAACATATTACATAGTAAACAGCGTGCGAAGAAAACCATGACAAGCATAAGAGCAATCGCGGACAGCTATGCCACTGGCACTACCACCCTGCGGTCGGGTTTGACAGGGGATTAGCCACAAGATTGCAGTTCGATAATCAGGCAGCTATGGGGAAACTGCAAAGACGGTATGTTGTGATAGTCGACCATGACATCATCCAACGCCGCGAATTGTCCAAACGCGACCCTTCTTCCTCCAGTGTAGGCCGCCGCGTAGCGCCTAGAAGGAGATCGTCGGACCTGACAACTGTAAGAACGTGTTGAGCTGCTCACATATTTATGAGTTTTGAGCGCATATACTCACAGCAGCGATTATATTCGGAGTTGCCGTCCGACCGCGGTGAAGCCTGATAGGATCACCTCGGTCATCATACTCATTTCTTCCGTCGCCCTTCGTCCCATCGCCTCCTCGTCCCATAGCCTTTCCAGCTGAGGGCGTTAAACTGGGTAAGTAATGTACCCTTGGCGCGTGCCTTGTACATTGGTGTCTCCTGCGCAAGTAATTTGTTCGAAGGCGTCGTACCTCCGCACGGTCAGATATTTCCAGCGGAGGCTGGTCTGGAGATGAGTAAAGCAACGAAGAGTGCATCTTGAAGTCGATGATGGGGTACAGTACGCCAGAAAGGCCTTTTTTTTAGAGAGAGAGTGTGTTCGCGACTTTTTGTTTCATAAGAATACAGAATGGGTAGGCCAATGCTCGCCATTCCTATCCAATGTTGAGGATGACTTGGTCAGAACATGGGGCTTGTCCGCCGAAATCAAAGAGTCCAGAAGTTTCAGTAGCCTCTGAGAGGTCGTCTTGGGCGATTTCGATCGCGCTCAAGTGACTGAGTAGAGTACCACATGCACGAATTTAGAGCAACTTGGTGGCAAGAGTGGAAAAGCCGGAAAGTGCCGGAAAGTGGGATGTTAGCTACCATTACGCTCTTCCCTACTGGCTGAGCACCGTGACACTCAACTGTCGTTCATAGTCAATAAGTAGCATCGCAATGCTTGAGGTTATGGAGTTAACAATGACACCGTCGGACTCTAGTGTTCTGAGTCTCGGGGAAAGGGGGAATGAATTTGAGCCGGTTGGATACGCGAGATTAGATTTAATTGCACATCATCAGTATGATATTTCTCCAAGGTCATAAAATTAGCGCCCAATGACTGATCAACTACGGATGCAACGCTTTCGTAACAATTCTACATCTTTCGTATATTAGAACCTATTTACCACTCACGGCTGGGTACCAAGGTATTTGAAGAGCGCGAAGAAGTCGACATATTCCCTGAGCGACTGGATCTTCCCATCCTTCACCACGAACTTGAGGATCGCGTTGTTGTCGTAAACCTGGCCCGCATCAGGACCTTCGCCATGGATCTCCAGCTCCAGGACACCAGTGTTGCCTTCAACGGTGATCCCAATAACCGTCACCTGAACGTTCTTCATTTGTCCGAACATGGTGGACATCTTGGTCAAGCGCTCGGCGTACGGGACGCTACCTGCGTAGGGGATCTTTTCCTTCAAGCCAGCAATCCAGTGGATCGCGTCGGGGGCAGCAAGTGCAGCAAGTTTGGCGCCATCGACCGTATTGACGGCGCTGGCCCATTGCTGGATAACGGAGCGCGTTTGTTCTGAGGACATCTCACGGTGAGACTTGATAGATGTTGTGACTATTCGTGTAGAAAGCAAAAGAATCGACTGCCCGTTAAAAATGCCTGGTCGATAGGAAAGTGAGAAAGAACTTACCTTAGTGCTTAGAGGGGTGTTTGGTGACGCTCCCGACTGATATTGTGGATTATATAGCTGAGGACGGCTGACCCGAGGTGTAACATAGTGGCGCCCATAGCGTCCACCTGGGTCTCTGCTGACAATTTCAGGGGCCACTAGCCTGCGGTTTTAGAGAGTTGCACAGAAAGACAGACCAGAGAGGAAAGGACCATTTCATAATTTCGACGAAGGGTTTGTACACTGTATTGGCGCTGAGTAAATTAGGCGGCACCAGAGGCGGCCATAAGGGCAAATATGGGTGAGGTGTCAATGTACTCCTTGATTGAATGGATCTTGCCTCCCTTCACGACGAATTTGAGTATCGCGCTGTTCTCGTATCCTTGACCGCCCAACCCTTCTCCTTTGATCGCAACCTCGGCCGCTCCGATCTCGCCGTCGACGATGATGTCAATGGGGCTGAAGCTGAACGACTTCATGCGTTCGAAACTTGCGGGCATGTGACCGATTCTCTTGCTGTACGTCAAGGTGCCGGCAGAAGGAAGCTTGCCCTCGGGACCAGCAGTCCAATAGGTGGCATGGGGGGCACCCAGTCCCTCGAGAGTGGCAAAGTCACGGTCGTTGATGGCCTTGATGAATTGCTCGATGACAGCGCCAACCGACATGGTGTAGTAAAAATTTGGTGTTTGGAGTGAACTGAAAGTAGAGGCTGCTAGAAAATCGTAGTTAGCTCTCGACTGTTTCGATTGCAGAAGACAGATGACTTACTTGGGTGAAGAAGAGGGTGCGTTGCTGGGGTTTGAGGCCTACATTCGCTGGCATTTATAGATTTTTTGATGCGCCAATCTCAGACTTGAAGCTAGCCAAGCGTCGGTGCTCGGGACAGCTGACGCGCCTGCATTTCGTCTTCATCGACGTAATAGAATTGCTTGGGGACTAGGTTTCGCAGTCAGTCCCCATCGATACACCAGCCTCCACGACTGAAGGAGGAGTAGCGGCGTAGCAGCCACAGCTGGCGACCAGTGCAGGCCCGAGTGGTGATGGTCAACAACAGAGTGTGGCGTAATTGGAATCGCGTAAAAGCCCCACGGGCCCGCGTTATGTCTCGGCGATCCCCGAAACCCGGTCTCGACAGCAACAAGTACTCTGAGCAGGTTGGTGCGGCATTGGTAGCTATTTTGTTGCATACGTAGTTGGCAAAAGTAGGCCAGCTTCTAGGACAGTTTATCCAATATTCGAACTTAGGCGGGCTACTATAATGACTCCGTTCGAATTTTAGCGCTTGGCGTCTGAGTAAGATGAGCAGTGTCTATGCGGAATAAATCTCCGGGACGCCTTCAATGTAAAGACGTAAATTCTGAACTCGGCATCGACACGGTACTCTCAGTTGTCTTCGCGAAGCCCAGAGCATTAGCCAGCTTAAGTCCGAGATTATTCGAGTACATAAGAAAAAGGGGTCAAATTAAAATCCAAGGGGGACTTGCAAACGCGCGCCCTTCTCCTAACTTCCGTCCGCTCATAAATTATAATATACCCAAGTAGGCTGATATACTTATGTTCATGAGATTTATAGTCTACTTTATCCGCTTGAGCTGTCATTTTGTGAGCATGATAGATATCGAAGTAAAAACTTGATGCTCACACTTTCAGTGTTGTTGGAGATTCTGTCATCGAGTTTGGTTGTTTTGTGCTCGATGCGTCCAACCCATTCGCATTGGTCCTCAAGCTCCTTTGACATCGCTTTGCTGAGAATGTTGAGACGTTTTGTTGCCGCTGCTATCTCGTCCAGGTTCTCGTCCAGTTCGTCTTCCAGTTCGTCGTCGGACGCAGTCTTTTCAAACTGGTAGCGCGCGCGATCGCCTCGTCCGAGAGCGGAGGGACGAGGGCTGCCACGCCTGTCTATAAGCTCTTCATCGTCTCCTAGGCCATATCGCATCGGACTGCCAAATCGTTCCTGGTGGTCGCGCATGGTTCTCATCCTCTCTTCCCGACGGTCTTCATATCGGCGCTGGACTGCAGCACTCTCAGCTGCGCGCTTCTCATCCTTGTTGAACAGAACGACAGGCCGGAAAATGGATCGGTTTAGCTGTTTAAGCTCCTCTGTCCTATCCTCGGCCTTTTGAGAATGTCCTTTCGAAAGATCAAGATGATGCTCGATAGTTGACAGTTTCTCTATTCATCAAATAATCAGGATGAAAATAAGGGAAAGAGCGGTGAAATTACCGGACTGATCACCCAAGCGAGTTAAAGTATTTCGGGCTGACTCTTCAGCCTCGCGGGCCAGCCGCAAGGCATTCCGAGTAGACGAAACACTTTCCTGCTTCACAAAGCGGGTTTGCTGCTTGATACCCTCGACGTCCTCTTCGTTCTCTTCCCCAGGTGTTGGGTCTCTTCCCAGGTCGGGACCATCAAAGATTGGACCCGATCTCGACCTCGCCGGATCGTACCCTGAGAAGAGCTCGTTTCTATCGTTCTCGACGTCTCCACCTCCACGAGAGTAAACGTCCCCTATACTGCGGCTCCGGCTGTATTTGTTGGCTAGCGGTGCGCTGGATGTAGCTCCATTGTAATACTCGTACTCATCGTTTCTCCGAATGTAGGTGTCTGAAGATGAGCGAATGGACGAGCTTGAAGGGCCTCGTGGAGTCGAAGGGGAAGGCGGCGGGGGTGTCATGGGTGAGCGAAGGCCTCCTGTAAGTTTCTCCCAGAAAGACATGATGAGAGTACGGTAGTGGTGGGTGTGGTGTTGAAATGCAAGATGTGTTACATCAATCATGGTCTCCCCGACGTATATATCAAACTTGATGCATAGCCTCCGGCCGGCTGCTGTGGGTTTGAAGGGGCGGGAGATGGATAAAAATTCGGCTCTCTTTGTATCAAAAAAGATATCGGCAATTGAGTTATCCCGGTTGGGAGCTCGTATCACTTCCCTATCATAGCACTCACTCTGCGACGCGGAATCGCTGGCTAACGATACGCTGATGATGTCAGGAGAATACTGCTGCGAGTGTTTCAAAATACACTTCTGAGTTGGAGAACGCAAAAAGGAGTACAATTTTACCTTCTTTCTTGGTTTACTGTGCTCTGTCAGAGCAACGCCGACCAAGCGCGCCCAAGAATAGAAGTCGTGATACCTAATCCGGAAGTGAATAGGAGACCTATTCCTGCGTCGCCCTTCTCTTCAACCTCATAAATAGAGTCCATCAATCTGGCGCGCGCTGGTGCTGTCAGTGATTTACAACCTCAGAGTTTAAGATTCTGGGATAAAGGTAATTATTAGCTTCAAGGAAGCCATCGTTTACCTGACATGAGCAGAAACATTAATGCCTAAGATCCAGCGCTCAAGAAGAGTAAATCCATGTCCTCCTTGTTACCTGAGCGAATCCGAGCTTGGCCGAGAAAGGATTTCTGGTTTCCAAATGTTCGGGAAAGTATGTTAAATAAATCCAGTTCGACCTCGTCACTACCTTCCGCTGCGTGGCATCGCCTCAGTTCTTTGCTAATGTCCTCCTTCATAGGCTGTTCGAAATGTCCTCTGATTCTATTCAAGGCGAAGTGCCCCTTCTTTCCGCCGCGAGTCCCACCCGACTACAAATGGATTTTGACTGCCACTAATTGTCACTAAAGAAAAATAGCAGGCTACATTGAGTTCCGTCAAAGATAAAGGCATCATCTCCGAAATGGTATCACGCACCGCAAAAATCACATATAATGCAGGAGAGCTCCAGTAAGTCGGTAGATATGGATGCGAGTAGATGCAGCAGCGGAAAGAGCTTAGGCATTGCCATTTGGCGCTCATAGTTCTCAGGGTCGTAGTGGTACATATCACAAGCTTAGGACTCTTGACTTCTCATTCAAGATTGGCAAAAGGACGTGGATATACAGGAGTTAAAACTATGGAGATGCCTAAGATTCGAGAACTGTACTAAAAAATCCGACGAACGCGGGTCCCAATCGCTGATTTCATAGTCCAAGTCATTCAGATCGTCATACATAGTCCAAGGAAGGATCGTCCATCGAAATATCATCATCAGGAATGTCGCCAGCATCTCCTTCCGGAGCGAGAGTGTCAGAATGCGTCTCTGAGCTTCCTTTCTCCTCGTCTTCAGGACAGATGTATTGCTGACGAGCAATACGAGATTTCGGGTCTTCGTCCTCCGAGATCTCCCATTCTTCTTTGTCCAGGAGGATGTCTACTAGATGGCGAGGATGAGTATGAGTCGGGTCTTCCTTTGGAAATAGTTCGTTTGCCGGCTCATCATCAGATATTTCACCTTCCTCTTTCTCAGAGTATATGTGCACCAGTGCCTTCAAGCAGTATTACCCTTCTGCGGTCTCGAGAGATGAATAAGAGTCATCAGAAGAGGATCGAGTGTCGCCCATATCACCTCCTAATGCAGACCTAGCCCTGGCTCCCTGAACAAAGCGCCAACGGGTTAATTGTTTGACCGCTTCGGCTTCGATGGCGTCCATCTGCGAAACCTTGGGATTCTCCAGATATTGGTATTCCGAAGCAACCTCGCAGAGCAGGCTGAGGTTCCGCGTCGATGGCTGATTGAAACGAGTAGCGTTATCCTCGTCAATATCGAGAGATGGGCCATGCGAAAACCTGAACTTCGGCGCCTGGCAGGCACCATTGGGAGAAGTGAGGGCATCGGTAGCGTCCACACCAGGGCTCCGCTAATAGAGACGGAAGAGTTTAGAGCTTGCTTGAATGGCCGACGGTTTGTGCTGTCCAAGCGAGGGTTGCAAGGTAGGCATGCCTTCATGATTGGTGGCATGGATAGAAGCTGCTAAGTTGAGTAAGTTGGTGGTGTCGCCGAGCGTCATATCCGGAGAACAAGGATAGTCGATGTGGTCTTCGCGTAGATACCTGAGAACGGCCAGTTTCACAGCGCGGAAAGAGGTGGGGAATATTCAATAGAGCTTGAACTTGGACGACGAAATGTCGGGTTAAGGCTTCTAGGGTGGTGGCATCGGCTCCAAAGAGACAAAGGAACCTGAAAAGGCACCGGAAAAACACTTCAAGATCCGCCCTTTGAACGAATATCTGAGCAAAAAGCCATCAGTAAAGCATCGTTGTTGTTGTTGCGTACCTAGTCTCCCTAGACAGACTTAACAGATACAAGTGATAGTCGATTGTATCGTTACATACCGTCTGGAGGAAGAAGTGAAGAGGCAAGTTTGTGTGGGAAACATTGGGGAAACGGTTACTTTTCCGACTGGCTTTCAACCCCAGTGAAAAGCTGCTCTGTGCTGCTCAGCGTTGGTCAGCGTGATATCTGGGATCTTCTGCATCCCAGATGTGCCCAGATATTCCCAGGTTTTGGCCGCTTTCCAGATTTTTATCTGGGCACATCTGGGTATATCGGTCACATACCTGACCTGCTCCTCGGGTCATTTTCGTTGCACTTCTGGTCAATTCTGTATTTTTCTGAAATTTTCATATTTTTTCAGTAATTTACATATTTGCCTCCGTGTCTACTGTATCCTACTCGTTCAAGGTATCTCGCAACGAAAGCCCGTTTGCCCGCACTCCGGAGTGAGTCCTGTGTGCGACCAACAGGTCAGCGCCAGGATTGTGAGTTCGTTCCAAGGTAAACTCACCTCTCCGAACGCCAGTGTATTCGTGGGCAGATCTACACGGTTCGTCATAAGTGCGAGCACCCATACGATGACCTGACGGCGGACGTACCTATTTCTGCAGCCCCACCCTCGACTTCCTCCATGACGCGACGTTGTTCTCCACCGCGAAACCGCATCTCTGCGGAGCAAGTGAGATACGTACGAATTCAAAAAGGTGTGGGGGAGAACTTACTAGCAGCGCAGGTCCATTCGCCGCCTCTAGACTCGACTCGCATGCTCTCAGGCCCACGTTAACTTGGATAATGGACCCGCTCTATTCACCTATTCCACTCTGTCCCTGACATCGCCCGCGTCAGCGTTAGATGGACCCACTGAACGAAATCACATTCGCGCTGTCAACAAGGCCATACCACCCGCACGAAGACCACTCACCTTGTCGTCGAGTCGTCGATAAATGATACGGCGCCTTGTGGGCATTGGGTCGGTCTGGATCCAAACCCGATCGTAAGTGCCCCAGCATCGTCTCGACCATTCGACCAAGCCAGCGCGACAGCGGGCCCACCTTGGGTTCGCACAGGCATGGAACAATATACTTAGTCACGAAGCAATAAGGGTTTCATATCGTATCTCGTACCACATTGACAACGACTGACGCTATGGCGATTGGGCAGCCATCGTGAAAGGACTTGCGGTGCTGGTAGAAGGGCAGGGAGGGAGGAGGAAGGGCAGACGGAGTGGGGGAAAATGTGGGGGGAAGAGGAGGAGCGATGAAAAACGAGAAGTCCGCTATATAAGTAAGAAATTGACGCGTCGACGCGTCGAGACGCACGGACCCTGGTCGTGAGGTTTCCTCGGAAAGCGGAGATAAAGTCGGAATGTTCGGTCCTTTCCAGGGAAATGAAAACGGTGCGCCAGACAAGCCCAGAACAGGTCAGATTTTGTCCAAAATTCTCATATTTGCCCAGATCCAGTCAGATCCTGCCAGAGCAGCTTTTCACTGGGTTTCAACGCCCATCACCAGCGAAACAAAGGAAACGATTCCTCTACAGAACTAACATCTCAACCTGCTGAAGTCCCAAGAAATGGGTCTTATTCCGTACAAACCGTATCATCACGGTTAACCCGACAAGAAAAATGACCGACAACATATCTCGAATTCAGGTGTCATATCACCCACCACATATTCCACAGCTCCTCGCAATCGCGGCATACCTCTATTTCCTCTCCTTTACCTCCTCTTTGTGCGGCAAGATTATCAATGCACCGCTCATCGGCCCTCTCGTTGTTGGCATCATCTGTGGGCCTGTGGTCGCAGGTCTTCTTCCAGAGTCAACACAACAGACCTTCATTGACTTGGGTTACATAGGATTGCTTCTTATCGTCTTCGAAGCAGGCCTTACGACGGACGTATCCCTTCTGGCGCGGAACATATGGCTCAGCATTGCCGCTGCTTTGACGGGAATCGCAGTTCCGATCGGCCTTTCGATGGCCCTCCTCGAGGGAGCGTTCAAATACGGCGGGAAGAAAGCATTCGCAGCCGGTGCAGCTTTATGCTCGACATCCTTGGGGACGACGTTGGCGTTGCTGACACCAGACTTGAAGAGGACGCGTGTCGGTTGTGTGCTGATGGGTGCAGCGTTGTTGGACGACGTGGTCGGTTTGGTTATCGCAGGGATCATCCCCAACATCGCGGCGTCGAGTGCCTCTTGGCAAATCATCATCCGCCCTGTCCTCGTTTCGTTGGGTTTCGCAGCCCTTACGCCCAGTCTGGCTTTTTGCCTGCATAGATTCCTCGACACCCTCCCAGACCGCTTTCAAATAATGATATATGATTCACGCACCCAACTATTCCTCATCGTTACCACTCTGTTCGGATTTATTGCAGGCTCGAAGTACGCCGGCACGAGCGAATTATTCGGTGCTTACCTGGCCGGTGCATTCATGGCTCATGTTTTCAGCCGTCCGGATCCAGCCGTCGACACCCCTCCACTCTTCAACGAACCCTCGTCATCCTCGTACGCCGACACGTCAAACGCAATGTCGACGCTCCAAGCACACCAGAAACACCTCGAGCCAATCCTGGTGACCTTCCTTGGACCAATATTTTTTGCCTCCATCGGCGCTGCTCTGCCCGTCGGGGCTCTATTCACTGCAAATGGCAGTCACCAAGTCGTTTGGCGCGGCATCGTGTACTCGGTGTTGATGGTACTCGCGAAGATGGTCGTCGGATTGTGTTTGCTCGTTTGGCCTGAACCTGGGTCTAAAACACCTAACACTACTCAACCCGCTGAAGCGCAGGAAGAGGACAAAGACAAAGTCATCGTCGAGCCACAACCATTGGAAACTCCTACCACGAACCCTCCACTTCCGCCAACACACAAGCAGTCAGCTGCCCTCCTCGGCCTCGCCATGGTTGCCCGTGGCGAGATCGCGTTGATCGTCGCCCAGCTTGCACGACCTCTCTTAACGGAACCTTTTGACCCAAGTACGGACACGCCAGACGAGGAACCCCTCGCCGTCGTTATTTGGGCGATACTTGTTAGCACGCTGGGTGGCGCCATTGGTGTTGGACTGTTGATTAGCTCGTGGAAAAGGAGAGCACGGTAGGTCAATTGATGGGTGAAGCCTGAAGGTGAAGGCCCGTATTTCTCGACCTTTGGTAAGCGTAAGCTTCTCTCTTGTATTGATGGCCATTGGATATTGACGCGTTGACGCCTTTATCCCAGGTTCGCCGAGCCTTGTAATGAGGGTTCTGCCTTATACCAGGTCACAGCTCTCGGCCTTTTCCATATTCCTTGTACTCTTTTATTACGACAACAGAAAAATGCTGTCCAGCTATACATCGAAGTCTAAAGTACTAACGCCGACACTGGTGGCACCTGTGTCGCTCGCAAGAGTGGTGCCTTTGACGACATTGCCCCAGAATGTCATGGTCCGAGGAGATGTTGGAGTTGCTCGGCTCATCGTCATCCGGTGTGGAGTCAATGAGTGTTAGATATTCTGTTGTGTGGGCTTTTGATCTTGTGTCTCGTTCGGCCAGGCGAGCTCGGTGAGCGTGGTCCAGTCACGATATGAAAAGGTTCTCCCATTGACCGATCATGCGCCGAACGACTTCAGCTGCTAGCGACATTTTTGGAGTAGTATCATGAAAGCTCCATGTAAACTCGAATGAAGGACTGCGGTTGATATGCCAGGAGGTTGAAAAACAGGCGAGAACAAGAGACGACAAGCTTAGGAGGTGCACACACACAGAGAGAGAGAGAGCACAATCAGAACGAGATCCAGAAATCCTGGATTTTTTGGGCGATATATTGAAGCGCTTTCATTCAGTTGTCGCTCTGATCAGGTTGGTATCCACCGGAATCACCATCTCCAGGCATATTGGTTAAAGCCTCGATTGCCTGAGTCCTCTCGACATAGGGATTTGCAGGTCCTACCGATGCAAAGGAGTGGTTATGCAAGGCCAATCGAGAGGGTAGATGAACTCACGGCGTGTGCCAAAGAGCATCATCATCGCTGCGTTGGCACGCTGCCTGCTATCAAGCGCTGGATCCTGCGCCTGTGTTGAAAGTAGTCGGAACTCTGTGTTAGTTACCCCATCCTCGTCCTCTTCTTCGGGGGCTTCTGAAGCCTCGAAGTGCGGCGCACCAGAAGATCTGCTTCCACTCGCCAGTGCAGAGGCTTCGTCAGAGGGATCTAGCATCGTTGTGCGTCGTGCGCCTGGATAATGGGTTGATGCCGTCGCCGATTGTCGTCCGCCGCTGCGGTCTCGCACAGCAGTGTCAATCGAAATGATAGCAGGGTACCCAGGAGGCACGTAGAAGATCTCTGTGACGAGATCGGACATTAGCGCAGCCGTACTCTGAACGCGGGGCGTAGCAGAAGCACCGTGCTTCTCCATGAAGTGCTTCAATTTCCAATGTGCGTTGGTAATCATGGCGAGAGTGGAAATGCTGGGGCAACTGAAATGCTTACGCACGTCCTGGGCAGTGAAGGGAGGGAAAGACTCGTGAGGCTCAGACATCGAACAAAGACGATCGATTGAGGGAATCCACCCTTTCCACGATAGTCCGCATTCTGGTACCGGTTGCCCTGGAAGGTGAAAGGTCCGGGTTTGGGAGATTAAGATTGGCTGGCCATCTGGGAGCAGGGCGTGCGGATGAAGGATGACGACGTCCCAATGCGGATGGTCAAAAGGCGGTGCTGTTGTCTGAAAAGCCATTAGAACGATGGTGAAAGCCAAAATACAGTGCACACATCCAGAGGCCTGACTGGTGCACCGCGAGTCGCTTCGTAACGTTTCCTCCAGTCTTGGTTAGACTGGCGCATTGCATGGAGTATAGCCTTCGCATCAGGCTCGGCTGGTTCAAAGCAGAATGTTCCGTAAGTGTCCCACTGAAAGCGAAGACCTGGTTCCACTTGAGTGAAAGTCAGAGATGTATCATAAATGCAGCAGCAAAGACCCACAGAGGATCGCATTGCTGGGACCGTCCAAAAGAAACCAGCCCTGGCTGGGATGATGTAAACGCAGCTGGCTAAGTAATGCCTCCTGGAATTATTGGTCAAATCCTGCATAAGATTAACAAATAATGCGTAGAGACACTCACCACCCGCATCTTGCGCATCTGATAGTTTGATTTTTGGACAGCATTGATGATATGTGCTGCCTGAAGATCGGCGACTGCAGATCCAGTGAGAAAAGAGCGCTGATCACAGGCAAGGAGCTTTGTCCGTAGTTCCTTCTGCGCTGGAACTTCCGGGGACAGTTCACTGTCCGATTCCTCAGTCTCGGACGGAGGTGCCAGAGCACGAGTGAAGACATCGTCAGGAGGCCTGCCCGTATGTGAGGATTGGGAGGTAACCGGTAAAGACTTAATCGTCGGAAGACGCACGACATGGTGGTCAAGGAAATTGGTCAAGGAAATTGCAGGTCAAGGGTCTGAGATAAGATAAGTCCACATGACTCAGCGATGATGTAAGCTATGACGAACTCGTTTGACGTCGTCGGGAACTTTCGCGTTGCCGACCACCTTTCCTGGTCACCCCAACTATTAATCACCAACACCAACGACCTTTCGTCGTCTTTGTCGATATCTATCTCTTTCAACGACCTAGGATCTCACATCAAGATGCTCTCTACCGCTAGGAATGTTCTGAAACCTGCAGCGCGCTTGGTACAAGCCCGTGCGTTCGCTGCTGGTGGGGCTAGGGCATACCAGCATACCTTGCCGCCCTTGCCTTATGCTTACGACGTGAGTGTCTGGAAATAATGGATTCATGCCCTCTTCATCCTTTTCTATCGTCCGTCCTCGTTGCGTAACGCAACGAAATGCTGAAGCACCCACTTTGCAGGCCCTCGAGCCGTATATCGCCACAGAGATCATGACACTCCACCATACGAAGCACCATCAGACGTATGTCAACGGGCTCAACGCCGCTGAAGAGGCGTACGCCACCACGGACTCGACCGCGAAGAAGATCTCCCTCCAGAACGCGTTGAAATTCAACGGCGGAGGTGCGCTCATATCTTACTCTTTCCTTTCCTCCTCTCACTCCACTCGGTCTAGGCCACATCAACCACTCACTTTTTTGGAAGAACCTGGCCCCTGCCAGCGAAGGAGGAGGCAAGCTCGTGCAGGGTGGCGACCTCGAGAAGGCTCTCGTCCGCGACTTTGGGTCCGTCGACGCGTTCAAGACGAAGATGAACACCACGACAGCTGCCATCCAGGGCAGCGGCTGGGGCTGGCTTGGGTACAACCCCGTTTCTAAGAAGCTCGAGATTGTGACGACTGCCAACCAGGATCCGCTGCTGTGTAGGCTCAAAATCATCTAGCTTGTTATGTCCTAGCTTCTAACGAACGACGACGACGTCGGATAGCCCACGTACCTATCATTGGCATTGACATCTGGGAGCATGTGCGTATCGTGTGTTTTTTTCCGGGCGTGGCCAGACCTCGTCGTTTTTCGTTCATGACTCTGACCAGTCGGGTTTTGCTTCTTAGGCATTCTACCTTCAGGTGAGCCCATGTTGATGTCATTCATTAATGCTTTTCGCCAATGTATGCTCATCGCTTACGCCCATCCATAAAAATAGTACAAGAACGTTAAGCCAGACGTGAGTAACTTTCTTCGAAGTTGATCGTCTGCGAACCTCTTCTCTTTTTTTCTTTTTCAAATGGGCCTGTTCAAACCCACACGACCGGGTCCTTACGTCGATCTGCTTGCGGCGTGCGGCGTGAAGGTGTGCAAAAAGCCACTTGGACATCCAACGGCTCTGTATATCCACGAGCGGCTAGGCCTTGACATTACGAGCCGCCACGCTTTCAGCGCGTTTCAGTGAAGTCATTGTCATAGATTGCTCACTGAACTATCCCTTTTATAACAGTACCTCAACGCGATCTGGAACGTTATCAACTTTGAGGAGGCAGAGAAGCGTTTCGTCGAAGCCCTCAAGCAGTGAACGTTGACGACGAGTGAGCTTGTTGGGCGTTGGAGAAGGTGGTGCGAAGTCGAGAGAAGGCAATGGATGGAAGGATGACGCGTTCTGCGGTTCTGCACCGTCTTGCCCTGTTACTGGTCGGAAACAAACCGGCGGAACGAAGAACGAGAAAACACCAATGCATGCTGCGAATCGTAGTGACGATAGAGTGCCAGTGGAGCAGGTAGAGCCCCGGTCCCCGTAGCTTAAATGACTTTTGGTCCATATATGATCACTGCCTTCTGTCTTTGTACATGTTCTTGCGTCCCGGAAATTGAACTACGAAATTCCGAGATTGACGTTTTCTAAGCGCAGCGCGTAAATCCCCACCCAATGGCCATTCCATGAAAAGGCAACGGATGGACATGTATGCACACCCATCTCGTTCTGTCAAGTGCAGGTTAGGCTATTTCCCTTTGCCTAAAAGCAAAACTCAAACCCCAAATCTCTATCTGCAATCTAACCACGAAAAATCTGCTAGTTCTCTGTCCAGATGTTGAAATGACACCTTATCGATGAGAGGAAAAAGTAACCCTGGATCTCAATGTAAATCCTCGAGATTCCAGAATCAGATTGTGTGTCCCGAGAATCTGAATTCATTTCAACTCAATGCGATGCGTTCAATTCTGTTGGCAGGTGGGGCTGAATCTGGACTCTAGCCATGGACTCTTACTCAACAGACCTGGGGAAAGGCATCTCATGATTCATGATTTATCCGCCTTCCCACCGAGCCGTAGTCGTCGATGGTTCTGTCAATGTACAGTCACTCTGCCCTCTTCCGGGCTCGGCGACGGCATCTGTGCAGCAACGGTCATACAGCGTAAGATCTATTTATATCGAAAGAGGTATTGCAAATACCTTGCCTGATCTGACGCCTTTTGAAAGTTCGGATTCGGAAGATTCTTCTTGAAACATGGGGTCCGCGTCGTCTGGGAAGGGTGGGGACCGGGGAGTGGGGTTCAACTTCGACGTGGTCTGGACCGCCTTGGTATACACCTCCTGTCGTTGTTGTTGTCCTTGAAGAATTGAAATTCCAAGCGGGCTCTCATGGTGTGGAGCTCTGAGTGTGTGCTGCATTTCGATTCTCGAAGACCTTCGTCGGCGTCGCTCTCCGAAGTCGGACGAAGCTCGGCCATGTTCCAGGCGTTGGGATGATCGAGCCTTCGCGTGACATCATCCCACGCCAGAGCGCATTTCATAGGCGCCCGCCGGTGCCGCGGGCCGGACCACTTTGCTCCCTTTGTCCATTAATCCCGTCCGGCGCCTATCGCCTGCCGTCCTGGCGCCAGAGAGCGACAGTAGGTGCTCGGGAGCGTTTTGTGTACCCGAGGGCCCAGGCAGCCGATGATCATCTTTTTTGGGAGAGAAGAGTCAGGGTGGGAAAGGAGCGGTAATTTGTTGTTCAGTCCGAGTCGAAAGATATCGGGGGTCGAGACTAGTATGATGTACGGCGCCACGGGAGGTGAGCTTGTCAGGATGTCAGAGTATCCTAGCACCGAGAAAGCGGGTAGCACTTGGTCAAGGAAGCTTCATGAGTAACCAGCACCAGCACCACCTGAGTCGAGCGCGAGGCATTGCTTCGCTCGAAACAGGAGAGTCCCTCCGTCGTTAAATTAGGATGAAACAATCGCTCTAAAATTCCGAAACTATTCTCATTGCACTATACTAGGAAGTCGCCGATCAATTTATCAGTTCGTATTTAAAGGAACGGAGGAAGGAAAGAAGGTCAGGTAAACTTTGCATAGTGGTTATCCATGGGAGAGTTGAGTGCTATGTTTGCTATCCTGTTCTCAGGATAAATTAAAGAACGGATGAACAACGGGACGAGGGAATGAGCGAGCAGGCAGTTGCTTCGTGCACAGTTTAGTGCACGAACTTGAGCTTGTTGTTCGGACCGTCGAGTGGGTAATTACTTTGCTGGAAAAGCCTCGATACCTGCGCTAGCATGATAACCGGTCCTTCATACCGCTCAAACTTGTTTGGGATTCTAAAAGCGGCTCGAAGCCCTGCCATGATCGTCTTCTGTCATAGGCAGAGGGCACGTTCGCAGGGATAGAAATTTACAACGACTTTAGGTATGATACATATGCAGATGTGATGTGACCCGGACGACCCAAGCGCCCGTTGATCGATCGATCATGGTTTGTTCGCCTCGGCTCGAGGGGTAATAAGTAATACGCATCGAGAGAGGTAGAATTACAATTAACATCGTCCAACCGCTCCGCCGATAACGCAGAAGCCACCGATCTCGAAGCTCGTGCAAGATATAGCTCTCAACTCCCAGCATCCGTCTTCCCTGCTCCGCAGCCCTGGAGAGCCCGCAAACACCACCAACTTCCCTTCTCCAGCTCCAGCTCCAAATCCGTACACCCTTCTATCAGAAAGCTTCTTGCTTTGCGTCCAAACGCATCCCTTGCATCGACGGTTAGCTTTCCGGAATGCCCGAAACCTACCGATGCGAAGTCGGAAAACACTTAGGAAAGGAACCTGCAGCTTCAAATATACCGAGAACGCGAAGGCGATGATTCATACATGACGTCAAGAATCATAATAACATTATACTCAAGCTTAAGCAACTGGGTTTTAGGGAACGTGCGGTAGCTAATTCATACCCACGGTCAGGCGAGGCGGGGGTGAGGGTGGTTCGCAGCTGGAGCGATGAACGTTGTTAAATTTTGTTCGCACCCTTGCCGTAGGACATCGGACACTTATCGTGAATCAGAGTTTACTCGAAACCAACACCAACGGTATACGGCTCTAAAAGAGTCCAGTAGTTTAAAGCTGCGATCATGAACCACCCTTAGACTTCCCTTAAGCATGCTCTCCCCTCCCCTCCCCAAAAGAAAAACACCAATCCATCGCCGCCCATGCTCCCTTCGTTATCAAGCTCCAGAAGTGCCGCGAACTCAAGCTTGTATTATTATGAGCGTCACGATGGAGGGGGCGTCTCTGATATCGATGGGGTACTTAGATGAACTCACACGCCACACTTTCCCAGCTGGACCGGCGGGGAGAATACACCATCTAAATAGACGCTCTGAATCGACTGAGGGAATCGCTTAGCTCGCCCAGATACGAGGACGACTCAGAGCAGCTACCAACAAATTGGATAAAAGTAAATCAATATCGCTGAGTTAAACCTGGCAGCTGGAGCATCCAACGCTCTCTAGGCTCAAAAAAAGAAAAACACTCTTACTCCACAGGCCGTCTCCTATCAGGCTTAAGCTTCAGGAAGACGGGATTGAGTTTGAGCTTATTCGGGGCACCTGATCCCCCTACAGGCTTGGAGGACCATCGGATCCACTATACTCGTCGTCGTGGATATTCGGTCTGGTACCGAGCTTACTCAGACCTCGACGCGTACTGTGAACGGGTGGATTGGACGCCCGCCACATAGCCTTTTCGTGCTTTCGCGTTCTCTGGTCATGCGTGGTGTGGCGCGAGGCACGCTGTCCTCCTGTCGAGCGAGAAGCTACACCTCCCCATTCGAACCAGCGGAGGGGGTGATTCAGACCGTCATCAATATCGGGGAAAGGAGGAGTGTCAGATATCCTTTCTCCCAGTCTGGAAGGCTGAAGCTGGGGATCCGAGTCGGAATCAGGTCAATTGAGTGCTTGGAAAGAGGATGTCTGTATGGGGGATAGTCCAGAGAGTCGTACTTTGATCACGAGGCGTTGGGTGATCTTTCGAAATGGTATTGGAAGTTGCGAGCTGGGAGCAGCGGAGGAAGTTCGTAAGAGGGTCTGGACTCTCGCCCGGGGCGATCATGATCACGGCACTGGCGCCAAACCCACTGGCTCTCCGAGCCCGCGAGTCCTGGTTCTTGGATTCGATGGTGCCGACTGACAAGAGCGGTTTATGCGTGCGGCCAGCCGAGCGTCCAAGCAACAACGATATTGGCGTCGCTGAAATCTAGGCCCTCTTGGGTGCTATCATCCTATTAACATTGTATGTAAGAGCTCGACTTGAGATCTCGAGAAGTTACATACACGATACTGAACGGCAGACGGCAGGCCGGGAACCCACGCGGTCAAGCACCGGGGCGAAATGTTATCCAAGCCGGTGGGGGGATGGGGCAGCCAGGATCACTCACGGCTTGGTGAAAGACCCAACGAGCCCAAAACGCAGCGGAATCGCCATCGATTTCTCATTCGATGTCGAATAGGCTTTCTTCTCGTGACGGGTGTGAGGGGTCCAAGGAATGGCAAGAGGGTGTGCCCGGCCGGATGGAGCTGGATTCGACCCTCCATCCGGGCCCGTCCTGGGATGCACCTGCCTGATGGAGTCTCCTCGCCTGCTTTATGGTGCTCACTGGGCATTGGGTCTGGAGGGCCTGCGGCGGTCAGATAACCTCTGTTCCAGGGAATTGAGGGAAGCAGGTGGGTTCCTGTTGAGATGTGTTTCCTGTGTGCGTGATGAGTGGGGAAGCTTGGAGGAACAAATGACGCCAGTCCTTCAAGCTTGGGCCAGAAGACGCGCTGGAGGGGGCGTGGAGGTCGCACTGAGAGATCTGTGCGTTGGCGACCCGGAAAGTTGGCGGGCCCGCCAAGCCAGTGGATCGGGTGAGATCTGCCGGGATCGCGGCGATATCCGACGAGCCTCCATCCGGGAACGCAGCCTGTCGCTCCCTATTAAACGCCCACCACATACGATACAACCCACCCAGCCGCGTCGCACAACCCACCCCTCGCCAAAGTACCTCTCCTCTCGCGCGGACAAATATGTATTCATCATACCAGCTCCAGGCATATCCCCAGCCCCAGGTAGCACCTCCACCAAGCCAGTCACACCCATCCAGCTTTCGGTCTCCATATCCATCAACGACCAATAGTCCACCGTCACCAGTCTCTCCAACGCCACACTTCAACACCACCGGGAATGGCCATTACGCACCCAGGACGCACATTATCGGACGCCCCATCTACTACTCGGCGGGCCAGTTTGAGCGTCAGACAATTCGCATGGAATTGAAAGAAATACAAAAAGCTGATCTGGGAAGAAAGTGAGCCTGCTTTCCGATCCGATGTACATACTGCCGCGAGCAACTTTTGTCTGCTAATCTAATCAACCTTTCTGCTGTACGGCGTGCTGATGATCCCTTGTGGCAGGTACGCGCGTGTCGATCGGCGACCGCTAGACCCACCTCCCGTCGTCCACCTGAGGCTCTTTCGCGTGGAGAACGCGGGCACCACGAGCGAAACGGAAGCAGAGCTGGCCTACGAGTTGCGTATCTGCTTCCGCTCTTCCCATTCAATTTTTCCCCTCTCGAGCCGATCATTTTAATTCTAATTTCCCTTTTTCCTCTAGTGATGTCCAGGTGCTCGGATTCCTGTGCACAGTCGATTTGTTTCCGGTGCCGGGCCCAACGGAATCTTTACCCCCTATTCAAGGGAACTCGGATCGCTCCCAACAAAGAACGTCGGCGCCCGCGACTAGAAGGAACTTCCAGTCCGCATCCGCGGGTGCATCCCCGTCGTCAACAACGTCGTCGTCGTCACCGACGTACAGCACGAGCCCAGAGACCCACGCGCGCCCGTACATCCCTGCTAATGGGAGCGGGAGTAGCTACGCCCCGTACCAGGAACAGACGTCGCCTAGTAGTCCATCGGGGCCGCAATCGCCTGTGAGGACCTCCCCGCCCGGTCCCCAGAGCTATTTCTCAGGTTATCTCCTCCCATCACAGGCGCAGCCCAACGTCGTGCACACAGTCGGTGACTACCCGATCACGGAGGACTCGAAGCAGACGCAGGCCCTCGTCGGCGCGACGTTCGTGCAGCCCGCGGTCGTGGACTACCAGGGAGCCAAGGCGATCGTTTTCGTATTTTCCGTACGTGAAAATTCTACTTTCCCCGTCATATGCTATCCTCTTTGTTTTTTTTTTATGTGGCGAAATGGGCGCTGACAGGCGATGCTTTATCCCGATTTACGCACAGGACCTAGCAGTAAAGATCGAAGGCACCTTCATCCTTCGCTACCGGATGTTCGATATCTTCTCCCGCCCCTTCACCCAACAGAACGATCTGGCGATAACCGCTGAGACATACGGTGGCCCCTTCCGGGTGTACTCGACAAAGGAGTTCCCCGGGCTCGCGGCGTCGACGGAGCTAACGAAAGTGAGTATTATTCACCTGCCTGCACAAGAGAAACAGAGGATTGATGGTGTATTGGTAGCACCTTGCACGGTGGGGCGTCCGACTGAACATCCGCGAGACGGAGCGCCGGCGGAGAAAGAGGCCTGCAGACGGGCGGAGGTCACCCGTGTCCGAGTGAGTATCTCCGACCTGGTTCCAGTATTCTACTACTTTTCATGAAGGAGCTGACCCATCCGGCCTTTCTAGCGACGACGATTAGACGCCGTTTCTTCAACTTTTGCCTGAATTTCTTCGAATTTACCGGGCCGATTTTGGTATATTTCATCCGGAAATACGCCCTTCACCGGCACCTTCGAGTTTACAGACTCTGTTGTCGCCGTTTCGACAGCCGACTACATACCATGCCCGTTGCCCTTCTTCGCCATCTCGGATTCTGGAATCACGGAACTCTTTTTTAGTTGGACGGTGGATATGTACCCTCCTGCTCGTCTGATGACGGCTTTCTTTTTTTTTTTGTTTCACCCCGCATACTATGCTATCCCATTTGCTCTCCAGTGCTTTCGTGTCGCAGTGCTATCTATCCTTCGCCTTTCGCGTTTCCTCTGACCCTCTCGCCCATTCCTCTCATCTTGGCCCTGGCTCTGACCCCGACCCTCGTCCTTCTACATCAATCCCGACCAATATACCTGTAGGACCAAAAATACATGTGTATAACGCCCCATAGACATAAGATATAACATGTCATACACCGTACACGACCGCGATTAAATAAATAAATGTATTGCTTTTGTATTCTTCTTCGTTACTACATAAACAAGCTAGATGCATACTTTACGCCCTGTTTGCATGACCGTCGACGAGAGCTATGGTCGACATTGCGTATAGGGAATCGTCCGACGACGACGATCATCGAAGATTAATGAATGTGGCGCACTGATCCTGATCTGAAATCATGACATCTTGACATGTCCTCGGCAGTCCTCGGTCCTCCGAGTCAACGTCCTTGAAAGCAAATCAACTTCCCAATTAAATAACCCGTGGCGTATCCCGAATCCCCAATAGCCAAACCGGGAAAGCGCCGATCCTCATTTAATCGTCAATCGTTAATCGTCAGTGGCAGTGGCGATCGCCCTTTGCTTCTGATAATAATAGTCGAATGAGATAGAAGTATGTCTTTAGGAGCGAGATTTGCGCACCGCGATCACGATCGACATCTATTGAGTGTACTCTATATGTCTAATAACGTTGAGCCTATCTGACTCTTCGTGTTGGCGTTCCTTGGCTTGAAGGCACTGGGCAGGACGGCGTCTGCGTTGACGGTGACGTGATGGTGGTGGCGGCATTCGTGCCACGGTCCCGGGCTTATATATAACAGCGCGGACCCTAAATCGCCAGGCTTCATGGATATGATGCATAGAAGTGACCCCATTTCCATAACGGCCGCACGCCGTTGGGAGTGGGAATTGAAACGACAAAACAAAAAGACAGACAAGTCGTCGTGCCACGGCCTCGGACTCGAACGCATCCGTGCAGGCCCACACGCCGGGCTACGCTAATAGGTAAGTAGCCTGAGGACGGTCTCTGTGGCTCATGACAGGGCCCGAGTGGGTGGATGCTGGACCTGTACGAAAACATGGCGCGGCCTGAGTTAAGGCCAGATTAATGCTTCTTCGGAGCCGTTATTAACGGCGGTACAGAAGTTCGCCTTGCTGGTGGATAGATGCTGGCCACCGTGTGTTCGAGTACTGGGGTTTGGCTCTGTGCGTTCATTTGAGGTCTGGGAAGGCTCAGGGACCAGGAAGCTGTTGAAGTACCCGCAGGACTTGGGCTTCGGGTCTCGGAAGGAAAGGAAGGCGAGGCGGACAGAAGTCTGGGCATGAGACGTCTGCAGGTGATGACTATCCATGTCGCTGGAGACGCGTACGAAAATGAGGTAACCCCAGATTCTTCGGAGCCGTATTTAAGGGCGACGCCTCCCTATTCGACCCGTGTAGATGCTGATTTTTGGCTCCATTCGTTCACTCGGAAGCAGTTGGACTGCCAGTCGCGAGACTTGGACTTGAGGTCGAAGGGTCCGAAAGATAAGGCCTGGGACCAGGTAAGGAAAGGCAGCTCGTCGAGATGGCCAGAATTCTGGCGCGTCTGCAGCCATGGCTGTCCGAGTCGGTGGACGTACGGAAATGCAGCGGTAATCCTTAGAGCCGTGATCAAGGGCGACGCCTCCCTGGCGGTCTCAGACTTGAAATTGAATACTGGCATTTGGCTCGATTCGCTCATCCGGGGTAGAAACTGAAGTGAGAAGCCGTTGGGCTCCGAGTCCGAGGTCGCGTTTAAGTTATAACGGTTAAGGGCCAGTCAACCATCCAGGCGGCCCTGGTCAAACCGGGACCCCATTTCAGACTCGAGGAGATTAAGTAGTCGTGCTCCTAGGTGGGCGTAGGATACAATATAAAGTTCGTTGTTACATACTCCCCGCATCTCTCATCTCCTCTCGGATACGCCAAAAACTTGAGCAAACTCGGCACGTTGAAGACTAAAGTGCTAAAAGGCTATCTGGTCCTGAGCCGAGGTAGCGCCCGCGTATAATTAGGCACTGCCCCGCATAATGTCCTCTTAGCCGCAATCTACAGCCGGGCTGTCGAGTCGGGATTTCCTCTTTCCGTCATGCCCCCTGGTCTGGTCCACAAAACCCACGAGCCCACGGAATGCGCTATTTCCCCATTTCCCCACCCACTGTCGGAGCTAAGCGCTACTCCAGTTCTTGGCCCACCATCACTGCCACCGAGCCCACTTTCGCGGAGTTTGGAGTTGGACTTGTCGTGATCTCCAGGACCCATGGGAGCATCCGCCCACAGACTGATCATGGAAGACCCTGGAGCCTGGCTGGCGGGACGCGCATGCTTATGGGGGTGGTGTTCCGAATTAGAGAATTTAGATGACGGGGTTTGATCCCGAGGCGATGCCGTTTGGGGGATCGAAAGGTTTAGCAGAATAGCAGAAGGGAACATCATATGGTGGGCAGAGGGTGGTAGGATTCTCAACGAGAGAAGCTGGACGGCCGAAGGCATTTGGGTCATGAGGTCACGAGAGTGAAAACAGAAGAAAACGTGTGGTGTGGGATTTTCAGGGCGCTGGCAGCGGAAAACTGTACTTTCTGTATCCACCTCTCAATGCAATGTTTACCGGGTCTTGGCCGGTCCACTAAGAACATTAGGGGTTTCAAGGTGTATCTGTCTGCCTTTGGAATTTGGGGTATACCATTCCGAGTTGCGCAATAATGGAGCAGGGATAGGTGTTCTTGGAGTGATGATGTTGGGTCCTGACTCGGAGGTCCGTAGTGCGCTACACAAACGACGGGCGCCAGTTATTCATTGTCATCGACCGTTGTCTCCACGGCATGTAGTTCATAAAATTTCGTCAGAGGTGATCGGCGTAACTGACGGTAGTAGGACAAAGCCCGATATATTACCCCAGAAATAGCTCAACAATGTACGAGCGGAGAGGCATGCACAGGTAGGAAAACCTCACCCGCTCCGACTTTGATCCGGCTCGAGGCTTAGTGCCATCATGTTGCAGCGAAAAATCGATCGTTATTCGAGCTAACTTCAATACCGTGTCTATGAGAAAGAGCTGAAAATAAGATTGAGAATAATGGTGAACATACGTCTCCTACGCGAAGAAGTTTTTTCAACTTTTCACTAGGGCTGCATTCATCAATTGACGCTGTACGCCGGTAAAACTACGGGCTCGCACTACATACCGAGACAAATCTATTACGTACCACGCCGTGCGCCGTATACTACGACTAGTAAACTTTCATATTTCACCCCGTTAAGCAACGACCATGGCGCTTCGTGACGAAGAGCTTTATCCCCGTCATTAGAGGTTATTTGCAGTTCTGAGGGCCCCACAAATCCGTGAATCTGATTGGCTTGGGGCCTCCTTCAACCAGTGAGATTTGGGCGATTCTAGGAATATTCGAAGTGCAAATAACCTCTATTGAGTCAGGATGAACCAGTTTCCGACAATAAAATTTAGGTTAGTGCCCCACTTTCGTGCATCAACCCTCCTCGCAGACACATCATAGTGACGATTGGAAAAATGAATCGATGACGTCGCCTCTGTGTCATTGGGAGCGATCTACTCCTCTTAGCGTTAAGCGACTCTATGGTTCCACTCTGTTTCATCGTCGACCCTGAGGAATGAGAAAGCATAAAAGCCTAGACCCTCTCCCGTCTTTCAAGCCCAAACACCCACACCGCCTGAGCCCACTAATTGCACTACTCTCGAACAGATGTCTTCTGATCCCAGTACGTCCTCTTTCCGAATTGTGTGCAAAGGAATGATTGCTCAACTACTGCATCTCTATTATTCCCAGCTCGCGTTGCGGCAGGCTACAAGGCCGCCATTCACAACCCTCGTGTTTCCGAGGAGACGAAGGAGCGTGCGCAAGAGAAGCTTGAAAGTCTTCAAGGTGAAGTCGAAGCCGAGAGGAGCAGTAAGTCAAGAGGCTTCCTGAACACAACGCTTGAATAACCTTCATTGCAGGCCCTGGCGAGCAATACGGCAATGACGACGTCACAGCAGGAAAGAACGCGGGTAACGTTATGGGTGGATACAAAGCGACCTTAAAGAGTTCGTATCTTCCTCGCGATCGCGGCTTTTGGCGTCAGAATTCCTGATGATGTTCGATTTAGATCCCAATGTCTCTGAAGAAGCTAAGGAGAACGCGAGGGAGATTTTGGAGGAGCACGATGCTTTGTAAAGCATACCAATAAATAACGACTCTTCTTGGAATACTCTAGATGCAGTTAAATGTACACAATTCGACTCAGACAGGATCTATTTTCAACTGATGTATCCTGACCTATTGTGTTGAATGGAGGTGTTGCTTGCCATATTCACCGGGTATCCGGGCCGATATGCGCCACACTAGGGTTTTCAAAAGGAATGGTTTACAGTAGAAGACTCTGGACATTCATCTATGGTTACACATCGAGTACAGTTCACTTTCGAAGGGCATAGAGGAACCCGTCGTATCCCTTATCTCCTGCGATGCCGATGGTGGTTGCCTCGACTTCTTCATCACCTTGAATTGCCTTCAGCAACGTTCTGACTCCCTCTATGTTCTCATCCGTAAGATTCGGATCCGCCACGCTTCCGTTCCAGACTACGTTATCGACAATCTGTACAGAGAGAACGAGAAGTTAGCAACGTGATACGGATATGGCGGAGAGGAAAACCAAATGATACTCACAATCACTCCGCCTTTGCGGAGAAGCCGCTTGGCTTCCCGGAAGTAGAAGAGGTTGGAGGGTTTGTCAGCGTCGATGAAGGCCAAATCGAAGGGCTCTTCGGGCTGCAACTTTGGGAGCTCCTGTACGGCAGACCCTACAACAATGGATACCTTGTCCAAGAACCCGGCTGCTTCGAGATTCTGGGAGGCAACCTGGGCGACAGTTGTCAGTACGGTGTAACGCCTGATACATCCTGAAGAACCACCTTTGCATGGTGTTCATCTATTTCGAAAGTTATCACCTTCCCGTCTGCCGGCAGTGCCTTCGCGAACCATATCGTGGAGTATCTGCGAAAAGACCAGATCACCGTCGACGTCCACGGTAACAAAAGAAAAGGTAGATAGCTACCCTCCCAAGGTTCCAACTTCGAGGATGTGCTTTGCCTTCATCGATTTCGCGACGAGGTTCATCAGCTTGCCCTGAGCAACGGAGACGCTAATGTCAGGGAGACCCTGCTCCCTGTTATTCTTCAAAGCAGCGTCGAGCGCGTCGTCCTTCGGCAACAAGAACGAGTTGTGGTATGAATCCGACTGCTTCCAATCGTCGAAAGTGGTCTGTCGAGAGCTGCATCCGCCTTGTGTTGCCATGATAGATAGAAGAAAGAGCGTTATTCATCCGGGCAGTGGATGAAGGGTTTTATAGCGTCTCGCGTCGCTCTCAGGATATGACACGGACGCCGACTTTCGGACGTCTATTAGAGTACTAAGCAACATGGAGGCGCAGCACAAGAGAAGTCGGTGCTGCGGTTTGGGTAAAAGGGGCTCAGGATGCTGAATACGAGGAGAGAGTGGAGGTCCTCTCTGACTAGAATCCGAGGGGCAGTTGTGGAGGTCAAAAGAACGGCACGCGAACGCCTCCGAACAGCCGGGCTGCGGTCAGATGGTATGCTTAAAATAATCTGATAAGATAACCGGAGTCTCTGTTTCTTCCTGATGCTTACGGTGGTCATCTCGTCGTCAGCACGGGCCAATATTTCGTCCCGGGAAGTGCGACTCGGACCCTTGTCTTGCCTAGATTTGTAGTAGAGGGTGGTCTTAGATTTCCGAAGTCGAAGTCGAAGGCGTCGGTCTGGAAATCAATGTCGCCTTTGTCCAGGAGAAAAGGCGAGTGTCGACACTCCGCCCGGGGTGGCGCTAATCCAGCGAGATGGTCTGCGAATGTAAAACGCTTCGGAGTGCCCAATTCTCTGTGGGTGTGACTGGCAAAGTGCTGGAGCTGGGGAATGATATGAAGAAGAGGGATGCGTGGCGGACCCGCTCTACTGGCTCTACAGGGCGTGCCGTATCGATGACGTCGCCCTTCAGTGAGCGGCCAGCAAACAACTGCCCTGGGTACGACACGGATGCGATGAAGAGGCCTCGGGCCTCGGACCTGCGAATCGGCTCCTCGCGGAGTACCTCTGCCGGGCCTGCGGGCAATGGTCCACCTTGCGTCAGGCTCCCAAGCCGTGTCATATTTCGAATCTTGAATAAAGAGACCTCAAAATAAGGAAAAGATTGGACCGAGTCATGTATGGCAGCCTGAAACGGCATGGAAAGATCCTGCGCACCTCTGACAGTAAGGAAGCCCCAAAAAAAGTCCACGTCAACGACATAAGGACGGAGCGGACGACGGTTTTCCTACAAAATTAAAGAGATCACGTCGTCCTAGGGCGCAGTACCCATGAAACTGAAGACGCACCCAAAAACGCGTCCTTGTCAATGAGTCCGGTCGCAACGCCAGTGTTTGAATCGTCCACAGCAGGGGTGGAGACGCGACTGCTCGACCAGAAACGCCTTATCTAGTCGGGTTAAGGGTCAAGTTTCAAGAATCGACTGGTCAAGTATATAAACCATCTCTTCGTGAGATCTCAAGCTCAAGCTTCAGCAGAGCGCAATGTTTAAATAATCGTTCCCACGCTCTCTTTCTCTGGATCTTTCCGCCCACGCACCTTTCCAAGATTGAGGCTCGAATACCCTAAGCTGAATATGCATGCGTACTGCTGCAGCATATGATTCCGGGAACTGAGCACTGCCTTGTCGAGTCACCTTCAGGAACAAGGACGGCCGAATGCAACCAGGTTCTCCAACATCGACCAACCTTCCTTTGAAGTCAAGCCACGAACTGAAATTATCCGTTGGACATTGAATTCACAGTATGTGGCAATATTTCAGATTGACTATCGTCTTGCTTAGCTTTGGCAGATTCAGAAGATACACATTTCGGCAGCCGCTTCTTCGGAAATATGCTGAACGCTGATCGCCACGAAACCCAACAAGTTGAAGAGCTGCTGCTCAACAACGCCCCACCTCCAGATTCCTTACTTCCGACTGTAAATAATATGCTGGAAGCTTCAAGATCACAATTGTTGATCATCCAAGGAGAGATGAATGCGGCGGCGACGCTCCTGGCCGCAGACAAACAAAGGTTCGATGCAACCCAGCAGTCGATCAACAAGTACGAGACCATCCTATCCTCCATACGCCGTGTTCCAGCCGACATCCTGGGCGAAATATTCGGTCACTGTCTCCCTACTCATCGCAACCCCCTCTTCCTCTCGTCGGAGGCACCAATCTTGCCTAGCCACGTTTGCAGGTCCTGGAGGGCTGCGGCACTTTCAACACCTTCTCTTTGGGCGCGCTTACATGTATCGTTGCCTGGGGCTGTGCGATTGCGATTGCCCAGCGGACCAGCCGGCACACCTTCAATTGATACCATCCGCAGGAACAACGTCCTTGCCCTGTACCCTAAGATCATGAAACGGCGGAGTGACGCTGTGAGAGAATGGCTAGCAAGGTCAGGGGCCTCCCCACTGTCTGTCTCGGTATTCGCGCCGACCATTTATCCTGAATACCTCACGGAGATCATCCATGGCGCAGGGGAAATGGTCCTTGATGCGCTTGCGCCTTCTTGTGAACGCTGGAGGGAAATCGAGCTCACCATGCCTCTCGACCTGTACCAGAAATTCGAGACCAAGTTTGTCCTCAAGAATCCCAAGAATCTCGTGCAAGTCCGGCTCAGGCTTGAAATGCATATGGACTCCCCTTTTTTGGTGGATAATGCTCCACCTCCACCTTCCGTTGCGTTATTGTCGGCGCCAAATCTTCAAGGTGTCTTCCTCTCTTTACCCAGCCAACTACCATTCAACTTTTCCTCCTTGGACGAGCATAATAAGATGGCACCGATTTGGGCCCAACTTACTCGCCTATTCTTGCACACAATGATTCCAGACATGGACGTACACCTGTTCCTCCGAGCCTGTCCCAGATTAGTTGAGTGCGGTCTCTGGGCTTGTTCAAGGGGAGGCTTTGGCTCATCACTCAACACTGACAGCGAAGTCCAAGTAGGAGCCATTTATCTTCCCCACCTTCTGACGTTCAAGATCACGAATGACGGTTCCCCTGCCATAATGAGAAAGACCTTTGCTTCACTTTCTGTCCCAGAATTGAGGAGGATCGAATACGGAGGGATGTATCTACATCATGACTCTTCCGGACACCAGCCACCTCTACTCGTCTTGCTGGAAGTGGCTCAGTCCATCAGAACTTTCCATTTTGACCCACAAGGCATCCCAAAAGACACCATCGTAGACTGCTTGCGCACTGTACCCAGCTTGAAGCATCTCGTCGTTGGTGGAAGACTATCACCCTATAAACCTGAGGGTGAGCAGCGCAACGTCTGGATATCCCCGTACCCAGCGACTTCTTTCCCACTTGCGGTCCTCGCCATCGAAGATGCTCAGGCGAACGGTATCAGTGACGTCCTGTTACCCTTTCTAGAGAGCTTCGAGATCTATGAACCCTTCGACAATGTCTCCGACAGTGCACTCCGGAAATTTATTTGCAGTCGAGTGGGACCCGCAGCAGAAAGAAGGGGTTTCTCCCCCCTGAAGAGGGTCAAAGGGCATTTCGAACGTCCAATGGAGGAGGACATCAGCGAAGACGTAAAACGATGCGCCGCGGAAGCGGGTGTCGAGCTCGACCTGGATTTAAAGTACTCGAACGAAATTTTGGAAACCAAGAATCCTTTTTCGGTCCAGTACGGACTCACGCAGGTAACAAGGCGGACATGGATTTACTCCATTCTCGAGTCTTGAAGCATTCACATCGGTATATCAGGTGTGCATTTCTCGAGGACTGCTTCCGACTTGACTAATCGGTCGCATTATGCCACCCGCAGGCGAAACCGTCAAATGATTTCCCCGTCCCCGTTGCGTCTTATTTCTCAAGGCCTCAAGCCTTAGGGATATCGCATCGTGCGGCAGCCGCAACCGAACCCTCCGGTCATTCGAATTCAGGGAAGCGCTCGGGAGTCGGCACGTAGTATTGGCGTACGCACCTTCGTAACTTCGTATCTACATTCCCTTTTGAATAGATTTGTATGTATGGGACAACTTCGACAGCAACATGATTTACTCAAAGCTCACTTCTTTGTACTTTCCCAAAGGCTGAAGCTGGGCAGCCGTGATCCTGGGAATCTCGGAGGACCAATCGAGTCACGAACAGGAATAAGCGCTCTGTGATACCTGTATTCTCTCGTGCTACTACATCGACCGACAACTGTACTCACAAACTGGAATTCCCTGTTAAACAGCGAGCCGGTACGTGACAGCCTTTCAGAATCGACTGCCATCTCATCTTTGACGGAAGATAATCCCCCCGGCACTTGTCTCTCTGGAATCTTTTAGTAATGCTGGACACCGAGTGCCAAACGGTCCCACCACTTGAAGTTGAAGAGTTCCTCCTGAACAATTCCCCACCTCCCGATTATTTACTTCCGACAGTAAATGACCTCCTTAAAGCTTCAAGATCACAATTGTCAATCATCCAAGGAGAGATGGATGCGCTCGCGAAGCTCCTGGGCGCTGTCAGACAACGATTCGAGGCGACCCAGCAGTCGATCAACAAGTACGAGACCATCCTATCCCCAATACGCCGTGTTCCTGCCGATGTCCTGGGCGAGATATTCGCCCACTGCCTTCCTACTCATCGCAACCCCCTTTTCCTCTCGTCGGAGGCACCAATCTTGCCCAGCCATGTCTGCAGATCCTGGAGGGCTATGGCGCTTTCCACGCCTTCTCTTTGGGCACGATTTCATGTATCGTTGCCTGGAGTTGCATCCGAATTAGAGAGCGAATCAGCCGATACGCTTTTGAGCGGTACAAGTCATACTAACAACTTCCTTGCGCTATACCAGCAGATCATGGAACGGCGAAGTAATGCTGTTAAGGAATGGCTGACAAGATCTGGGGCCTCCCCATTGTCCCTCTCGATTTTCGCACAGACCACTTACCGTGATTTCCTTACGGAGATTACATCTCGTTCAGCGGAGCTAGTTCTCGACGCTATCGCGTCCTGTTGCGAACGCTGGAAAGGGATCGAGTTTACCATGCCTCTAGCATTGTACCAAAAGTTGGAAGCTAAACTTAATTTCAGGAAGCCCCCTTGTCTCACCCAGATTCGAATCAGCCTTGATAATCGCATGCACAGTCCTTTCGCGGGAGACGGCGCTGCACCTCCACCGTCCGTTACCTTGCTATCGGCGCCAAATGTTCAAGGAGTATCCCTGTCTTTTCCTGTCACCACTCAACCATTCAACTTTTCTTCCTTGGACAAACACAATGAGATGGCGCCTATTTGGGACCAACTCACTCGCCTGTTCTTGCACACAATGATCCCAGATACGGATGTACGCCTTTTCCTGCGAGCTTGCCCCAGACTGATTGACTGCGGTCTGTGGGCTTTTGCTGCAGCGGATCACTTTGGCACGATGGTCCCCACTGAAAGTGATGTCCCAGTCGGCGTCATTTCTCTTCCCCACCTTCAGATATTCAAGATAACGGATGGTGGCTTTCCTTCCACAATGAGAAACACCTTTGCTTCACTTTTTGTCCCAGAATTAAGGAGGATCGACTACTGGAGGGTTCATCCATACTACGACACTTCCGGCTCCCAACCTCCTCCGCTCGCCCTACTCGAAGCGGGTCAGTCCATTAGCACTTTCCATTTCGACCCACAAGGCGTCCCTAAAGAGACGATCATACAATGCCTCCGCACTATACCGAAGTTGAAGCATCTCATCATCGGTGGAAGACCGGCGCCTCACAAACCTGAAATTATGCCGACCAATGTGTGGACTCCCCCATTCAGAACGACTGCACTCCCGCTTGAGGACTTAGTCGTCAGAGAAGACGCTCACCTTGATGATGTGGACAACGATATCCTGCTGCCGTCTTTAGAGACCTTCGAGATATATGAACCCTTCGCCAACGTCTCTGACAGCACCTTGCAGAAATTCATTTGCAGTCGGGTGGGACTCGCAGCGGCAAGAAAAGGCATCTCGTCCCTGAGGAGGGTCAAAGGACGTTTCGAACGACCTATGCAAGAGGACATCAGCGGAGAAGTGAAGCAGTGCGGCGCAGAAGCGGGCGTCGATGTCGGCCTGGAGTTGACATATCTGACCGATAACCTGGAAACCAAAAATCCATTTTCAGTTGAGTTTGGACTGACACAGATAACTAGGAGAACCTGGATTTACTCCGTTCTCGAGTCCTAAAGCTTAAAGGCCTGAAGCTTGAACGTTATTTTGTTGCTTCTTCTGCTTTTATCAGGTATGTGGCTGCCGATGATCCAGTCTTCCTTGACTGACAGATTGGGCAAAGTATCTATTTGATTTGCAGAGCAGATGAGCCATCTCTCGGGACTTCACCTAAATGCGATGTCCGTCTCTCAAAGGGGATTGCTTTAGGTATCGAAAGCAAGTCAGAAAATGGATCTTTTCCCGAGGTGCCTTCTGTTTAAAGTACGACAGAGCTTACATAGCGAAGCGATATCACACCAATATGAGACGAATATAATAAAAATACAATACGATAAGTGATGTAGAGCGTGTGTGATACTGGGGAGAATGTTACACGATGACAATAGAGTTTAGACTAGTGGCGATGCAAAAGAGTGAAACTCAAGGACGATGATAAAAACTACACCGAACTCGTTGAACGTTCCATCCTCCACATATTTTATATCTTCTCCCTCGATCCCAGCCCGAAATCAGACAAGGACGAACCCATCATCTACCTCTTCCGCCCTGCCCCTCTCCACTGCCTTCTCGTTCCCGCCGACGTGTACGTCGCTCAGCCCGCCCGGCCTCATCCAACTCGTCCTTCTCGAAAGGAACGCCCTCATCCCCTTGCCCACACTACTCGCACTCGAGCTGTGCCGGTGCCCGTTCCTCGACGCAGGCCTCTGGTGAACGTCAACGCTCTCCCGCCCCGAACCCGAGGTCGAATTCGAATAGCCTGAGCCATGCCTCGCGACGCTCGACCCCGACCCAGCCGCCGACGGTGGTGTTGAAGCCGACATAGAACTGGAGCCAGCAGCCCCGCTCTCGCTCGTGCTCGCGTCCGACCCACTCCTGCCCAAAATGGGTTTGCTGTTGCTGTTGCTGTTGCCGTGGTTGTGGTTCTGACTGTGGGTATGCGAGCTGAAGTTGACGCTGGACGGACTCCTCTGCAAGACCCCGCCGAAAGGCGCTGAGCCCGCGACGGAGCCCGACCCCGACGAGATGCTCGACCGCGGGGACATGACCCTCGTCAACGACAGACCCCTCATCCCCGTCCTTGTCCCAGAAGAAGAGGCCTCGGACGCGCGCCTCCTATGCAACTTGGCACCTTCTTGTCCTTCAGAGGCGGGAATGGCGGGTAACGAACGGATATAGCACCTCCGGTACTCCTTTGCGCCGACCGCAACAGCCACGGCCAGCCCCCTGCTCCTCACACCCCATTCATTCACAACCAACACCGGCTGCTGCTGACAGCGGTCCTCATATTGCTGCAAGTGGGATTGGGGCTGAGCAACAAGCTCATACACGCCTCTTGTTTTAACCCGACCTCCAGTCGCAGAGAACCATGCGCCGTATGTCTCTCGAAAGTACACGCGTTTTAGAGTACCTGTGCCGTTCGCCGCACGGTGCGCCTGGACGATGCGCGTAGCGGCGCGGAGGAGGTCCTCATCGCCTGACCTATGGACTTTGGTGAGAGAGAAGGAGTGCAAGAGGGGGAGATCTTGAATAATCGGGACAAAATCTCTCTACAAATAAAGATTGTAAGATATCGGTATTAGGGATTCGTTGAGAGAGACTCACCACCCCAAACCCAACCCGCGTAAAACAGACCACGTCAACTTCCCTCACGCCGGGCACGGCCCTCATGAGCGCTGCGACCACACTCAGGCCCTCGTCTGTCTCCTCTGCCCCTCTTCCACCAGTTCCGCCACCGACACTCATCCTCCTTCCCCTCCCTCCTCCGTTCAACCCACCCACCAGTCCTCCGAGCCCCGCTGCACTGAGATCACCCCATAGGCCCAGCGCCTCCAAACCCCCTTCTTCGACATCCACACCACCAAGGCCAGAGCCAAAGCTCATCTCACGCAGCAACGCGACGGCATTCCGCACGACTGACGCGCCGCCAGTGCCCATGCCCATGCCCAGTCCCGTGATTGTAAGCCGCTTGATACCACGCCGCGTCGGTGGCAGTAGAGTTCGCACCCATTTTAAAGGGGCGGTGAACGAGCGAAGGTGCGGGAGGGGGTGGAGGTACGGCTGCTGTGCGGGCGGCGTATGGTGCATGGACGGAGCTACAGGCGGGTGGGACAGGTGCCGCGGGTGCAGAGGGAATGACGACGGCGGATACGATGGCGTACCCGCACTACCGGGAAACGACGTCGGCGGAGGCACCGGACCCAGGACCGGGAACGCCCACCCGCTCGGAAAGACCGTGCTGCTTGGCGCGTGCAGGAGCTTGATTGTCTGCAAGGTTGGGTGGGCCATGAAGAACGCCATGAACGACGCCTGGTCTCTCAGGCTCTGCAGCTCGCTGTTGCTTTCGCGAAAGCTCGTGCTGGTGATAGACGCAGCTGCAGCGCTGGGCCCGCCTTCCATGCTACCTCGACTTCCCGGTCTGCTGCGCCGGCCGCTGTCCGAGCCCACACCAGAGGAGGAGCTGGGGCCCATCACAGCGACGTCCCCCAACACAAGCTCGCGCAGGCGTGGCCACCGTCCAGCGGTGAAATGCCGTACGTCAAGTATCCGGGGTGCAGGCGCAGGACCACCGAGCGTCAGTGATTCGAGGCGTGGGCTGCGCTCGAGCAGCATCGCCCAGAATTTTCGTGGCAGCTTCGAGGTTTTGTGTTGCGGAATCCCATCTGCACAACATCAGAACACTGACAGCAAAATCGAAAACGAGACTCACCTGCGAGCCAATCTAACGAATGGCATTTTACGTGTATACCTACGTGCCGTAGATCGTTGAAGTCCCAGAGCTGGTGTGAAAGGCGTCAGAATTAAATTGACGAATACAAATTGCATGAAACATGGGATTGGGGTGGAGAGCAAACCCTCCTCGTCTTCCGGGCCCCGACATTTCCAATTAGCATCAAAATTACACTTACTGGACTCGAGGCATCCAGGGGCTCCTCGCCAATGCTTGTGCTTATTCGCTTGAGATTTCGACACCTAATAAACATGTAATTTGCATCAGCATGAGGTCTGGAGAAAGAAAACAAGAAATGCGATGCCGCGGTGACAAAGACCCTGCCCCGCCAACTACCCACGGAGTAGCCATGTACTGCGCTGCTGGCTGACCCTCACGTAACGAGAAGTCGCGGCAAAGCTGCTGCAATAGCATAGACCGCGGGCAAGTCCACCAGCACGCCCTCCGCGGAAATGCATTTCCGGAACGAAAGAACGACTCACGAAATCCGAAGGGCATCCCACATATCCGGCCCTGGCATCTCTAGTCCATCCCACTCGAACGTATCCAGCGATACCAGATGTCCTTTCCGTCCCAGCACGCCTACGAGCTTCGCAATTCTCTCCTCTTCGAACTGCATCGTCGCAGAGTCGGTGTCACCGCTCGGGTCCCCAGACCACTCTGGGTTGTTTGGCCTCACGACAAGTCGTTTAACATGGACTGAACGTTCGGTCGCGGGGCGTTTGGACAGGGCGAGCAAGGTGATCTTGCATTGGTTCGTCGATTTGAGGTCGATAGTATGGTAGAGTAGTGGCGAGACGAGAGTCTGTGTCCGGTGTGACTTTACGACATGTTATGGTTACCATATGGTGATACGTAAGGACAAGGACGACTCACGCAGAGACCAAGTTGGAGGACATCCCGCAAGTCCAAATGGCGTGCTATCTCGTAGAGAATGTTGGCGGGTAATCGTGGCAGCTCCTGCGTCGCTGGGCTTGCCCTTCTCATCGGCAGCGACGTGGGCGACTTCAAGAGCCTCTTGAACGACTGTACCGGCGAAATCGCGGTCTGCACGGCGAGAACAACCATGCTCGTAGCTGGGGTGGTGAGAGACAAGAAAAAGTTGCGTTCGCTTGTCCTTCCGGTGAATTTAAACGTCTTTGTATTGCGCATGTCCATCAGCGCCGTTTCCCGATATATGACGCAGTTCCTGAACCGTGGAGCGATTGACGTCGATCCCTGAAATTACGGAATGGGGAAACTTTGTCTGCTCAGCCGGAATACAAAGTTTTCATTCTCGACGGCCGCTTGCCGTGCGCTTCAAAGATGACAACCCTCGGAGGTGAGTCGCAGCGGTCCTACCAAAATCCAGGCTGCCCTAGGAGAAGTTTTCTTTTTGAAATAGCCTGCATTTCAACCCCGCCAAGCGCCGACGCAGGACAAACGTGCATTGAAGACAAGGGAGCCCGCCAAGATCACGCTACCGTGCTGCTCAAACAGCGAGCTCTTTTTGCACCGATTTTTATTTTGTTTCATTCCGAGTCAATAACTCAGTCACTTCCATTCGCCGCGTTAGAATGTCCAATAGAGCGCATTCCACTCGTTTTTAGGCTCTGTTCCTAGCGCGTGGTGATGCAACACGCTTTCTGTTATCTGCTTGCGGTCGCGGCTTATCTAACCGATCCGGGACGGCTGTTATCGAAGCAAATCCTAGGACAATTGTACACCCAAACACCGCCAGACCCCCTTAGCATACCGTAGGAACAGGCCAGGCCTGCTGGTGGTGCTAAGCAGGGTTAAATACGCACCGTTCTCTGTGCCATGCCGTGCGTGTGGATGCAGCGAGGCGATTCTCTGGAACAAAACCGCGAATGTATTTGGACTCCGAGGAGGGTCTTAATTAAAAACAGGTGACCAGCTGACCGGACAAAGCTCTGGAGACGACACGATGTAGCAAAACGGGATGAATCCGTGTTGTATGAAAGGCGATAAAAAGGACTAGCATACTATCACTTCCGATTGTGAGCCTCGACGGACATGAGTGCCAATGATAGTATGTCCGGCGATGGATGTTATCTTTTAAGATAATCATTTACCCTGGGACAACTTGCGCCGACGAGTATGGACCAATCTCATGTAAAGTAGAGTACGTGCGTCTTTGTACAGTTACGCGAAACCCGGTGTAATCTCGGAACTCTCGGAACTCGCACGAGAAACAAGCGCCTAGACACTGACTTGGAGTAGTGTTTGTGCGCTCGGAATCAAGCAGTCCAGCCGGAGCGCTGAGAGAAGACAGTGTGCGCACTGCCCGGTTCTTTACAGAACCCCAAACTGATGAGCAGTCAGGAGGCCCAGGTACTTAGTTGCCTCAGGCGAGTTTCTAGACGGCATTCAGGTAGGCTTCATGAAACCAATGACGTGTCTAATTGTAGGCGACTCCAGGCGCTCGTCACTTGAGCGCTTACCCATCCTCCAATTTCTATAAATAGTCCTCTCCTTTTAGGGATACCGACTCCCGAGTCGACGTCAATCCTGATCAGCAATTGAATGCGTCGTAACAAGAGATGACCTCATCTATTCAAACATGAATATTAAAATAAGATAAGAACCCCAACAGTCGCGGTCCAACATGCGCCAACACATCCCGAGCGCTTCCCCACCGCGTCATTAATGAGCAGATGCCGTGATGGCGTCATGATTCAATTCAGTTGTACTGCAATTGTAGAATGGGTGAGGTGAAAGGTGAGGGCATATGTGCTACGCGGCGCATCAGTCGATTACATTGGTCGTGTTATGGCAGTGCCAGGAAAGCGGCTGTCGGAGAGACTCAGACGGGATGATGGGCACATGCTTGTCTGATTTCCGACTGGATAGAGGATAACAAATATTTGGAGGATGGGTTCGAGTCCAGCATTGTTTTTATCATCTTGAGTTTAACTCGTTTGTATCGCCATTACGCTCTAATATATACCACGATCGTCATGGAGCATTTAGTAGCGCGCACACTTTGCATCACTTATCACGTCGTATTTCTACTACATCTACCTGTATCGTCCCACAGGGTCATGCTATTGACAGAAGGTACAAAGAAACTGCAGGAAACGCGATTATCTGGGCAACCTATTAGCCCAACTTGAAGCCAGGATCATTGAGCTGCACACCTGATTTGACCAGCAGAATCATATAAGAGACAATTTCAGTCCGTGAGTTCAGAAGGGAGGTTATCAGTCGACATAGTCGTGAAGAGAACCCCAAAGACTAAAGTGCTCTGAGTAGCATTTGTGACTTTGTGACTGGTTGACTGGGCTTTAAGTTTAAGCGCTAAGCGCTAAGCTTCGACTGGTCCTCGAAAGTTCCCAGGGTCATGCTTACAGATACCCAAACTTCAAGCTTCAACCCTCACTGTTTAGAGGCCTTAACTGTCGAAAAAGTACATGAGAAGAAGACAGTGAGTAAGGAGACAATTTTTGTGCAGCAAACTTGGTCGGAAACTTCCAGCGCGCTTACACTGAGTGTTTACCCTCCAAGGTATTCAGCTGAGATTTTTGGCGTCTCGAAGACCTGGTATTGAATACCTCTTGGCGCTCAGAGAAATTGTCCACACATGGGACGCTCTGGAAAAAAGGCAAAAGAATGGAATCCATTTCGCGACTTGGTCAAACCATATGGTAATACGACTGTCAACCACTTACTCATGTCCGTCATGTACCTGAGCTGACTAGCAGAGATTCTGCTCCTGAGAGGCGTGTAGAGGCGTGTTGCAGCGCAGACAAATCTGGAGATGACCGCATATTTGGTGCGTACTAGCGTGCGTGAACCAGAAAGCCATAAGGTCAACATAGGCCTACAATGTTTGTTCTGTGTGTTAGACGGAAGTTTGCGAAATTAAGCGCTTGAAGCCACTTATCGCGCGTGCTATGTCCTAGAGCTTAACGTGTGAAGCGCCGTCAAGGCTTGATGATGGAGGGGTTTTTTTCAACCTCGAAGGAGCTAGTGTGAAGCATTTATTTTTGTCACTTGTGGTCGCGTCTCCAGGTCAGACATGACAATGGGCAGATGTGATCCAAATACCAGCTAATTTGCCATATCCTACCGTATCCAGCAAAAACATATCAGCGCTTTTAGTCAGTGGCACAAAGAAGGCTGGGTCAACCTCCGAAGCCTCGTCTGGATTCCCAAACTCGTCCATTGATTGCAAGGCAATACAGATGCTCAAAAAAAAATTGGTGATGGCGACTGCGATCTGCTGACACAACTTTTTGGAGTTCCTTGTAGTAGGTTAGACGATGGAATATGGAGTGGTGAAACGCGATAAGTCGGGTTCCGTGACCAGCGGCAGTTTGCTCAGATGTGGCACTGGAGCGACGCGTACTATCTTGGAGTGTGCTAAATTTAAGCTCAGGCCACGCCGCCGCCTTTGCTTTGGAAAAGCACCCAGTGAGCCTGTCAAAATCTAAAACACCAATCTGATATCAGGCATATGTTGAGGCTACGTTGTTCAAGTGTTTTGAAGCTAAGAGTCGGACAAGCGCTCAAATTTGCCTCACAGCTTCTGCTTCTGCTTCTGCTGATCGGGGGCAATAACACAATTTAGTTGATTAGAAAAGGAGCGAAGTCCCTGTCTCGAATGATTAATGAATGATTATATGTAGCTTTTGATTAAACTGCAGTCTTCAAATTATGTTGTGATCCAAACGAAACACTTCCGCCGGCCATACTGGAGACCACCAGAAATACTTAAGCAGCGTGCTGGATGCGTCAAAAGCCCCAGCAATCTGCCCCAGCAATCTGCCCCAGACACCACCAACATTAATTTAACTCGCCATGAAGCTCTCCTCGATTTTCTACGCCTTCACCCTCTTCGTTGCTGTCGCCCAAGGAAGTTCTGTGCGTCCTCTATTCTTGCGCTCCCGTGATGCCCGACTGACTTCCATTCTCCATCTCTTCCTTTAGGAATACGACGAGCTCGAAGCGCGACAATGGCTCGATGACTTGAGCGCACGCGAGCTTGTGCTCGACTACCACGCGCGCTCAGGCGTCCTGGAGGAGTTCTCCACCCGTGAGCTCATCGACGAGCTCCAAGGCCGCCTTGAGCGTCGAGGACAAGGCCACTCGAAGCCCAAGCCCCCTCCGCCCTACGTCTGCCCATATTGCGGGGCTAAGTATAACACAGCCAAGGAGGTCAGTCGTCTTTAGGCTTCGAAGAGTCATTGTGTTTGTTAATAAAAGTTTGATGTACAGGCCAAGGACTGCAGCAAATTCTGCAAAGCCAAGTAATGGAACAAGGGGACAAGGGATGAATCGATGAAGCCCCAGTGATTATGGACATTGTCGTACAAGTAGTGTATGGTGAGCCCGAGTGTTGGGGGTGCGTTAATCGATTAATATACATATATTCGTTTCGGAAAGTTGTGATCGGTGATTCAGAGTCTAGAGAGGTGCCGAGATGAGGAGCGAGAAGCCACGGACAATATTGGGCAGAAAAGGAGCATCAAAGAGACCGGGGAACCGGGGCTAAGGTGCAACAGTACCGCACCATGTCTACGAACGATGAGGTCCATTTGAGGTGAGCGCCCACCGTCTTGAAGAGGCCGCACAAACACCAGTGCTGCTCGTTGAAAACGCAAAACCTACTTAGGAGCCAGAAGATAAAGGGCGCAAGACCTTTGTTTTCGAATCGTACTTGATGGGAATGCTACTGAGTATCATTAGTGTAGGACGACTTGCAGACACGCGTTTATCAGATGGGAGGACGGGCGGGACGGTCTCACGTGTCAGCTATTTAGGTGTTCATGCATATCAGAGCGCGAGAAACCCGACACCTGTGCTCTGGTCGAGAGGATAAAAGATAGGTGAGAGCCACGACTCGCGCTGTCGTCTCACCCTCCACTCCAGTGAAAATAATGTGGAAGACCAAGGATCTCACAAACTCACCACCGTGGGGGCCTCGCACCAAAATTCTTTCCCCGGAAGATCGCTCGAGAATTATCTCCGAAAAATGCAAGTCCATCATCGGCGCCTATCGTATGTCATTGAATTGGGTTTAAACCTCTTTAGGATTGGTAATGGGCGTTGGAACAGATTTGACAACAGAAGACGTCTTAAAGGCCTCAGGGAAATATTGGGAGCTTTTTAACGACCCGATTCTGTGCACGGTTAGTCAAGCGACGTTCGAATGAAATCCAATAAGATATCTCCTCACCCCACTCATAGGACGTCACCGTCGGTCATCTAATAAATGTTCACTTAAATTTCGGCGTGTTCACTTTGGTGAAATACACGAACTCCAGACCCGACATCACAGATCTTGTAGACAGACTTCTGAAGTACGACGTATCGTGAGCTCTGAATTTTAAAAAAAATGGAGTCAGTACTGACGACATACGACGGGGTGCTAGAACCCACTACTTAACAAAGTGGTCGGCATTGAAGTCAGGGACAACAGCTACGTTGATGCCGGATGGAACCCTCGAGCTACATACGTCGGAAACATTGGACACAAAGTGAGTCTGATATTCCCTCTTGCACATGGCGGCATGTTATCTGAATTCACAGGTTCGTACCTCCTCTCCTACTCACTGGCACACCGGTTGTCGCTGTACTCTTCGCTCGCCTCATCGTCGCTGGGGAAGATAGAGGGAACAAAGTATTCGTAGCCAGCATCAGCGATGGTCTGAAAATGGCGCTGGGGGTGGAGTGCAGAGGCGTTCCTCAACGAGGTAAGTAAGAAACATCTTCTGCCGGAGGAGAAATGTAAAACATGTCCGCAGGAGGCTTGGACCCATTCATCAATTTCAGCCGTGTCCGACTCCCAGCGACGGCCTTGTTATCGTTTCCAGATATGTCCCAGGATTCTCAAAGAGCGTTCTTCGACGATATCACCGCCATGATACGAGGATCCCTGTCATTTGGGGCGATGTCCATCACTAGGATGCGTATCGCAGCCTACATCGCAGGGATGGCCATCCTGAGGGATACATCGGCTCTGCCGACCGGCAACGTCATCTCTCTGAGCCCACCGGTTTTTGCGGTGCTCACGGCGATTGCACAGGCATTCGTCTTTGCGCATTTTGGTGAAGAAATAAGGGTCTTGTTCAACAGCCTTGACGGGCATCCCTTTCGACAGCATTTTATGGTCATATTGTTCAAGGAGGGTGCGGTCAGACGTACCTTGGAGAACATTATGCAACTTGCCGTCGGACAACAAGGTTTGCTGGAAGTAAATCAGAATTCGTTGTTTTGCGTCAGACATTTTTATCTCTACGAGGCCGAAGATTAACATTATTTTGGTTCAGGACAATCTGAAGGAGATGCTACTTGCTGATAGAGCGAATTCCATTCGTTAGTAGCAAGAGAAAAAAAAGATGAAAGGAGCCTTACCGATTATGCAGGTTTCGCAATGGAGGTGCTCTTCGGCCGATTGGACCCGCCCATGACCGCAAACCCAGATTCCATCCTGGCTAGACACGAGCTCTCGATGATTCAAGATACCCGAATACTCTTGTCAACGAATCAGCATCGCGACCCAGTCGGCCTCGCCCATTCGTGCCAACGCTTGCTCGAAGCAATCGCCCACCGTATGGGATGCGAGGCTGCTATCGCGGCCAACGTTGATGGACGCCTGATCGAGCTTTTCAAAGCGAGTATTATCAAGCTTGATCCAAGTTGGTATGCGGAGCGAGGAGGCATGACGAGAGTAAAACAGGCGGAGGTGGAAAAAGCCGCTGCTGAAGGGTTGTTGCCTCAGCTTCCAGGGTTATTGCATAGGCTGGAGGTCGAAAGATACTCCATGGCCAGCAGTCCAGAAAAGGGGAAAGATATAAAAAGTCGACTGTAACGAATCACTGGAGGTCGCGAAAGAGAAGTCGATACAGGAGAAGAGTGGCTGCCGCGCTAAGCTAATGTGCAAGCTTGTCATCAGTCTGCGATACATCGAGCCTAGGGGAGATGTCAAACCCATCGCATGGATATCAAGAACTTCGAAAATGGCTGAAAGCTTTGGGGATTGACTTTTTGTTTCACGTATGTAGTCGATAGAAGAAGAATATGAAGGAAGCCTTGATGCTGGCTTCAAGAAGACAGGAGCAGCCCTGATCAGCCCGAGCCATGATTTTTGAGAGTGATATCTCCTGTTCGCAGCTTGATACTTCGCGAACACCAGCTGAAATGTAGTGATGCGAAGGCGAATGGCCATTCGGCTACAATCAGTGGGCCTTGCTTGGAGGTACGAGCAATCAGATGGACGCATCGATGAACTGAGTTCGTCGGTAAGTGGCTCTGACGATAAATACCCGATGTTTTTCGATGGATGCCCGAGGGTCAACACGAGGTTATCACCCACACGGAATAGGTATGAGCTTCGCCTATTCCGTAAAGCCTTCTTAGTTAATCATCCTTCATCCGCTAGGCCCTCGAACTTACAAGAAGCTCCATTCTCCATCATGCCAGCAGAAGTCGTCCGCAGCGTCGTCCAAGAATGGGCCAACACCTTCATCGCCCGCAACTACAGAGCAATGACGAGCCTAGCAGTTGCAAGCGCCAACTACTGGATCTCTGGCATGACAGAGAAGGTCCCCTTCGCCGGCGACCTGCCATACGCAGACAGAGTCCAGCGAATCCAGACCGTCTTCAGCGGGATGGACACACTTGACGTCGACGTTCTTGGAATAACTGTGGAAGGAGACGTTGGGATTTTGGAGTCCGCGCCTAATGGATCGGGGCCGGGCGACCGGGTCTACAAGAACAACGTCTTGATAAAGATGGTGGTGCAGGATGGCAAGATCCAAGATGTTCGGGAATACGTGGACGCGTTTGCTTTGCTGAATTACCTTGGAATCTATGTTTAGACAGAGTGCCACTTCAGCGCGGTGTTGAAATGAATTACAATTAGTCGAGGATTGAAGTGCAATGGTATTTCTTTTTGAGGCGACGAAGGCGAAACAATCGTCCGGAGGCTGTCCCGTCATTAGGCCTTAAACCTTAGGAGCGGTCGTAGGCACGGACTGATTATGATTCAAAGATTTGTCCAGTTTGAGACCTGCATTGGCAGGCTAACGTCGAGGCCGCTCTCGAGATTGGGGATGAGAGAAGTAAAGTAGACAGTCGAGGAGGCATCCTCGAAGGGGTTGACGGACAACGGTAATGGAAGTTGAGTATGTTCTGCAGATCCAGCGTCTACGATCTCGAAGATAGCGTACAATATTAGGAACACTGATTCTTTGTGCTGCTGCTGCATATCAGGAAAATAAGTGACCAAGCTAGGGATCGCGAAGAAATGACCAACCTAATTGTGCTACCATCTGACTCGACCAGCGACCGTGATGGCGGCAATCCATTTGGTTGTAAGCATAGCAAACTACTACTTACAGTCGGCATGCCCAGGCTATTTGGTTGCATGTACTGGCATTGACAATTGAACTGCATGCTCGGGAAGCCAGATGGACATGTCAATGATAGTGATATCGTTCCTCGGTAGATGGCCGCGTAACACATCCCAGCCGCGAGCCCGCAACCGTTTGGAAGATAAATATTGAGAGCGAGGAGTATTGACGTCAATACGAGGTGGCGACTTGCACAAGAGGTAATTTGACTTTCCTTTCAATGACACGAGGTTAACAATGTCTTCGTTTACAGAATCATCAACTCACAAGCATAACCCTTCCTGAATCTGACATGGCAGCAGAAGTCGTTCGTAGCGTCGCCCAGGAATGGATCAACGCTGTCGCCTTCCGCAATTTCAGCGCCGTTGAAAGCCTAGGGACCCCGGGCGAAAACTACTGGATTCTTGGAGACAAAGAGCGTATCCCTCCTGCGGGCGATGGCCCCTACGCCGACAGGATCCAATCTCGATGCAGACATTTTTTGGGCAGATGAACGGCCTCAGCTTCAATGTTCTTGGAATAACCGTGGGAGGAGAGAGTGCCGTGCTTGAAGTGCAACCAAGAGGAGAAAGTCCGGAAGGAAGGATCTACGAGAATAATGCTATAATCAAGATGGTGGTGAAGGATGGGAAGGTCCAAGGGATTCGAGAATACCTAGACCATCTCGCGATTGGCAAATATCCGGGGATAGAGCTGTAGACACTTGTTCAATTGTTGATGGCTAATAGACAGAGTCAGTTCGACAGTTTGATAGACAATTGGAGGAAGAACAAATACCTTTGGCCATTGCGTTCTTTTGAGAAGAGATGAATACCCGTTGAAACCGAGTTCAATCACGAGAGCTTCGGCTGTGCAAAGTCGCAGAAAGACTGAAGCTTCAAGTGCCTGCTGTTCGGTTATGGGCTGAGGAATCTTTCGGCGAACCATATCTTTGACAATCAATTTGGGGCACCAGAAACTGCAGCCCCGAGTCTCTGGTCTTCAAGGAAAGACCCAAATGACTGCCCGAGGTGAATGACTGCGCCAGATTTTTTCCGGCCGTCGGTTGCTTGAAAGACTTCATGTAGTATTACTGCATAGTAATCGATGAATATGCCGGAGTGGTGGCACACGATGAGAGACGGCGTTCGTCAAATCCTCGAACAGGGTGGAAGGTTTTGGTTTGAGGGATTGGTGCCGCCAATTTCGTTGGTTTTCCGTGTGGTTATTGAACTTGAGAAGAGCAGACAAAAAAGCAGAACGGTGCAATTTGAATATTTCATATCTTCTGAACAACTGATAGCAAAACCTTGAGCTTGCACAACAAAGACTGAAATTGGAGACGTTAGTACGTTGTGGGTGAGGAAGATGCGACTGGGACGTTCGGGCTCCTCGTAGTTGCTTATGTAAGCTCGGGCTCTTGATCAATTTGCTTTTGAACGCCGAACTCTCTGAAAGACACCTCTGACTTCGTCGCCACCGCTATGGCGAAGGACTCAACCGCTCCTTTAGCTGGACCATCTCGGCACCAGAACTCCAAAAAGTCGAAGAAGGGCTCAAAATCCCAAATCCGACCGGCCAAAGTCAAGAAACTTACAGAGAAGCAAAAATTAGAAGCTCTCGAGGGTGATGTTCTCAACTTTGTGAGGACCTTGCGGACATACAACATTTTATACATAACTGATGCTCTCTGGAGATGTAGGTACCACCCGACGATCTGAAGACTTTCGCAGACCTTCCGATATCTGAGCCAACGAAGAGAGGTTGGCATTATCCGTCAATACAATAACATTTGTTCAAGTTTTCATCTCCAGGGCTCAAGAAAGCCTTTTTCGTCGACATGACGGACATTCAGACGAAGAGCATCCCGGTGTCCCTCAAAGGAAAAGACGTCCTCGGTGCAGCTCGTACAGGCAGCGGCAAAACGCTCGCTTTCCTGGTCCCCGTTCTAGAGATTCTGTACCGTCGGAAGTGGAGTGCAATAGACGGTTTGGGTGCACTCATTGTGTCGCCAACGCGAGAGCTCGTACGTCTTTCTGTATCTTTCCACAGTCGCGCTTAATCATGTCAACAGGCAGTGCAAATTTTCGACGTCCTGCGCTCAATAGGCGGTTATCACACCTTCTCTGCCGGTCTAGTTATTGGTGGCAAGAACCTGAAGGACGAGAGCGAGCGTCTCTCGCGAATGAACATCCTCGTCGCTACTCCTGGTCGATTGCTGCAGCATATGGATCAGACGGTCGGGTTCGACGCGGACAATCTTCAGGTGCTAGGTACGTCCTTATTCGCGATGCCATTTGAGTAGAGCTCATGTTTTATTAGTCCTCGACGAAGCCGACCGAATACTGGACATGGGCTTCCAAAAGACCCTTACCGCCCTCCTCAACCACCTCCCGAAATCCCGCCAAACCCTTCTCTTCTCTGCGACACAAACTGAGTCCGTCTCCGACCTAGCACGACTAAGTCTCAAAGACCCGGTCCAGATAGGACTCAAAGACACCTCAGCTGCCTCCCTCTCCACCATGCCGCAGAATCTCGAACAGCATTACCTCCTCGTTGAACTGGACAAGAAGCTCGACGTCCTGTGGAGCTTCATCAAGACGCACCTCCAGTCCAAGGTCATTGTGTTCATGTCGAGCTGCAAGCAGGTCCGCTTCGTCTTTGAGACATTCTGCAAGATGCACCCCGGTATGCCGTTGCTTCATTTGCATGGGAAGCAGAAGCAATCGGCGAGGCTGACGATGTATCAGCGATTCACGTCGAGCTCGCACGCGGTGCTGTTCGCGACTGATATTGCTGCTCGAGGGCTAGATTTCCCTTCCGTTGACTGGGTCGTGCAATTGGATGCCCCGGAGGATGCTGAGACGTATATTCACCGTGTTGGTCGAACGGCACGGTATCAGAGCAAAGGCAAAGCCCTCTTGTTCCTGTTACCCAGCGAAGAAGAAGGCATGAAAGCAGCGCTGTTGAAGAAGGGTATAGAGCCGTCGAAGATCAAAAACCGCCCCAGCAAGACCCAGAATATCCAAAACCAGCTTCAGAACCTTGCGTTCCAGGATCCAGAGATCAAGTATCTTGGCCAAAGGGTCAGCTTACTTCTTTACATCTACCTCCTGATTCTCAACGCTTTTCAGGCTTTTGTATCTTACCTCCGATCAATATACCTGCAGAAGGACAAGATGGTATTCAAGCTCGATGAACTCCCTGTCGACAAGTTCGCGGAATCTCTTGGGTTGCCTGGAACACCGAAGATCAAGTTCCTGAGTAAGGCCGCTGTCAAGCAAAGAAAGAACGTGTCAAGGACTGTTCAGACTGCTCAAGCTGATGTGCAGAAAGAGAAGGAGGAGATAGGAAGTTCCAGTGACGAGTCAGCGCTCGAATCTGACGGTGGCAGTGAAGACCCTGGATCGTCGGAAAGTGAGGGAGAGGAAAAGAAAACCCCTTCAACAGCGCCGAAGGTATCTAATATTTTTCCTTTCTTCGCTCTGTTATTCAACATTATTCTAGGTCCGCACGAAATACGATCGCATGTTCGAGCGGAAAAACCAAAATGTTCTCTCAGCCCACTACTCAAAACTCATTGAGCCTTCACTCGGCGCCAGCCCCGAGTCTGATGACGATTTCATCACCCTCAAACGTGCCGATCACGACCTCTCCGGCGATGAAGCAAAACTCCCTCTCGACTCCACAACCGAGCTGTCGAAGCGCAAACTAAAGCTCTCCAAAACCAAGCGAATGGTTGCGCAGGCGGGCACGAACAAGAAGCTGGTGTTCGATGATCAGGGCAACCCCCACGAAATCTACGAGATGGCGGACCCGGATAAGTGGTACGAGGAGAAGGGCGGCTTGACCGGGGCGAAGGAGGAAGGGAAGACGTTCGCGATGGGCGAGAATGCAAAGATGCGTGTGGCGGACGTGTTGGATAAGCAGGAGGCGAGGGAGAAGAAGAGGGAGAAGAAAAGGAAGAGAAAGGAAAGGGAGAAGGAGGTATGTGCCGCGCTTTGAGAGTTGTGGAATCGTATTGAAGTTTTTGTTTTTCAGATGACAGAGCCGCAAGCGTTTGCTGAACTTGACCCCGTATCTGAAGACGATGGCTACGTTTCGCCAGAGTTCGACCTGCCTGATCTACCTTCCGGCGAGGACGAAGATACCCCTCCCCATCCTTCAAAACGGGCCAAGTTTGGTCATCCTCAAAGCTCGAAAGATAGGAAGCACGGTATTGACATAGATACCGGATTGGAAGATGAGGAGGAGCTGGCTTTGCGTCTCCTAGGAAGGAGCTAAACCCCCGACTTCACGCAGCCAGTGCTCATTACCTGTTACTTATTATCGCTGGTATCCATTTCACGTTGACTCCATGTTCCGGTGGTTTCTTCTAGGTTCCTCAATATGCCCGATGGCTTGTACACGACATGCATGCACCACATATCGTAGATAGATTGGACCATGCAGGCTGAGCGGACCCAACTTCAGGAGCTTACCTAATGGACTGAAAGAGGAACATGCGGACTCAGTTCTGCTTCTCCTCCTCCATCCTCCTCCACTTACGTTCCTGGGCTTCCTTCATTTATTCCGAGAGTTATTTCAAGGAACTGCTACTTTGTCTATAACCTCTCAGAGCATAGATCTTGCTACTTTATCTGCCCATCGCACCTTCAACGTCTTACTCCACCCGAAATTATTGGTGGCCGTCCAGGATTTACACATCGACGAACTTGGTGCCGACATACTATAGGCTGGACCACCTCTGAACGTTCCAGATGCTGTTCTCTTTCACATCGCGTATTATCAGGTATGCGCATTCTTCACCCGTCGACGCATTGACGCCCATTCCAGCATGTCACCTCTCTGTCAACGTTACGAAGCGCACTAGCTGCATTCTTATATCCAGGATATGCGTCCTACAAGACACTCAGTCAACGACCGGCGTCAGAAGCAGAGCTTGAGAGATGGCTCATGTACTGGTCTGTGCTAGGGTGCATAGTCGGAGTGGAATACCTAGCAGAGTGGCTTGTCTCATGGTGAGTGTCCAACCGATATTTCTCCTGTACCCTTCACATTAAACCATCCGAACGAAGGATTCCGCTATACTCAACAATGAAAGCGATCTTCCTCCTCTACCTCGCCCTTCCTCAGACACAAGGTGCAACCTTCGTGTACCAAGCCTACTTACGGCCGTTCTTCGAGACTCATGAACAACAAATCGACATGGCCATAGCCGAAATCCGCGGGCGCGCGTACCGCTTCCTCCAGGAGAAATTCCGTGCTCTCTGGGCTGCCGTCGTCGGCACCCTTGCGCCAGGTGCAGACGGCACCGTAGCAGGACAAGGACCGACTCAACCGCCACCCACGATGAACAACCCCGCTGGCGGGCTCTCTCAACTCCTCTCCTCACTATGGACGTCCTATGGCCCAGGCATCATCGCGGGTGGTGCTGCTCTGCTTCGACAAACAGCGACAGCGACAGGCGTAGTAGGCGCAGCACCCGCGGGCCAAAGCAGTGCAGGTGCACAGCCGTCGAACAACGCCCTGAACACCCCTCCTGGGTCCACCTTCATGAACCCAGCGGGAAATACGAGCGCCGAGTCCGTCGCGGAGAGGCGTAAGCAGCTCGAGGCGGAACTTGCTGCATTAGCTGCATATTCTTCGACTGCCCCTATCCCGACGCCGTCGATGAATAATCCTGCGCGACCGAGTACCTCATCGACGACTCGATCTTCATCTTCTTCGTCGTTCTCCGTGCGAGAGCGAACGATATCAGGGAAGTTCGAAGAAATCAAAGGCGGAGAGATCGAAGGCTACGAGGTGGACGATGATTTCGTTGGTGGCTTTGTTGCGGGTGGCCAAGGTCAGCAGACATCAACTGGTCGGGGAAGTGGTTGGCTCAGTGGTTGGGGATCGGGCTCAGGAAAAGGCGCGTATGAAAGGGTGAAGAGTGATTGAGATCACGCCTATGGATAAGAGTGTCCTCTTTATTGGAGTATGTTGATACTTCGTATCTGTTGCTCAATCTTGCCATCTGGTTTGCTGCCTGCCCTTCGGTCAAATTCTGAATCCCGTTATCAGTCAGAATCTAATATCATTGACTCTAGCTCCACCAGAAGGATGAGCCTGCTGATATTTTTTTTTTCCAATTGGGAGTGGTGTTCATCTCCATTCCATCTGAATTGAGTGTAAAAGATGAAGACCACCCTCTTGAGCCTACGTACCGTCCTATTAATATATCCATAGGATATCCGTGCCACCTGACTGTTAACCAAGGTCCGTAAAGGAAGTTCAAGATGCCTGAGACCTAATTGGTCAGTTGAAATGCTTGATTCGTACGCAAGGATGGGCGCTAACAAATTCAAGTGTGACTGCTGTGGGCGCTTATTACTGTAAGTGGAGTCTTAATATGATTTCGCCGTGTGATACCCATCGTGCCACCTGCCAACGCCTGTCCGAGAACAACAAAAGGGCGCAGGTAACAAATATTGTCATGAGACCTGACGTCTGTGAGAATAATATAAATACTAACACACCAGCAGGAACGTGCCCCAGGCCCCTTATACCAGGGACTATACTACCATCGGGACGTTCTTGTAGCCTCTAGGAGCCCAAGATGTCGAACGACGACCTCCCAACCACAATAATGATAGGAAAATATGCAACAATGGTGTGTCAATCAAGCATTCTAGTAAGCTATTGGCTCTCAGTCATATCTCTATCCAGACGTTTCTCCGAAACGAAGCCTACCTCACCCGCATTGAGACCATCCCAAGCGGTAACACACGCGGAGACACGCTCTCTGTCCCGCCGCACTGGCACGAGACGCACGACGAGTTCCTTCGCATCGTGCAAGGCCGCATCGAGGCCCTGATCGGGTCGACGACACGCATCTACGTCCCGGAGGATGGCGAAATACGCATTCCGAAGGGCACGGTACACGGTTTCCGCACGTTCGAGGGCGAGCATGTCATATTTGAGGAGCGGACGGAACCTATGGTGAGTACTTGGTGGGGTGTATTAGGGAGAATTTGTAGCAACGGCGATGGTTCTGAATGGGCTGACCAGACTTCATAGGACGAGGAAAAGGAGTTGTTCTTCCGGAACGCCCTCGAAGGTGACAAGATGACCACCAATCTATTCCAGGCTATGCTTGTCTCGTACCATGGGGATGTGCGTCCTGCATTCCCTGGGCATATCCTGTGGCTGGAGAAAGCTGTGAGTGCCATCGCATCGGAAAAGGAAGGATATGATAAATCCCCTACTCACTGCTCCCCTGACCCAGTTCGTCACGATCATTGGGCACCTCTTAGCGCCTTTGCTCGGCTACAAGTTGAGATACACAACCTTGAAGAAGCAAAATTGACTGAGGATCAGCAATGTAATCATGAAATTTTGGCCTTTTCCCGTCATATTTCTTCCCAGCAGTCTTCTTTCCTGTACGCAAGTATTAGCAAAGCCATTTCTCAGAAATCATTGATCACTCATCGAGATTTCGGTTGTGACGGGCTTCGATTCTATTTCGCAAATGAGGGGGTTATTAAGTACATGTTTTGACATCGGAAGCAGCCTGCTACAGAGATAGAGGCAAGGAAAGAGGACAAGGGTATCAAATCCGGGTATCGTGTGGTCATGGAAAGCAAGAGGAAAGACAAGTGATCGATTCAGCTTCGATGGTGGACGGGGGGCGCATCCAGCCTCTAACTGTCACCCTTCGTGATCAGCTTCGACAGCCGGCGAGTTTATAGCTGACGGCTCTTCCAGGACCGCACAAAGGACCTCCTAGCGACCTGCACGACCCGGCCTTGGTCGTCGATCTGAGTGACGGCGGCGAAGTTCTACAGGGGAAGGGTTTGTGATTAAACGCGTTCTTTGAACAAAAAAACAGCACGTACCGTTGTAATTCCGAAACCAGCATTGAACGCATCAGCAGCTGCGCCGGTCTTGTTGGGGGCGGCGGCAGCAGCAGCAGAGGCCTTGGCACAGGTGTCCTTCGCCGTCTGATCCGCTTGGCAGAAATTGACCAACTGATCGCAGATGAACCGGGTGATGATGTTGATGTTCTGCGCCGATCCGTGATTGTAAGAAGCTAATGATAGTGAGTGGACTCAATGGTAAGCAAAGGTCCAAGGGGCACATAGTCAAATGCAAGAAGCAAGGCGTACCTTTGTCCTTGGGCTGGAAGCTCGTCTCCCGGCGGCCATCGAACCCAGCGGCAAACTCGATCTGGGGGACGGAGCAGCGGCCGAAGTTGCCAATGCCACCGCTGGCTGCACCAGTCGCAGCACCATTGTTGTTATTGTTGCCTGTTGCAGCGTTGCCAGTGGAAGTGGAGCCAGTGTTAGAAGAGCCAATGGCGAGAGCTGCGTTGGCGCTGCCAGTGCCAGGAACGACGTTGCCTTGATTGTCAACGGCTGCAGTGGCGGCGAAGTTCTGCGGCGGCATTGATCCGTCAATATTACTGAGGGAGTGTGGCGCAGGAGGGTTGACTTACGGTCTGGATGTTGAAGGCGGCGTTGAAGGCGTCGGCTTGGGCACCAGTCTTCGCCGCGGCGGCACCAGCAGCGGCAGCAGCCTTTGCGCAGGTGGCTTTGGCGGTAGCGTCAGCTTGGCACGAGTTGGTCAGGGTGTCGCAGATGAACTGCGTGATGATGCCAATGTTCTGAGCAGATCCATGGTTGAAAGAAGCTGAAGACATGGTCAGTCAAAAGTACTAGTGCTCATGGAGCAGGGCCAACCCACCCTTGTCCTTGGGTTGGAAGCTCGATTCCCTCCTGCCGTCAAATCCAACACCAAATTCGATCTCGGGAGTCGAGCAGCGGCCGAAGTTGCCAATTCCACCAGCACCAGTGGCGGGAAGGGCGTCAGAGACAACGTTGCCCTGATTGTCGATGACGGCATCATTGGCGAAGTTCTGCGTAGTGTGCTCATAGGGACCTCCCGAGAGAACCAAGGGTCGAAGGAACTCACTGTGGTGATACCAAAGACAGCATTGAAGGCATCGGCCTGTTCGCCAGTCTTAGGGGCTGCTGCTGCTGCTGCACGGGCTTGCCGCCTGGTTGGCCTTGCAACTGTTCGTGAGCTGATCGCAGACGAATTCTACGCAGCACGTGTGTCAACCGCTACGTCACTACCAAGCAACGCGAAAATGTAACATACGGGTAATGATTCCGCTATTCTGCGCCGATCCGTGATTGAACGATTCTGTCCTCCCCCGTCAGTTACCCCGCCGTCAAACGTAGATGCTAATTGAATTGACACGCACGGAGATCCTTGGGGCGGAAGCTCGTCTCGCGGCGGCCGTCGAACCCTGCGCCGAACTCGATCTCCGGAACCGTGCAGCTGCCGAAGTCGGTGCCTGCGGGAGGCGTGGCGGGCGTGGCGGCGGCAGTGGAGGTGGCAGCAGCAGCGGATGTGGAGGTGGTCGTGGTAGCTTCGTCAGCGACGGTAGCAGTAACGGTCACAGTAATCTCGGTCTGGAAAATAATGAGATGCTTAAAACGTGAATAAACGCACGCGCTTACCGTGCAGTCGGCAGCATCTGTGGCTGCGGCGGTCGTAGTGGCAGCATCTGTCGTTGCAGCTGTCGTGGTGGCAGCAGCAGCAGAGGTAGAGGTGGTAGTAGCTGCCGGGCTTTTGTGCAAGCTAAGGAATGGATTTTGGGACAAAACACGAGAACTGGACTAACGGGTTCGCGACGGCGCCACCAAAGGGGGAAGTATTGGGTTGCGAACCCCTGCGGACGGTGGCCTTTAAAACAGGATCGAAGAATAGTTCGGGATCGTTGGAGGGATCTTGAGCCTGAACAAGGCCGTTGAGCTGAGCGTTCTTGGGAGCTTTCTGGCAGAATACAGAGTTCCTCAGAGAGGGTGGGTTGGTTGTGAAATCCTATAAAAGGGATGAGACGTCATTTTAGAAACGTTATTGTCTGGGAAAACGTACGGGAGGAGTGTTCTTCTCAACCTGGCGGTATTCGATAGCAGCCGCGACCATAAGGGCGGCCGTTGCGGTGTCAAACTGCTTGCTAGCATCTTTTTTTTCAAAATCAAAATCAGAAAACAACACGAAGTCGGTTAGCGGAAATCATAACACACCGATGATGGCATCCGCCATGTCCTGCTGCGAGCACTCAGGCTGCGCAGCGAGGAGGGGGGTTACAGCCTGACCAGCCAAAACACCACAGACTTGTCCCGGGCACGCATCCCTAATTTTCTGAAGGACCGCGGGTTGCTCCTGACCGAATCTCCGGGGATAGAGGTTAACCGCACGTCCGTCTCTCTCCAACCACTGCTCGCGTCCAAGAGCCTGCTTCGAGGTGAATGCGAGGAGCACAAACAGAATAAGACCGAAGTTGGAATTGAAGACCATCTTGAAGAAGGTTCACAGGTGTGGAAGTGGTGCCAAAAGAATGTGCAAGAGAGTGCCGAAAGACTCTTCAAAGAACGCTGGAAAACGAAGGAAAAGTAAAAGCAGGCACCTAGTCAAAGGTGAGCTGGAAAAGCGAGAAGAAATGAAGCCGTCGACGACACAACCGAAAAAGAATTAGGGAGAGAGGAACGTTTTTCTCTCACAGCATGCTTTAATAGTCGGTCCCGGATCCAGCTGGCCGCAATCAGAGCCCTCAGGGGCGGCCGGTGAAATTCCGTCACGCGTTGCTGTGCCGACAGCGACAAGAGGAGAATCGAGAGGCACTCGCTTTTATGAAGGGGAGATAGGCGAGAATTTGGCGACACCCAGCCCGTTCCAGCTAAGCTGACCCCAGGTGTGAGTGTGCCGCGGCCCCCTTCCACGACCAGCTTTGCTCCCGACACATTGAAGGCGGCCTCTCTGAGTCGGCACTGAAGGTCACCACGCAGCAAGCCGTGCATGCCTACTCTCTTGCTGCTGGCGCTTTATGAGACAGGCAGTAGTAATCCGTCCAACTTACCGTTCTAAATCCTCCGACACAACAAGGACGTGCGTGTTAATTATAACGAGGACTGTACCGGATACTTAGCTACGGTCCACGGCGAAAACGTACGTCGGGCCTCGAGTGAGAATTCGGCGCTGATAGCAACGCAGAACCGAAATGGTGAATTTTCTTTGCAATCACAAGGCAGTTCACGTTCACATTGCCGGTTACCAATCAGGGCGCACGCCCAGGCGCCATCACTAATCCATCACTAACTACCCCATTTGGAAAGGCGCGCCGCCTAATTGAGTTGAGGGTGGCGCACATCTTAGTTAGTGGTACGGACTCGTCATGGCTCAACTTCCGTCTATTTCTCGCATCTTAAGTATTCTAGTTGCTTAAGGTCCTTTTTCTGAACCATTGACCAGTCGGGAGTAGATACGACGAGTACTCCCAGTTGCTGATGCATCAATTATGATGACAAGCATTGGCGAAGATCGGAGACAACGCTACCCGTCGGGCCGCCTCCCACTCCCACACGACACCACGAAGGCGACCAGATAAACTCTAGGAGATTTTCGCCCGCTCTTTCCTTACCCGCCTGTACTCTACCTTAGCAGAAGTTTGGGCCAATCACAGTAGAAGACAGAACTGCGTCTTGTGACGAACAGACTGACGGGCCATTCAATTATCAGTCAGGTCCGACGTCTCGAGGCTTGCTTGCCGATTTTGGAGTTCAATTCAATTGAAACAAATTCGAAGCAGCTTTGTAGGTCTTTAAAGTTCGACTCGACTCGCGATCTATAAGACCTAAATAGATCTCGTTCATGTTTCTCCCACACCGCTCAGCCGATAATTCGGAGCTGTGATCCTGTAAGTATGCAGATACACGATTATCGGCTTGACGGACTGGCTTTGGAATCTGTCTATGGGAAGAAATACTTGTTGGCAGGATCTCATTAGAGCGCCTTCAGCGTGTGTTCGGCTCGTCGTTCCCAAAGAAATCCAGGGTGTACTCCAAAGTTCAAAAGGATCCTTCAGAATGGTGAGGGAACAGAAGAACTCATTCTGGAGCTTAAGACACGTTGGACTTCAAGCAAGAGAATGTTATCTTACCGAAACTATGTAATTCAGCCATACTGCGCTTTCAATTGTTCTCACCGAGCCCAACTCCAGATGGTCGTCATGTACTTGCGTTGGACCCACATCTCTTCCTTCGGACGATCTCGATGAGCTTACGCCGAGTAAGGACCGACTACTTTTTTCGCAGAGTATGCATACATGTGCAGCGCTTAGCCCAGCACTCATCCTCAAGTGGCTTCGCTGCTTTCAGGCCTCGAGCACCTTCGCCAGCTTCTCGATTAACGGCGCTTGTGACTCCCTGTCCTCTTTCTTGGGCACCATGAAGTCCGTGATATACTGTACCTCAGGCTCGCTGACATGAAATCCTGCGACGGCGAGCCCAAAATCCTCGAAGTCCTCCGCTAGCTCCTTGTTGAAGCTGGAAGCCTTGATCGCCACGAGCTCGTCCCACCATTTGCGCGTCGCCTCGAGCTGATCGTAATCCTTTGGCTTGTACGTGCTAGTGAAGCCCGTGGAGAGCTGTGGCGGGTAGGTGTTGTAGTCGAGCACGAGGACGGGACGGCCTGGTGAAGGAGATGTGTTTCTCGCGAGGTCGCGTTTCCAAGAGGAGAGGATGAGGTCGGCACGCGTGCGCCGGTCGTGGTTGAAGACCTTGATGGAGTGCTTTATATGGGAGTCGGGGAATGGCGCACTCTGGCCGTCTGAGAGAGAACAATTTAAGATGTGTGTGGGCAACAAGGACGAGTTCGGCGACTTACTCAGTCGACGCTGTTCCCATTGTTTGCACTGGCAGTGGCTTTTATGCCCGTCCTCCCAGGATATTTTCTGGCACGCGTCGGAACAGTAAGACAGGACGTAGCATCCCTCGCATGGTTTGAAGGTCAGCGTCGTATTCTTCTTCGAGCACTAGAGTTTGGGTAACATGTCAATCAGGCCTCCACGATGCGCTTGGAACAACATGCCTTCTTGTTAGAACAGGCAGCAGCGCTGTTCACGATCGATCCAAACAGGGAGAGTCGTTCCTTCGCTACTTCCTTGAACTCGATCCACCCACGCCAAAGAGACGCTCTCTTGTTCATCTTTCCTTCAAGCATTGAAATCTCGCTCGCGTGCACTTTGAATGAAGACGCGAGGGCCCTCGCCACCGTGACAAATATCAGCTCTTTCGGGAGGTGCTTCTGGAATAACATGAGAGGTGCTTCGGATTCGCCGATACCTTCCATGAAGCGGTCGCAGCGAAGGAGGGCAGGGATAAGGCCGGCTTCGACTGCGCGCATGGTCCACAGGATACCATCAGTCCCATCGAGGCTGGGATGGAGGTAGAATATGATACACATGACACATCGGTGTATAGCTTGCACTTCGTCAAATTTCTTCGGCATCTCGAGTTTCACGACCTCTATCAACGCCTTCGTCGCCCATATTGGCCCATTGTGTGCTACAAGCGCGTTCTCGAACGGGTCGTAGTCGGAGAGGACACCGAGGACGTGGATGTCGTCGTAGAGTCGTTTGAGGTATTCTGACCCTTCAGGTAGGTATTTAATACTTCTTCTCAAGTGGATCATGGTTACTTCTCCCACCCTGAGGGGATCACCATCGCAGACCTTAAGGAAATCAGGGGCCCACAGAGGGTCGATCTCAACAGTGTAAAACAAGAGGTAGTTCTGTAAAAGAGATGAGGAGAGGAAATCGGGAGGAAATCGCATGTCGAGATCGTTCTCGTAGTCTGGAGGATTATCGACGAGGGCATATGGATCCAGCTCCGGGTCAACAGCCTCCAAGTACCAAAGGGATATCAGCAGCGGTGCCAGTCCGTCCGTGTCTTTGACTTTCTTGAACAGAGGTTCGTAGAAACGGTAGTAGTACAGTGCTTCGACGATGTTGTCCATGTATTCTCTGCGGGCGTCGTCTGGAAAGCCAACGAGAGGCGTCTTGACGTTCAACGCACGCCTCCGGATACACTCTATCCAGGGCCACAGCTCGTCCTCCCAGGAATCCACGATGATGTCTAAAGCCTCCCTTCTGGCTGTTCCCGAGTTCTTTTGCTGGAGGAACGCTGTGAGGGCCTTTAACGCTAACGAAGCATCTGGAATCGCTCCGACATCTCCTCTGGTGAGCATTCGTTGTCAGGAATGTCCTCCGGTCGGGGGTACGAGTACATTATTGCCATCCGGAGCTTCGTTTGTTCAGTATCTGTCTCGCATCTCGAGGTATTTGCGTAAATAGAGCGAAGCATACGCAGATCCTTGTATGTCGTTTTACGAAAAGGTAATCGGCCATTCTGAATCGATGGGTTGAGGACTGCATGATCCTTTCGACCCGAAAGAAACGTACGTGGGTAGTCTTTTGCTCGCCTGTAGATGTTATCATCGGTATCAATGGCCTTGAATACAGCTAGGAAACCGACGATGATAGAGAAGGCGAGAGCCACTGTGCTGGTGGATGAGAGCAAGGAGGAGGCGGCGGTCGGCAGCCATCAACAGGTCGGGATTTTCCGAAGGCTCTTTGCAACCTCCGTCCGCCCTGTGCAATTCCTAGAGAGACTATGCAATTCCCCTCCTACTTACACGAAGGCCTTTGCAAAAATTTGCACTTCAAGACATATGTTGGCCTAGAATTACATTCAGTTAGGTCTTCCTGAAATGCACTACAAAAGACGCGCAGCAGGAGATCGCGATCTCGAGGGCACCAGAGACAAGCTCCAACTAGCTGGTTCATGTTGGGTTCGTGGCAAGTTTCTTCAACATCGGCTTTCAAACTCTGCCTTATCAGTTTCAATCATCACAGGAATTACGCTCTCCGTCTTCCCTGAGCCGAATTAGATGAATGTTCGACGGGACCGAGGCTGCGAGACTTCAGGCTGTCGACCGTTTCTGGGCATAATTCTCCTCGCGCAGTTCGGCCTCGACCTCGACAGCTCTTCTTGCTCGACTTCAAGGCTTCCTTCTCATCTTCGTTCCACCGTCGCACAACCTCTCCACTCTACGCCCCGAATTCGCATTCGAGAAATCAGCCGCAAGAAAAACTCTTGGACGACGAACTGTGTTGGGTGACGAAGTGAATCATGCATAGGCTCTTGTTCCTTTCCCGCTGAAACACCGTTCAACGCTGGAGCTCCAACGAAGAGGCCTATAAGAGGAGCTCAGTGGCTGCATCTATACGCGAATAACCTCCTATCGCGTTTGAAACAATGGTGCAGTACCCTTATCGGCATTCGACCTATTTCACTGGTCGGGATCCCACCTACACCTCGGAGCTACCTGTGCGTTCCCCCCATGTAATTGTGTCTCTTTCTGAGTATATGCTGACCTGATGCCTCTCGAATAGCCGATGAACAGCACGGAGGACATCCTCCAGGAAATATTCATGCGAGACCGGAACACCGTCTACATCGCGTCGCCGAGGTATCGAAAGTTCAAGAAGCTCTTTAACGCGATCAAGGTGCGTCCTTCAACACTCATAAATTGTCTATTGTACTGATCTCGACCCTCGTTTTGCCTTTAGAACTGGAGAAGGAAAACCGTCGACTCGAGTTTCTTGAACATGCCTAGGTCGCCGCGAGTGCACCGCTACTTCTTCTAGACCCCTTCAAACTTGCTCTTTCTCCATCACGATGCTTCTTGGTTATCCTTATTTTCTAATTATTCTGCATAGAACGAAAGGACGTTTGCTTTGACCCCTTCGCCCACGGACTTGAACACTCATCGATACATCATTCATAGACGGCTTGTAGACTTCAACCTTGATATACGAGTCTACCCCACATCTTTAGCGTTGAAAGCATTCATACGTCAAGTATGAATTTTTTTTGAAACCGAAAGTGAGAAGTTTTGAAATGCTTCATTCAGTTAATTCATTAGTTGAACTTGGCGGCTCCAGGTCAGGTTAAAGCTGAACATGGCCATCAGAACGCACAGCCAGGAGGAAAGCCCTGTCGAATAAGGATGAGAATTGAAATGCCTATCATCGTAATGTAATAAACGACTATCAGCATCTCGACCGTAAAGTGAAGGGTGAGCCCACCTGCGATCAGAACGTCCATCGAAAATGCCTAAGCTTGCAAGACGTGAAAGGCCGGTAGGACGCACGCCCAGAAGTGACGAGGAGAAAATTACTGGTATTAGGATGCGATGTGGTATGTAAAATACAAAAGGATTAGCAGTACTGTCCGACACTAACTGTCATACAAAAACTGAATAATGTAGTCAATATTGAAAATAATTAGGTGGCGTTGGATGTAAAGAGAGGAAACAGAGAGGGCTATTGTGGCAACATACTAGTATACGGCGACTTCGGATGGAAAGCACAGGATAAGCAAGAAATGATGAGCAAGAGATGAGATGCGATGGAGGCGGATTAGCTGATCTTCTTGAGGCGGTATTATAGTTGATTAGATGAGCGTAAGGGGTGGCGTGGCAGCGAGCTGACTCCATGGGGAATGGAAGCTAGTGTCGCGAGCTAGAACTGCGCTGGCGGATCCGACGCGCCTCTGCCGTAACATTCCACGCGGTTTGTACAAGCTCGAGTATCCGAGTGTCATTAAGCCCGAGCGAGAGGATGTTCTTCCATAGGCCTTGGTTGTGCCGGTAGATGCGCTCGAACCGGTCGTCACGGTATCGCGAGAGGTTGAGAGCCATTGCTGCCGCGTTTGGGAACTCCTCGACGACGTCGACGGGGAGCAGGCTCCACGCGAGGATGTTCGGGTGCGTCTCGAGGCGCATGCCGTATAGTAAGAGGAGTGGGAGGGACGAAACGTGCGGAACGGTGACGTGCACGACCGGGAGCGAGACCATGAGCGCTTGCGGGACACCGGTGAGGCGTGGTACGGGCGCGGTGGTACCGGGAAGCACGGCTGGGAGGTTGAGCTTGAGGCGGAATCCCTGCTCGAAGAGCGTCGCGTCGATGGGCAGCATAAGAGGCGGCGCCGTCGGCTGGTCGGGTTGGCTGACGGCGAGGGCGTGGGTGGGCATCTGGGCATCGCGCAGGACGAACATGTCCAGTGCGGCGCCGAGGTTTGTCGTGTCGATTTGGTTTGGCTGGACGTTGAAGTGATGACACAGTGCACTGGGGACGGAACGGAACAGTCAGTCAGTGCTACTTTTCGACAGACGAGACGGGGATCACATACTCAATGGGCTCCTCCTTCTCCAGTCGTGATGGACGCTGCATCTGCATGGATGGCGGTCTGTGACGCCGTAGAGATTGGTGAATTGGGTGGGTGAAGGAGTGACGCAGGCGTGAAAGAGGGTATATGTCGTGTAATTAGGGGGGTCGTATACACTGTAACAAGTCGTGAAAGGGCGTTGGGTGCGTAGTGGGAGGTCGGGGTTGACCTTTTGTAGGGTAAAGGAAGGTGAATATAGCGGAGGACGGGAAAAATTGTCGTGTGTACGTACTTATAAGTCCGCTTCTCGGCAAGATAATCGGGACGCGTCGCGTCTATTGAAACGTTGAGCTCCAGAAGAAAGGTTAAAGGCGGTTATATCCGTTCTGAGGATGGCATAACGAGCGTCCGTCTTGAGGGGGACCGTGGATGGGGGCTCCGTTCGAAAAGGACACGTCAGGGAACGAGAGGAACCTGGATCGCTGCTTTCTCCGAAGATATCAATATGGCAAATTTCTCTTCAGGCGTTTTATATCAAATGGAAATAAAATCAGCCATGAGGCTGACTGGGATCACTCCATGTATTGCAGCAGGTCGGATCCCTGCTGGATCCCAGCGGTCCCGAATTAGGCGGATAAAGCACGTAAATGCGTGTCTTGAAGAACATCTTTGTCGTTTGAGATTTCGCGGCTTTCCTGAGGTTTTCAGCCGCGAAGAGCCTAGGCGGGCTGTGCGGGTTCATGACAGTGATGAGTGCTGAGTGCAAGGGTGCTCGGCTATCAGACTAACAGGAGCCGAACCCGATCTACCTCTTTTCCATTCAGCGCCAAGCATACGTAACATGCATCCCGGTTTTCCGACTTGTGCTCAGTGCTGGCTGAAACAGACTTTCTGTCCTCTTAATTTCGCTGACGGTGACACGGGCGGCGCTGGAAAAGGAGCGGCTTTGCGACAAATGAACGCCACTGGCGCTCTATCTAGGTGGTTGTTTGGATTGGCACTAGAAATCCCGGATGAAGAAGACGTGAATGGACACAGCCAGGAGCTCTGAACTGTCGCTCGCAAATCGCTGGCTCTCCGACGTCCGTGAACCAGATTCAGAACTCCAACAGAATGCAACCACGTGATCCTAGAGGAGTCAAATTCAAAGCTGGCCAAAAGGCGCTGAAAATGTCTGGCCCTTCTTCTGTTTCTTCCTTTCGGCGCTGCTTTATTGCCTGGTCTATTTTCGAGGTACTATACCAGGAGAAATCATTCACCGGCGCCTGCAGGCTTCACTCACCTCATCCTCATGTGTCGCCATGACTGCGCGGCCAATTAAACACCCTCAGGGCGCTCCGAAATGCGGATAATCTAACCCCGCCCTCCTGTCAGTGGAATCTAGCCAGGAGGCCTTGCCAGCTCAGAGGATACCGTGATGGGAGACTTTACACCTTCTCCGAATCTGCCTACGGGCTCTATTTTTTCCTGGCAGAAGCTCTTGACAGTTCTGGTTGCAAATCGCCTCGAGGCTGAGCACTCCGAGTTCTGGGGATCGTCCTGCTCTGTTCGTCCTTTCCGCCTTGCCAGATTCGCTGTGGAATTACACGGTTGTCGAGACTCGAGCTCAAAGACCGCCGACATATTTTTGCACAGGCCCAAACCTTGTACAAGCACCCACATATCGTCGTTTGTTCGAGCCACCGGACGAGACTAGCCTTGCGCAACCTTATTCATTCTCACAGGAGGTACTTGGGTTTTAGTCTATTAGGCTTATCCATGCTCAATGAATGACGGCACCGTCGCTGGCAGATCCTCGACTTACTGGGAGGGCGCCCATAGTTGCTTCCATTTACTGCGGTCACGCAAGGTATGAAAATTTTGCTGTTCGCATGACCATCCCCTCTTACCCCCATGATCCAATTGGCAAAGTTTTCATGGTCTTTACAATTGCATCTATCCGGCGAGCTGCTCTCAGTATAGTTAGTCTCTGGAACCTGTCAGCGTCGCGTGTTCGAGGGGAACCCGTGCACACGTATTTTGACAACGGTTAATCCCTGCATCCCCGCCTCGATCAGGTTTCTTTCTTCATCTTGATATCTAGCGCACGTTCCCGCCTCTGTGAGACCACCACCCACATCCCCTCTCACGAACAAGCGGTAGCCACCCACGGTTTTGCACCGTGAGACAGTAGGCCTCCTATTTTCCAACACGCGTCATATTTTTCCTGGGCTTTGGGGACGCGGGAAGGTACTTATCTGCGCGTCTCACAACTCAAAAAAAAGTAAGGGTCTTCTTCTGTGCCCCTTTCCGAAGCTGATAATCTATTCTCTGGAAGACCCACTCTACAAAAAATTTCATCATGTCAGAATGGCGTCTGTTCACATGTTGGCCTTTGTAGGTGATGAATAATCCTCCCGCGTGAGTTCTCTCGGCTGGCTTTTCGAGCGCTTCTGAACTTATGGGGCCAGGTGGTCTATTTGGGGTTGATAATCTCCGGGATGTATCTGCCGCGGTGCCAGTAACATCTCGTTGGGCCACGCGCCTTGACGAGAACGCGTTAATATCCGGTACCACCGCGTCTTTTGACTTCAGGTGAAACAGATGTGGGGGCCTCGAGGCGTTGGGGTGTCTTCACTCCAGTTCCAAAGGTGCCCTCAGACTGAATCTGATCATTTTACAGGATGACGGAGGGGTGTAATTTCTTCAGGTTAGCGCACTTGATCCTCCCCTCCATAACGAGTTCTGATAACGCTCTCGCAGTTCCTGGAGCGTTCGATATTCCCTGGAACACGCTTAGCTCTCGGCCAATGCCATCTCGTAGCTTGACTTACCCAGCACGTATGCCCTGTTCCAATGAACAAGCCTTTCGCAATCCGCGTCGCCTCGCCAATGATCGGCCCTCCGCCTGTGCTGACAGTCGGCAAGAAACACGCCTGGCGCTTATCTACCGTGCCTTCGCGAAGCTGCTGTGATATGCTCGCGACGTGGCTGTAGATCAGCTCGCACGACGCAGCGTCGACCACAACGTCATCCACCGTCGTAGGCAGCGGGCAGTCGTCGCCCGGACCACAGGCGTACACTTCGTTGTCCGGCCGTGCGTAGATCTCGGGGGACGAGTGCGTAGCAGACGCGAGGTCGTCGATCTCTGTAAAGAGCACGTACGGCGCGATCGTGACGCCTTCCGCCGGGCGGATGGTGATACTGTGCGCACGGGTAGCCGTGATAGGCAGCTCTGGAAGAAGGGTAGGCGACCAGGCACCCGCAGCAAGGATAACGTCCGTGGCGGGGATGCTTTTCCTTTCGTGTGTGGTCGGGTCGAGGTACTCCACTCCGGTGACTCGCCCGTCCTGGCGAGAGATGGATATCGCTCTGCCCTTGATGAAATTCAGGCCCTTTTCTTTGGCGAGCTCGAACATGCTGGTCGTGAACAGGTACGGGTGTACCTGCGCAGTCGCCCCGTCCTTGGCCATCGGCGTGTACACATCTGTCAGCTCCTCCTTCACCCAGAGGAGATCTTCAGGAAGGCCTCCTTTCTTGCGCGACGGCGCGGGTTTCTGGCCTCCAGGTAATCCCAGCGTCTTCTTCAGGCTCTTCGTGCCTCCTACTGCGTCGACGACGTCTCCACGCCCTTCCCAGCTCCCACATGCGACATACCGCCATCCCCACCGATCCTTCCCATTGTGCTCCTCCGCGAGCTTGACGTGCTCCTCGAACGAGACGTCCACGATTTCCTTTGGATAAGCCCAGCGTGCGACGAGCCCTCCTGCTTTGCCTGACGCTCCTTGAGCTGGACCATGTTCCGAGGCCTCGATTAAGGTTATCTGGATTGACGGAGAGGCTGATCGGTGTCTGGTGAGGTAGTAGGCTGTAGTGCAACCTATTATACCACCTCCAATAATGACAATATTGCGCGTTGTCATATGTTGTTGTCGTCTTCAACGATAAGCACTACCCTTGTCCAGCGGCGGCATTTTTTCGGACCGCTACCGTGGGAATAAAATACCCGATCAAGTCCGTGAATAACTTGGGGCGTCAGATTCAACCTTGCTTCGACCTCGAACGTCAGCGCTTCAGCACTCAGTTATAATACTTCAAGCTTTCAAGTCCAATGTTCGAATGTTCAGCGCTTAGCTTCAATCCCGATGAAATAGTTGAATGACTGCATGCTCGAGTAATGGCTTGTGTCTTTCTTGTAATGCAAGCCATGCAAGGCTTTCAAAGCAAAGATGTGGAGACACTAGTAGCAAACCCGGGTAAGCTGTCCTCCCAACAACTTTTATCAGGGCTTATCACCTCATTGAGCAATAGATATACGTTCTATTCAAGGGTGAAGATGTGATTGCAGGCGAAACACTCTCGGCTTCATGAGAAAACGCTAGGAGAACAGTAATTTGGCCCGAAGGTAATTACGTTCATCGGTCTTTCTATGCCTTGACCTTGTGCTGAAATGCAGCAAAACCGCAGAGGGCTTTTTCCTGAATGAACAACCTGGTTCTCCTTCAACCTGTATCACGATAAGCATCTCCTAGACTCCTTACCGGGTCAGTCCTGTCGTTCACTCCCGAAGGCGGTGATGGTGGTGGCGCCAGCGTCGAACCCTCAGTGTCAGCGATCAGCCCGAACAATCACTGGCACTCACCATGAGAAGGAGGTGGATATTAAAACATGCTCTGGGTAGACTTTAGCCCGATGCCCGACCCCGCCACGGTGCAACGGCGTGTTGGGGTCAGAAGGCTACCAACATCGTGGAGCACAAGCTTTCCTCTTATCGTGGCCCCTCTTCAGGGTGTTTGCAAGCCCTACCTGTCGACAGCCCTTTCGTTGCATGAGGTGTCTTGAGATGCAGTCAACAGGACGGGTGGATCAGAAGCCTACCGCAAGTTGCATCAAGAAGACTCGGTCAAGCAGCGCTTCCTCTTTGAACCTCACCTTGCCGATAACGGCATACCTGTTTCTAAAATTTCTAACGTCTATGGAAGCCCTCAATGATGCCTAAAGTACGGGTGGTGCGTTCTTAGCCTTCTTAAATTAGACCCTTATAAATTCGCACTGTTGCCTCCACAGTGTTCTCAATCCGCCCCCTCCAACCCCTCCAACCTCTCTACCCCATGGCGTCCTCGCAGCCGGACCTGCCCCCTTTCGAGGACCAACACGGTTCACCCAATCATATCGGATCGATGCTACGTGGCCAAACGTCCAAGTTCGCGTATCCAGGCAGCGACTCGGCCTTCTCGAACACCATTTTTCTTTCTTTGTACGAGGAAGAAGAGTATTTCGAGTCTGTACAGTCAAGAGGGGTCAAGAAAGGGACAGATGTGACGGAGGTGTCCACCGAGGCCTTAGCCCGGCCTTCTGTGTACTTCATCTTACGTTTATTTGACTCACTTAGGGGGTACCACAAGGTTGGCACGCCTCTCATGTTTGCTTTGCACCTGGCCAATGACATCCTTTTAGGGATACCTTGACTTGTCGGGTCGTCATCCAGAGGTAACGCACAGTTCAGCATATAAATGCTATAAGGCACTCGCTGAATTTTATGCTTGATACATAGCGATATTATATTCTGCAAAGCCAGTGGAACGGGTACCTCTGCAGTTTCTTGAAACTCGAAACCGCAGACGACGAGGTCACCGGTATGAAATTTATGTTTATTGTCCTTGGCACGTATTGATCCAATTGTCAGAAACTTCGAAGCAAGCAGAAAGCTGGAGGCGCTTTCGTCATAAGTGGCGCCTGCCCGAGTCAGTTAACCACTCGCAACTGCTCAAATGCACTCGTATGTTCTATTTATCCTCTAACAAATTCCTCTCTTGACCGTGTGGCGTCCTTAGAGACTGTCCTCCGAGACCTTAAACAGCACCCAATGCCTCGATTCCAGTTGATTCACCTCACTGACCTGCCAGTCGAGGTGCTGGATAACATCATCAATCTGGCATCTCTTGATGCTGCAAAGGTTCTCTCTTCTACATGCGGTCTGCTGAACGAAATCGCTCAGAGACACCTCTTTCGAGTGCGCCTCATACTTTCTTAATCAATCCTGGCGAAGTTGTTGATTGTTCCTTTAGACCTGGAGGATCAAGCTTCATGTTCCTTCCAATGTTAACCCTTTCAACGTCGAATATTCCGATATCGATATGCCCTTAATGGCTCATCATTGTCGTGCCGATCTCGAGGCAAACGCACGATTCGTCCTCTCAACTCAATGCATTCGCCACCGCATCAACAAATTAGTGTTAACCGACGAATGGTGGGTCAACCGCAGGGCCCACTCGAACGAAAACAATCCCTTCGCACTCGCCATCGATTTCTACAAGTCAATCACACGAGCTTTTTGTTCTGTGCTTAAAGGCTCTGCAAATGTATCTACACTCGTGCTCTGCAATATTGAGCTAGGACCTGAGCTTATACGCCGGATTTCCGACACCCCATCCCTACATACCCTCGACCTCCATCTCAGTCGCGTGCCACGTGTCGTACGGCAGAAGCTCTTAATCGGCGCGTCGTTCGTCTGCCCACGTATCGCGAACCTGCGCATATACATGGATTCCAGCTTCCAGGAGACCCACAGTCAGTGGTATGCGCTCCTTATATGCCCCAACATTCGCACTCTTTCAGTGATACGATATGGTGTTGGTCCATTTCCGTCGGAGGACGCTGGATTTTGGGAAAGATGCGGCCTTGACAGCCTGGAAAGAGTCTTGCTGGACAACATCGATGCCAGCGATCTGACTGGGTTCATGAGATGGCTCATGATTTCACCTCCATCCCTCCTCACCCACTTCAAGCTGCACATGGACTGGGCCATCCCTGACGTCGACGTGCTCGCCGTCTTGTCATCCCTTCGACCCGCGCCACTTGAAATTCTCGTTCTCGAAGGTCTTGCACAGGCAGAATTCGACGCATTTCAAACAATCGGTCGATGGTTTCCTGAACTCGTTGCTCTGACACTTGTCCGACGACACAATCGTAACCAGCACCAGAACAAGCTCGCACTATGGCCACACCCGTCATGGCAATATGCGAAGTATCTCGAAGGGTTCAAGCGCCTAAAGCACTTCTGTTGGAATTATTTGACGGAGTATTGGGATGCGACGCCAAGGGCGATGATCGCTTTCGAGAATGACTTCGGTGGCGTTACAGCAGATGGATCAGACGCAGCTACCGATCCAGAGTCTTATCCAAATCCCAGCTCGATCCTCCACGCCGTTGAGAGCGACACTTCAATGACAACGACGCACCTTCTGGACGCAGAGCCGTCCGACGAAGCGCCCTACTTTCTTGATAGCCATTGGATGGCACTCCCATTCATTGCACACTGCCCGACATTAGAGTCGTTTTCTCTTATGGATCGTGCAGTTGACATGTTGTGTCACATCTCAAGGGGTTCCGAGTGCTCACAAGTGGTATTGACACCCAAGTATTGTTCACATTTGGTGGATTCTTGTTGGGATGTACAGCAGTGGAATACGGTTGGCTCGCACTGGCCTTCATTGCCCCCTTTTGCGAGGACCAGGGATGGCTAAGGTCTTGTATTCTTGACCTGACGTACACTTCGTCGGGTTCCCTCTTCTAGAATACCTATAAATTTGTCTTATCGCCCTCTATAACTAGTTTCATCAGCGTATTGCAATATTGCCTGCACCCTACTCTAATTGTACTTACATCCAAACGTATTGAACATAATTATGCAAATGTTGGCTCCGATCAAGGAAGCGCCCACCGCACAACAGTAATCCACTCTCAAGCTCAGATCAAATCGACGTTTTGCCCAAAGTGAGTTGGACGTCACCATATTCGCAGAGATTATTTGGATGTCGATCAGCGGAAGGCAGATAAATAGATTTACTGGATCTGCAGCGATACAATACAGGCGTGCCTTTCATAAGATACATAACGGACCGTGAACATCAGAGGTAAGAGAGAAAGGGAGAGAGAACCTAGCTCTGAATTCGCCAACAAATGTCCTGCGGCGTGAGCAGGTATTGGAGAGAAGGAAAGAAAAGTTCGAGAAAGCGAAAGCCAACGAAATGTGAACAAAAACGGAGAAAGACGAGAGAAAGACGGAGACAAAGGAAAAGATAGAAAGCGGAAGAAAGGACAAGAAATCGATGACAAGAAAACAGGAGAGGAAAAGAAAAAGAACCAGAGTCATAACACGAGGGGTCAACCTTCGAGTGAATGTCCATAATCATGCAAAAGCATAAGCATAAGCGCAGGCCACGGAAGCGTGTCTGCCGCCTGTGCAGAGAGCTCTCGTGGCCTATGCATCAACATCCATTCCACTATCACCACCTGCGGATCCCAACAAACTTGCACCGCGACTGATCTTCCTTCTAGCGTAGTACTCGCTCTGTCTCGCTCTCCGCTTCGCGCTCATCTGGATAGCAGCGCCACCACTAGCCCGGGCCTTCAATCCGCCGACGCCGCCGTAGCTCGCTCGCGACACTTTTGCACCAAGGCTTGAGCGCGTCTTCGTCCCTGACGCCCGCGGGGTCAGTGGCGCCTTGATACTTGGACGTGGTCGGCCAGTAGAGGCGCCCGCTGCCCGCTGGGAAGCGAGGCGAGCGATGACTTTAGAACGAGATATGCGAGGCTTGCGGCCATTCAGGGACTTGACCCGTGTCCTGGTTGCCCCTCCGCCTGCACCATCTTCCGTGGGCGTTGATTGTGTACCAACCGGGCTGCGTCTCTTCGCGGGCGTGGGGATACCAGACTGGATAGGCAAGAGGAGAGGCTTGCTGAATATCCTTCCAGAGCTCGGCGAAAACGGTGTTGTAATAGAGGACGCGATTATTGAGGCGGGCGTGACCGGAGCGGGTGTGTTGATTGTAGAAGAATTCGTGATCATGTTCAGCGCATATTTCTCCTTGTCTTGAGCAACCTTCTTGCTGAAACTACCTTCAGCAACGGTCTTCAGCCCCGACGATGCACGCCCAGCCGTCTTGGCCAACGAGCTAGCGGTTGGCGCAAGCAATCTTGATGACGTAGATAATCTCGTTGAGAGGCGAGAAGAGGAAGACCCAGCTGTAGTCAAACTCGGAGTCCGCGATGTTGGCTTCCTCAAGCCCATGCTACCTACGCCACCAGCACCCGAGCCTCTTGAGCTAGATGCTCGTGTGCCAACAGATGAGACGCCAGCGGCAGAGCTAGCAATAGAAGAGGCCCTCGACCTCGCTGTGCCAATCGCTGAAGAAGGTGCGCTCCGCGCAGCATTACTTTGCAAGCTGTTCCTCCCCGAGCTTGCTCCAGAGGCAATACTCGACATTGTCCCGAACGAGGGTATAGGTGACCTCGACCGCGCTGACGACGATGAGGAGGCCACAGAGCCTTGCGCATAGGATGGGGTTGTCATTGGGGCAGAGAGTCCTTGCTTCATGGCTGTTTGCGGTTTCAGAGAAGGCAACTTGCTGCCACTGGCATTGGCTGTAGTTGATTTGGCTGGAGCGATGGTAGATTTCTTCATCGGTAGTAAGGAAGGTGGTCCCATCTTCTCCTTTTCCTTGGCTGGTGCAAGAGTGGTTGTCTCTTCTGCTTTCGCATTTGGCAGTGTGCTAGAGATGGGCTTGGGAATGTGGCTTGGGGTGGCCGTAACAGCAGCAGGGGTCTTGCCACGGTTCCATACACTCTGCACAAGCGACTTCGCAGAGGAGAAGAACCCAAACCGAGAAGGTTTAGGTTTCGGTTTGACTAAAACCAAATAATTGTTAGAAGGCGACAAACATGAGGCGCAGAATAACTCACGGAGGCTTGCTCTAGGACCAGCCTTTCCAACACTCTTTCTCGGTCCTCCGACGCTCTTCCGGCCGCCAACAGCTAGGTGGGCAGCACTGCTTCTCCTCCGAGCTCGGTTAGCCTCGAGCTTCCGTTTGATCGCCTCCCGCTCTCTCTCCTCAGCACCCTTCTTCTTCTCCTCCTCCTTATCTTTCAGCGCTTGCTCCTCAGCAAATTCAGGGTCCATCCTGACGCGTTTGCTACCCCTTCTATCGTTGTCGTTGCTGTCGTGATTGTTGACGGGTTCTTCGTCGTCTTCGTCGTCGTCATCCATGCCGAATGCACCGGGGAGCGCTCGTGCGCGTCTGCCATTGCTAATGACCCGTGTTGCGCTGACGTTCGGACGTCCAGGGGGCATGGCACTCGGCCTTCGTGGAGGCTTGCCCTGTTCGATCACGCTCGACTTGCGCTTGCGTCTAACGACGGGTTCGGTAGGTTTCTGGGGCGAGGCCTGCTTTCGCTTCAAGACATTGTCGATGCCCTCCATCTTCGAGAACTCTTCCTCGTGTGCCTTGTTGAACTTGCTGCTGATCTCGCCGCGTTTGTTGGAAGGCAGTGGCTTGATATCACGCTCCTGTTCAGTTACCTTGCGGTGGGGATGGAGTCTGTCGACGATGTCGGTGCCAATCTCGTCTATGCCCTCTGCTCGTAGGCGTGCGTTCATTTCTTCAAGGACGGACGCAGCTGCAGCTCGGAACTGATGGTTAGAGACGCGATGTTGAGGACTCGGGGAGCCGAAAACGAATGGCGAAGGTGGGTTGGATTTGGCCGTCGAGAGACGGTTGGGGGTGCGTGAGGGCGTGCCTCGCATGGCAACGTCGCACTCCTTCGACGGAGAGCTGACGACCAATGGTGGTAGATCACTGACGGTGAGCTTGGGGTAAATGCCACCCATCTCGACATCATCGTTGGGTGGCCAGGAGTTTAGACTTCCGAAACTAAATAGGTTACCGCCAGGTATTGGACTTCCGAACGTGATGTCGAAGCTGGTCTTGAAGGGTTTGAGTTGAGGCGTTCTTGTCTCGCCATAGCTCGATTCAGGTGCGTGGTTGGAGACGAGTCGGATGGTGGTGGTGGGTTGAGTTTGGCGGGTGGGCGTGGCTGGGACATGGGGGCCCAAACCGAGGCTGAGTCGCGCGTTTGGTGGTGCTGGGATGCCAGGGCGTAGTGAGTGGCCGGGTAGGGGGGCTTCGTGGGTGGAGCCCAGGGAGTTGCGACCTGAGTCGTCAAGTACAAAATGGTCGGTTTGTGGGAGAGACGTAGGAAGTGGCAGAGCCGAATATGGCGTCGAGTTCTGCGCAAGTTCATCGTGTTCTTGCACCGTGGCACTGGCTTTGGACGAAGACGTGGATGCAGGCGTAGATTCGGGCATGTTGCGCTTCCAGCCCAGTGATGTGGCCAGGGCTTTGATCGAAGAGGTGACAGTTGTGGCTGGATGAAAGATGAATATTGAATGTTTGGGTATGTTAAAGCCATGAATGAACAAAGACAGAACATACATCGTGAGCTTCCGGTGCCAAATTCGCCCGGAATCGTGTTGTTAAGGGTTCGTTGGGACGACAGCGATCCTTGAGATGAGTTTTCCTCGACCTCTTCGATACTGTCCATAACCATCTCCCACTGCTCGCTGGGGCGCGGTATCGCAGTTCTGATGGAGCTGTCGTCCTGTGCGTCATCTTGTAAGTCTTCGTCAGCCTCTTCGGGCTGCATAGGTATCGGTTCTTTGGATTCGCTCCTCGCTGCGACGCTCAAAGGCGAGTCTTTGGGCAAAGTCTGCGCATGGTGCCTAAGCCGTTGAATGAGGTCGACATTCTTTCCGTTGGCCTTTATCGAGTGAATCTTGCAAAGTTTGATGAGCTGCTCGCGTTTCAGCGAGTGTAAAGCTGGAGAATTGAAGAGAATTTGTGTTGTGGTCGACATCGAGAGATTGGGCGTCGTTTGGCAGAGAAGAAATGGGGGAAAGACTTCAAAGTTGGTTTGAAGGTCGTGGGTCGTTACTGAATGAATTTTCGCGTATGAATTGAAGGAAATTGGCGCCGATGCGCCCAAAGGGGTGGCGACGGGAGGGGGAACAGAAGAAGGAAATACCGCCTAAATCGTGTTGAACTTTAAGTCACGTGATCGTGTTTTTTTGTTGATGTCATCCCCTTCCCACCCTTCACATAAATCACCCGCCACACCCTATTTTGGGCTCTCTACTTACTCTCCACATTCATCACACTCTGTGATGCTTGCAGGGTTGCACCTGGTGCCTCCAGTTAAAGAAATATCAAGGAATTCGGAGCGCGTGTAACAATTCCTCGCAGAGAATAGCCCGATGCCGCGCAATGTTTTAAGGTCAACAGCGTCGACATTGGCGTTCTGCTCATTGAACTTACGCCAGACTCACGCCAAGTTGAGAGACCGCCATCCGAGAGAGCGGCAGGACGGTTGAAGGCAAATACCGAAGCCGACGCACAGGTCACCGTATTGAAAGAGCTCCGATCGGACTATCTCGATACATCGTGATTTTAGTACATACTCAGTTGGACTCCCGACCAACCGGAATCAAAGAACATCCCCGTCTAGATGTTGAGGATATACGACGTGGGTCAATTTGTCGAGCTGTTAGGAATACACTCTCCCTCTCACATAGATTAGGTAGTGTCAGATCTGAATACAGATTCAACAATGCGAAGCCGCACACCATGAGTTGAACTAATAAACTGTCACGGGTTCGTTGTCGGGTTGAGACATGGTGTAAGCGCCGCCATACTGAGAAGATAGAGTATTTCCGGTGTACAGACAACCACGTCACTCACAAATGATAAAATTCGTCCCCAGTCTCCGATAGGCGCCAGAATGATGAAACTATGGCTGAGGTCAGCCAAAGATACTTGACAAGAGCGAATGCATAACTCCGATAATTAACGCATAATAGTAGAGGGTAAGCGGCCTCTAGGTGGCTGTTCGAACCTTCGCCCGTCCATGAAGCGCCTAGAGTAGAAATGACTTGGCACCTACCTAACTCCTATCCATTACCATATTTGGGGCATTGCCTAGACGCCCGTCGCCTGGTGCGTGTTCCGGGGTTCCTCCCGAGGCCAAGTCCAACACCTTCTACTCCTATAGACAATGGATTTCAGTTCCACATCTCTTTTACTTGCAGTTGGATTAGCCCAAAATGTTGCAACCCCTGGCAGGACTCCCAGCTACATGTGCCATTCTCCAATGAAGCAACGCCCTGGTTGCTTCATCTAAAACCCTGCTCAAATCTGATGGGGACGGTCAGGCTCGGGTCCAACCCAAAGCATTCAATGTATGGTTGAGCTCGAAAAGTCGAGGGTTTTGGTCCCAATTCAAAGTCTCTGTCCTATGCATGGCGTGCGCTCGTTGTGAATGTGACATGCCAAGGGGAAGGGGGAACAGGTAGATACATGGACAGATAGAAATATAAAATAGAAAGTATGTGGCGAGAAGCAATATATGGGCGACAGCCCGACGTGCAATGGGCTCTCGTGACCCCAGCCACCTATCGAGGTATCCGAAGCGAACTGCAATGGGTGGGTGGGAAAACTCGCAGATTGCAGTTGCTATATTTCTGCCTGTGTTCAATCAGATACACCATAATGGTACGGAGAGGAACTGCCGTGCAATTCCTCAATCCTTCGAGTCAAGTTGACTTGAAGGTCCTAGATAAGTCAGTGAAACCCGGTGGTGATCAAAGGGTCTGTCAATATGCAATCTGAGAAAAGGGAGTGGTGGGTGGGTGAAAAGGAAAGCTCCCGTTTGGAGCGCCCTTCGCCATCGAGAGCTCGCCCGCGAGCTTCGAGGCTGGTGGCTAGGATGCATGGGCCTCATACGCTCCTACGCCACTTCGTTATAGGCCACAACGACTCTCCGAGCGAGGTAGATGATATGGAGGCGGATTCTGATGCTGCTGTGTCGAGGGGGTTGGTTAAACGGTGGGCGTGAAGAGGTCCAGGAATGTCGGAATGGAAAGCGATGAGAATAAAAGGGTTGTCGCGTGTTGTATGGGTTTCCCGAGCAGTCGCGGGGAATGGAAGCTGAAGGTAGGGCTGAGCCACTGACCTTCGTATTCGCAGAGCGCACACACTAGGAGAGGTGGGTGATAGGCTGAAGAAAACGCAAGAGAGACGATGACAATGATGAGGAAACAAGACACTGACCTTCATCTCCGCAGGAGCGCCACGCTGAAGCCTCAAAGAACCACGGTATCTCGTTCAAACCAACACGAGACTGTTGTTCATTCAAATAAATAGGGACACCGATGTAGTAGACAGCGCGTAGCAAGGAATGACAAGACGGGGATGCATCGAGTGGAAATGGATAACAACGTGGGAAAGGCGAAATGAAGGGGGTTGATTGATCATTGCAACAAGGGGGTGCGGGCAGGGAAAAACGAGGGACTTTGTTGTGGTTCCCGACGATGACAAACATCCAAACAAGGCTATCGCAGCGACTACCACAACGCCTGTCTCACCACCATTGCGATTTCCTTTTTGCCATATTCTTTTGTTTGCCCGAAACTTCTGGAGGAATCAAGAGCGACGAACGTTTAGGCATTAGGCAAGAGAAGTCCTGATCGTCGAATGGTGACCTTTCGCTCCATGCCTCAGCAGAAAGCCGTCGTTGACAACGCTGGACAGCAGATCATAGAGCAGAGCACAGCAGCAAGTTGATCAAGGGGGGGTTATCACGACCAAGTTTATCACGGACCACACACGACTAGGTGAGCCATAAAATCCTCGTGGGTGTCGTTGCTTCCCTTCGGAAGCTCCAATTATTTTCTTTCTTTCTTTGGATGGTGGCAAGCTTTCGAAGTTGTCGTTTTCCCTTCGATTTGGAAGGGATGTTCAGAAAGTGTACTTATCCATGTTGACGAAACCCTTCACCTAGACGATTATGTTGTGATACTGGGACTGACTTTTACTATTCGTATAGCCATTTCTCCTAGAACGCATAGTTGTCAAGATCTCGTTACGTTTCCACCCTCGATGGCGAGCAAGAACTCACGACACACGCCATCACCGTCGCCCTCGTCTCCACCCCCCAACCATGCACCATCGAAGCTGCCCAAGTTTCTCCAGAAGCAGAACCGCGATCGCTCAAAGTCAGTCACAGATCCCGGGCAGAGCACGACGAGTCTTGGGAGCGGAAGCTCCGCATCGGAGCCAACATCATCCAAGGCGAAGAAGGGCAGCAAGTTCCTCTCGATAAGCAAGGACAAGGACAGGAAGTCGACCGACGGGTCCCTTCAGGAGACAGACGAGCCGCCGGTCATCGTCGAGCCTATCAGTATACCCCGCCCACGGACACGTTCCGAGCGACCTGCCGCTCCGAGTTCTTCCTCACATATACCCACACCAACCCTGTATGCATCTACTTCATCCACATCCCGCATCGGCGACCTCCCAACACGCCTGTCCGGCTGGTTCACACATACATTTTCTACTTCATCCACGGACCTTTCTCTGCCTACTCTCCTCGCCCAACACTCAACCCCTCCAAGTAGTGCAACAATGTCAAGCCCAAAAGGGAAGAGCAATGCACTGCTGACGGCTGCGAAGCATGGCAAGGGTCACCTCGACAAGGCAGTGCGGTATCTCCTCGATAGCGATGCCGTGCCAGACAAGTGCACCGACCCAATATGGTTGCTTGGCGTCCAGCATCCAGGCTACGAAGAGGGGGCAAGCTCGACTGTTCATGGTGGCCGGCGGACCTCGATAAGCCCGCACGCCTCATCATCGCCGCCTTCATTTCGCTCGTCGACGTCATCTGTATTATCTACGGCAACAACAGATTCGGCAGTGTCGCTATCACAATCAACGTCCACGGCGAGACACTCTTCAAGCAAGGAATCCAGAGACCCTTCAGCAAACTGGCCTCCTGCCTTTTACCTCGATTTTACTTCGCGCATCTGGTTAACGTACAGATCGCACTTCGGGTCGCCCATCAAGGACTCCCGGTTAGGTGACCTCGAAGTACCGTGTCTCCTACCTGATCCCTCAACTACTTGGGACCCATCGTTGTCTACGTCGGCTAAAGGAGGCACGCCGGGTAGCCCGACTGGCACACCAGTAACTACGCTTCTCAAGAGACCGTGGGGCTGGGGCGGCGAGAAGACGTGGAGCAGCGACTCTGGATGGGGTTGTATGCTTAGGACGGGCCAGAGCTTGCTTGCGAATGCACTCATTAGTGTGAAGCTTGGTCGAGGTACGTCAATCTCATATGTCTTATTGGTTGCCTTCCTCCTACTGGTGTCTTTCGTAATGTCGTCTTCTCTCCACTTTCATTCAATAATACGTCGTAGCCATAGATGAACTCTAAGCTAATGCTACTTTGACTTCACAGATTGGCGATGTCCACCACACCCGATTGTGACCGCGGACTATGCTACATATGTGCAAATCCTAACGTGGTTCTTGGATACACCTAATCCTGAGGTGCGTATAAGACACCCTTCTACCAACTTCTTTCTTTTCTACAACATTCCACCTTGTCCCTCGCAATCTACGACGCCACAAACATTCTATTCGCATTTATTTTTGCGAGGAAGTACAAATGCTAACGTCACATTGGACTTGATAACAGGCGCCATTTAGCGTTCATAGGATGGCACTTGCTGGCAAGGAACTAGGTACAGATGTTGGGCAATGGTTTGGACCCAGTGTCGCCGCTGGCGCTATTAGGTATGTCCTTTCGTCGGACCTTGCTCTCGCATTTTCCCTTTTTTTCTTGCATGCCAGCCGATGCTTTACATATCTTATACTTGATCTCCGCCGAAGGTCGAAGACGAACCGCGAAGTATTTGACCCAATACCGCCCTGATTGATGGATGTAGGCTACTTTGGCGATGGTTAATTTTGGTGCTTGGGATTGAGTTTAGCCCTTTCATTTTCCATTGGATGACATCTTGATGATCGGTCAAGATTGTCGAGTCTTCATCCCTTAACTCCATTCAACTAAACGAACGCCTTTTCATTTTCTCCCTTCTGCAGAACCCTCGTCAACAGCTTCCCGGATTGCGGCTTAGCAGTCTCCGTTGCCATCGACAGCACGCTCTACCGTACGGAAGTTTACGCTGCCTCCCATGGCGAAGCCAGCACGAGCCGGTCGCCGAGAAGACGGCATACAACGACCTGGGGCGATCGCCCCGTCCTTCTGTTGCTCGGCATTAGGTTGGGCATCGAAGGAGTTAATCCGATTTATTATGAGACCATTAAGGTGTGTTTTATAGTTTTGAGGATCCGGAGCTATGATATTTATTACGACCTTATACAGCAATTGTATACATTCCCGCAATCTGTAGGCATCGCTGGCGGTAGGCCAAGCTCTTCCTACTACTTTGTCGGGTCGCAGGCAGACAATTTGTTCTACCTCGATCCGCACAATACCCGGTCTGCGATTCCTCTACGGCCGCCCCCGCCACAGGCGATCATCGCCGTGCAATTAATGAGAGAACGGATGGCTTTGGCGGGCATGGGTGATGAGAGTTTCGCAGAAGTTGATTCGAGCTCGGACCTCGACCGAGAAGGAGAGAAGGAGGGGAAAGAGAAGAGGAGAAAGGCGGCGTCAACGAACAATGTTTCAAACACCAGCTCGACGATCCTCGGTGCCAGCAATAGCACTACCTATCGAACGGCGACACACCAACGTACACGGACACCAGCATCACCCTCCTCAGTTCGGACAGGCTCCTCTAATTTCTCATATCACGCCCCTGTCTCACCCTCGCCTCTTCAACATCAATTCTCCAACTCAAGTGCCGACTCGAGTGGCAATGCATCGTTCGATCAGTCGTACGAGTACGACTATTCTGTGGAGGAGTACCCTAGCTTAGGACCTTCCGCCAAGCATTCGCACTCTAGGTCGCCGCCACCTTCATACCCAGGACCGGGCGGCCACGGAAGATGGCGGTCCTCCTCAGCAAGCCAGACACCTGGGATGTCGCCGTCGAACTCAGACATGGACCATCGCGAGCTGGGCATGTTTGGCGGATCTGGATCGAGAGGCAGCACGAACAACAGCTTCAGCGCAAGCAACAGCAACTCTACCAACAACAGCTTCAGCGGAAGCGCTCGTACAGGCGAAAGTGGCAGTGGTCTAGATCCGGTACAGATGCACTATTGCACAGCGTACAGCGCTGCCGAGCTCAAGACGTTCCACTGCGAGAGAGTTCGGAAGATGCCACTGAGCGGCCTTGATCCCAGTATGCTGATTGGGTTCTTGTGTCGTGACGAGGCGGATTGGTGGGATTTCAAGAGAAGAGTCGGAGAGGTGAGCTGGTGTTTAGATTCTGTGTTGTCTTTCTTCTCTTTTTCCCATCTGATGGATTTTTTTCTCTGCTTAGCTTCCGCGTACGATATTCTCCGTACAGGAGGAGCCGCCAACGTGGCCCTCTGACTCGGACGACAACATGGGTTTAGAGTCAATCTCGGAGCCAGACGACATTGACCTTGACGAGGATGGTGTTGAGGTTGATGGTCGAGGCGAAGGCGACGATTCAGATAACGAAGACAACGAAGATGATGGCGATGGCGACAACGAGCAATTTTTCGATACCCAGTCGAGCGGCGCAGGCAGTGGCCAAGAGCGCAGCGAGCGAGGAAGGAGTGACGTGGACACGGAGGAGGATCCGGTGGACCCGGTTACTCCTGGCCCGGGTTCGAGGTTTGATGTACCCCCTCCACCAATAAACGTAGGCAGAAAGGGTCAAGACGAGGACGAAGAGGACAAGGCAATCGAGTTTAAACCAGAAGATGGAGAAGGTTTTGAAGATGAAGGTGACGATATCGAGGACGACTGGGTTGATCCATCGTTACCGACGCCGACGTTGTCCGGACCTTCAAGTTCGTTGAAAGATCATCAGCCGCTGCCACCACAGCCAACCCCAGTGGATACGAAGGAGCCATCCCCATCCCCATCCCCTCCATCCTCTTCCAGCGTTCCGACACTCGCCAAGGGCAAATCGTCCTCGTCGTCTAAACATGTATCAAATTCAGGAAGTGTGAAGAGATCGAAGAAGATGCACAAACAGATTCCTGTTCCTGTTCCTGCTGTTCGCCTTCCTTCACACTACCAGCAGCAACAACAAGAACACTATCCCTTCCCGATCACCCCTGCAGACGACGGGACGGTTTCACCTCATGGAGAGAAGGATCGGTCGAGGAGCTCGTCTGCGAAGGGTGGTGTCAGTGTAGGAGGCAAGAGAATGCACACAGCGCGGGCTCGTGATGGCGGACGGACACAAAGCGGCGGGGTCAAGGGCATCTTGACCAATGATTAAATCATAAGAATTCCGTGGGTTTGGGGTTCGCTGGCCGTGATGAAGAACGACGGTATGTCTGTATTTTTTTCCGTTGTGGCGGGTAGGATTGAAGCGGTATATCCGCGTGCCCTTTTTTATCTCTCGCATTTCTGTTCTCTTGTTCTTTCCTTTTCATATTTTCAATCCTTGTACGCTCATCACCGCTTCCATCCTGGTGTCTCGAGATCTTGCCTGCCTACCTCTTCTCGTTGATCCTATCTGATCTTTATGTACTATGTAAGTCGTTTGTAGGATGTTTTCGCGGGAATGTATGGACGTGTCTACTGCTACTCTTTCTCTACTCATACCGACCATTTTGTTGCGGAGAATGTAGCTGGGAGCCCAGGCTTAGCGTAGATGAGATTAGATATGTATGTGGCTGTGCACGTCCGTTGCCAGCATGGACTGCGAACTCTGCAAAAAACAACACACCTTACCTGCGACGCCATCCGCACGGCCTGCTCGACGCATTCCCGAGCCTGCACATCCGAGAACGGCCATCTGACCTGCTCCATCTGGTGACAACAACTCGATTCGATCCGCGCCTGCTTGCGCAACAGCTTTTCTCTCATGCGGCGACTTTTTCGAGTACTCAGCCAACAAGAACTCTGCCATCGACGTGCAGCAACCTTCCGAACTCGCACAACGGGCATCCAGCAGCTCGAACTGACAACGATAATTCTCATAAACGCACCACAGACTACCAGAGACAACCAGCACCGAGCGGACACCAACCGCAAACGCGACAACGAGAATCCTGCTTTCCATACACCAGACTACGTACTACAACATACCATGAACAAGACGGGAAAACACGCGAGTCAACGTGCCAGCAAAGCGTCATCACCTGAAGCTCATCCTACCCTCGTTCCTCCAACACCGCCGCAGGCTCTAGCTAATGGACAGGTTCGAATCCGCCCTCTTCGGCGCCATCCTACCCGAATGAAAGTTAGTATCTAGTACTCATAGGACAATGAACTCGTCCCTTGACTCTCGAGAGATGGAAACAATTCGAGTGAAACCCATTGGCTTTTATCTTTCCGACGCGGTCGCCAAAAACTTGATGGATCTGAAGAATAAGATCGACTGACATAAATGACGCCTTCCACTCCGTTGCAGCATGAAAGGCCTCTTCGAACATGAGATCCACTGGATGAATATCATTAGATATTACCCTTCCGACGCGATCGCGAAAAACTTTCACGGATCTTTCACTATTTCAAGTGCGTTCCGTCTCATTCTTCATATTCCACCATGTATTGTACAGGTATGCACTATATTGCATGCCCCTACGACCCAGTATTCCTTTGTAGAACGATTGAGCGTCATAGAACGAACAATATAAACATGTGAACTCACCTTAAACTCCCTTCGAAACCTTGATTTTCGACGAATACTTGCCCGGCGCTATCTCGATGGATCGCTTCGGTGCCATTCTCACCTCGAACACGAAGACACTTCCGGACGGATTGAGCATTTTGGGGTGGTTCCCGAAAGGAAAGACAACTTTCATGGAGAATAACACGCAATCTTCACACCTTGGGCGGCATGAGGCGGCTTCATGAGCGCTTCCACAGGTGCCGAAACGCACCGCAATAAACCTGCCGCTTTCGTCCAAGAATGAGTGCGAATTCGGACAGGAATGGAGCGGCGAAACCTTCACCTTCGTGCTGAGATTGGCTAGAAGATTAACCTAGGATTTAGTTACGATACTTGTCAGACCCGAAGACGGTCTGATCATAATGTCCAGGACTCCAGCGTCGAACACTGGCGGAGGAAAGCCCAGGCAGGAAAATTATTAGTGACTATGATTGGCTGTCTGGAGTTAAAGCTACGGTTGGTTGGTCAATACAGGGAGAAGATTCAGACGAAAGACGCGGTTTGCGGAACTATGAGCGAGGAGTACTGGAAAAAGCGCCTATACGAATTGTATACGAACGACGTAAATCCTTCGGAACAATCTTGAAAAGGGTAAGTAGTAGTCTACTCTGTAAAATGACGTGAATGAGAGCGAGCGATAGGTGTAGCCAATAGGAGATCCAGCCACGACGAAGAGCAAAAGAATTAGGAGGGAGCACTGTGAAGGGAATCTTGGTTCAAAAATAGATCTGAGCAACCGCAATAGCCAATGCACGTTCCGTCGCAAGCAATCCGAAAGCCAGAAATGCACCAAGTCAGGTAGTCAGGCAATAAACGAGACTCCGCGTTCAGTTTCTTGAGATCAAATTGCGAAGCGTAGTCTGCGGAATCCCAGATAGAGCACGGAAGATAGAAGACAGAGCAGCATTGAGAATTGACGACGGGATCTGGGGTGAGAGCATATAGTCTAAGATGATCCGAAAGACGAACAAGAAATACCTGTCGTGGCAGTTGGGATAGAGTAATCTTCAGGGTACAGAGCCAGGAATCCGGGAGAGCATATAGGAGAGGAACTTCGAGAGAGAGAAAGAGGCGAGCTCGTCAGATGATCGTCAGAAACGGTAGGTGAGCAGGTTGTAAGTCGATCCAAAGGCGAAGACGAGCGCATATATGCGCGTTTTTTGGAGTTTCGAGTCACTTTATGACGTGAAGCAGAACATAGCGTATCGGAAGAGCCAGTTATGTCCGCATTCAAGTCGGAACTAGCGTATCCAGGAGGCGAAGAAAGATCCGTCACTGAGTCTTTCACTGAGTCGGCGAGTAACGCGCCATCAGTCGGCGGTTCGACCTTGGGTTCTGCCTCTGGAATCGTTGGAGGCGTTCCGACGTCGATATCGTATTGGTCTCTCGGGATTGAGATGCGCCACCGCTTCGCGAGCTTGCGTCGTCGGTACCACCAGTTATGTACATTACGAGCGTCCAAATTGCGCGCCTCCGCCCATGCGCGACGTGAGGCGTGTGTTGGGATGCGCCTATTGGCTTCCCATGCGGAGGAGAGTTCTTCGAAATGCACTCGATGCATTGGTATGTATTGGGTGTCCTGTATGAAGATCAGTCTAATGACGGTTTTTGAAACGCGTCGGCAGATGCAAGCACACTTCATACTCACCGCATTCCCTTCCACCATTTCCGTTTTCATGACAGAGTTCATATAGGCGGAATCTTCACGAGAGAGCTGGGAGCTTGTCAGCAACGATTAAACAACAGCAGAGTCGATTATGAAAGAAGGGCACTGACACCGGCCCGAGACCCAACACAATAATGGTAAGTAGTTCCCACACTGGTCCCTGTGTCGTGAATTTCCTCATAGTCGAGTAAGTAGATACTGTGGAGATCGTGGACAACTTGCTGAGAGTCACCACTATACTGTGCTCTTGTAGACGCCTCGGACGCTCAATCTAAGTTGGTCCTCTTGGTCACAGGAAATGTTGTGCAGGTCAAGCGAAGACCTGGCACACGAGATTCTGTGGAAAAAATCTGCACCATAGATCAGTATTGTATACTATCGACACGCGCTGCGTCGAAGGTATAAGGATATTCATCAGTGACTTGGATGAGTGGGGATTGCCTTCGTACCAAAAGAACCGTCTACGCAGCAAGGGCACCAACCCTCTTCCTAACCTCTCTCACTCTATCGCTTCCGCGCCCCTTCATCTTACCAAAGATGACCACCTTCCCCGGCTGTCCAGCCCGACCTGACCTCCCAGCACGGTGCAAAAAGTCAATCATGTTCCGTGGCTCGTCCACAATGAAGACATGCTTGATCTCTGGGGTGAAGTCGAGACCGCGCGACAGGAGCGACGTGGTGACCATAACGTGCGCCTCATTCTTGACGTCACCCGTAGAGGCTTCATCCGCGGCTCGTGAGCGCAGGAAGCCGTCGAGGTGCTTGTTCGACCCACGCCCGCGATGCTCGCTCTGGCTTGTCATCGCCACGCTCTTGATGCCCAGTTCGGTGAAGTACGCACTAAGCTCGACAACCTTTGTGCTCTTGTTGCAAAAGATAAGCACTTTTGACAACGACCCGCTCTCGCCAGCGGAGTCTTCAGCCCAGATGCGGCGGATGCGGTGGAGGATGTCGGCGAACTTATTTCCGCCAGTCCAAGAGACATTCGGTTTGGAGAGTTTTGGGCAAATCGTGGAGACGTGGAGACGCAAGTCGGACAATCGAGGGGTGGTGCTTCTCGAGGTAGGCGTTAAGTGAATTCGGGATGGTGGCGCTCGTGAGGAGGAGATTGAAGGGGTAATTGATGGGTTCAGGTGTTGCGGGTGTTGTGTTCGTCGAGGAGGGCGATCGGAGAGACGATGCGGAAACCAGAGGTGCGGGTGCACCGCGGGCTTCGCTAATGTCGGCAAGTAGAGTGCGAGTGGTCTCCTGGAAGTCTGGGTCTAAAGAAGTCAAGCATTAGTAGAAAAAAAAAACACCGGCATATAGTAGTCGGTACGCACCAAAGAGAACATCGACTTCATCAACCACAACCCACTCAACGTTTGCCAGTCCAAGTTCGGGTTTGCTCCTCCATTTTCCAATCCCAGGCATCTTGTCTCGCCCACGACGAAGTTTCTTCTGATTTTCTTGATTCTCCCCGATATCTTCCTCTCCTTCTTGTTCCTCCCTCCTGTCCCAGCCTCGTCCGCGCACCATCTCCAACACCTTCATTGGCGTTCCGACCAGCAGATCTACAGGATGGCTCGATTTTGACACCTGAAATTCGCCTGTGGAACCATGAACGTCCCAGAACATGGATGCCATCTTGCTCGACGTAGCATCCTTCTGTTTCTTCGTATTCTTCACGTTCGATTGGCTTGCGCACATCACCCTCAACTTCGTCTCGTGCAGCAGCGACTTCGCGAAACCTGACAGCTGCCGCGACAATTCATGTGTTGGTGCGAGGATGAGTCCACGAGGGTTGTACGGCCGTGTTGAGGAGGTTGGAGGTTGATCTTTCGACAACAGTTCGGTGAGCTTGATGTTTTGCAAGACAGGAAGCAGATAGGCGATAGACTTTCCTGAACCTGTCTCCGCTGCGAGCAGAACCTGCCGCCAGCCAGCCCCATCATTAGACTCGAGAAGCCACTTCATGCTGAGAGACTGAATGGGGGTGGGTTTGGCGTCCGGACCGAGCATTTCCTTCAGCGACGAAACAATTCCCGGAAGAAGAGCTGGTGAGGTAAATGAAGTTGGGAGTTCGCGTTCAGAAACAACGGCTTTAGATTTGCCTTTTGTGGGAGAAGAGGTTGAAATAAGGCTAGGAGGGCGATAGAATTCGCCTGAGTCTTGCATCTCTTCGTAATTCTTGTTGGAACGAGTGTCGGAGCGGTAGTCGCGCCTGGTTGATGAAAACAATGGCCGTGCCGTGCTGCCTTGGATGGCCTCTGCATCCACGCTTTGAGCGGTATGTCGTCGCCTCTCTTCCGCGGCCTTCACAGTTCGACTGCTGGGCGTATCCTTGATGTTACGAGGTGATTGCACAGACTCCCTTGCCCTCAAAACCACAGGTCGACGACCCCGCTCCACAACAGGACTTATTCCTTTATGAGGGGCATCGTCACGCGCAAGTGAAGCTCGAGAAGTAACTTCAATCGTGCCCGACTTTTTGGTTTTTGGAGAGAAACTTTTTGAAAGTGTTGTCGCTGGCGAGTGAGTGAGTTTCCACGTCGGCTGAAAGAGAGGTCACTGACCGAACTTCGCATTCGAAGACGTAGATGCGTGAAATAGTGCCGTTCTACATGCTTTTCTAGGTGAAATCTTTGGTATTCGGCAGAGCATAAGTGAAGAAGTGAATAGTTCCTGGCAGGAGACAATTGGGAGACAAATCCCAAATCCCAGAAAGGACAATATGTGTGGCAACGGCTTCCCATCAAAACAGGTTTTACCCGTCTTCAGAGAGCTGGTGACGTTCTTCGACGTCCAAAACTCAGAAATCATCCCCCGTGTCCAGACCGCTGAAATGGCGCAGCCAGATCGCGCCAAACATGGCTGCTGCCGCTCGTCAAGTTTTTGGGCACGACATTGTCGTTGAAACAACCCCAACTGAACGAGAAGACTAGGACAGGGTATCGTCGACGACGATCTAAAAAACCCCACGGAAAGAGACACGTTCCTTGCAAATGCCACCAATGACTCGTTCTCGAGGTCGACGCAGGCAAGTCTTCTGCGAGGCAGAGCCGACAAACTCGTGAAAGCAAAAGACTACGGCACATAACGTTATAACGCGGTCAAAATGTACCTTTCGGCAGCAGAAAAACTCTGTCAGGGCTCTTTACCGACGCGACGAGTACGTTCAAAGATTTATACGGACCTGGAGCTCGAATGGGACGCTCAAGACGTCATGGGCTGTCTTACTGAAGCCGGAGCTACTCCAGTCAAGATGGGGAAGTACTTACGCAGAGGTGAGTCCTGTTCCATCTCGGCGTTTTGATATCTCAGATTTCTAGGCGGTTTTTTGGCTCTGCGAAGCGCTGGATACCCATAGGAACATGCGTCTCGTCTCCCTCAAGGACAAAGTAGCTTCCGGTGGATCGATGGATTCGTCTCTCTCGCCGCCTGTTTAGGTTCTTCAGACTGGTTCAACCAGCACGTCGGCACCAAGCAACACTGCAAGCAGGTGTACACCACGTACGACGCGATCGCCGAAGGGTATCTCAAGCTAGGGAACACCAGGGCTACTTCTGTCCCCACCAACGAAAAGACCGGCAGTGGAAGCGGCAACAACGCCTACTGCATCGTCGCTTGAGTGCCCCTTGCTCGCGACTAGACTTGCGCGGCTCTGCACCATTCGTTCATCATGAGTCGCTTTCTTTTAGTAAATTTCGAGGTCGGGCGCTTAACAAATCCTTGGACTTTACAGACCATGATCACTTCACCTTCGCCATCTTCATCGCGCAGCACTGGCAAAGGGGATGCATGGGTCGCATGCACTTGACTTACCATAATTATTAACTTCGATTTTCACTGGGGTTTTTGCATTAGAAAAGGAAAAAAACTTTGAAAAATCCATTCCGGAGTGACCTGAGTAATTGATCTTATGTAGCTGAAAATTTAATCGCGTAGCCGGACTTGCTCTTTTAACCCCAATTCTCGCCATCAATCTCCCTGGGCCCTCGCTCGATTTCTGCTGGGCCCGGTACCTGTTGACTGCCGCCGTTTTGATTCGGAGCATACAGCCCAGGATGACCATCGTCTCGAGGAAGCTCGATGCGCCGAGAGGTCCCGTAAAACCTTGCATAAATTATCGACAGGATCAATCCAAGAGGATGAAGGGCGGTGAATAAAATGGAAGTGATCTACATGGGTGTAAAAATTAGACAGAATTGCCACACCTGGGAAAGAAAACTTACATAAACGGGTGCAGGCTTTGGGCTTGCGCTCCAGATGCTGATGGCGATCCATGTGGCGGCAATGCACCAGACTATGTCACGGCGGATTATGATCACGAGGAGACCGAGAATATTTGTTCCAAGGAGAACGCCAAATCCAGCCATCGCGTGCCAGTCCTCATACCTTTGCGGATATCCAGGCGGTGTGGGATGGTATGTCAGGTGTAGAGTGACGCTGGAAGGTTCAGCTAAATCATTTATCGTCGCAGAGAAGAACGGATCTAGGCCCACAATAGACATAATGGAAATAGAATGCTCAAAGGGAGGATGAGAAAAAACCGTAGTGGTGCGTGGATAAGTGCGGTATCCAGAGGGCGAGACGCATTAGGCGGATGGTAGATCAGTAGGGAGATGTTGGAGAACAGGAGAAGAAGCAGAATTATTCCCTGAAGGACGGTGGATAAAAGGAACCATTGCATCACCTTCAGCCAGCCGGGTCAGATTTCAGCAGACAAGAACGAAGTCCCACGCACCCATGCAATAGCCCACAACGCCATGGCAAAATTAGAGAATACGAGCGACATTCCGACGCCCTTGATTAGTGCTGCCTGAATACACGAGCCGGCGCTGTCAGAATCTCCTCTCAGCTTCAGAGCGCCATAAATGTACCTTGGTCTCCGCCTTACTCGCCACCACGAGCAACACGCAGTACCCAATCTGCCCCAAGAAGATAAATCCAACATACGCTGCTATGGCAGGCGAGTTTGGAGTGATGCTTGTCGGGTGGAGATGTGCTATGCCAGCGATTCCTGGTGAGATGAGCGTGGCGCATACAACGACTGTCGCGATGTTGACGAGCAGAGATAACGGTGTGAGGACCTGTAGTCGGACAAGGGCGAGGTAGTCGCGCACGGCGGGGTGCGATGTGTCGAGTGGCAGGCTTTCCATGACTGGAGGGTGAAAGGAAGGAAGGATGGGAGACGATGGATGGCTGGCATGAAGATAATGATGTCATACAAGGTGTCACCGGTTTAGGGGCCTCATGCCAAAACGGGACAATCTTATGCCTTCGAACGGACCACGGTCGAGAGTCAACGGAACACGTATTCTAGACGAGTAAGTATAGTAAGGAAGTCCATCCGAGGGTCACTTGCTGTGCTCGGTTCTCGGCATCCTGGACTGAAACCATCCAGCATCGATCTTCAGCTCGATAAATACAAAGAGAATTCGATTGATTACCTGGACATCTCATAACTGCGCCAATTTAATCCAAACCATGCCAGCTAACGCCGCAAGTGCTCATCTTCCTCTTCGAACCTCGTCATATCTTGCTCCAGCGCACCGCGAGAGTCCAGCGCAAACACCAGCGCTGACCGTATCGTCGGCCGCGGTTCCGTGTGCTGGTAATTAGATGCGCTGTCGAGGTAGTAACTCTCTTCCGTAAAGTCGGGGTGCCAGATCCGAATACGGGCGTTGAGACCGGCGAGAAAGGTGTTGGTGTACCCGCCAGCGAGAATGCAGGATGTTGCTTGCCAGTACGTTGGCGGAGGTTCGCCAGGGAGGAAGGACAGAATCAGGTTAAGAATGGCGAGGACGGCTATAAAGAAGGGTCAGGTGTGCTTCGAGCAGTAGGTAGGGAAAGGGTTTGGACTTACCGACGACGGCACCAGACTGGACGAGAAGCCGGATGGAAAGTGGGGTTTGAGCAGGAGCTAATTTCCACGAACGGTTTCTCAGAAGCTACGTGATAGAATTAACACTAAGTTTTTTTGGTATGAGAATGTGAGTAGACTAACCTGCTGCGCCATACAGACGGAGAGAATGATATTGCAAAGAACGGCAGGACAATTCCAGATCTAGATACACTATTCAGTCTCAGCCCTCTTAAAAACCACATTGTGCGTACCCCTGTGCCAATCAATACGTTTCTTTCTGAAAATTTCGAGAATATAAGGACATCATGTTGAATGACCCCCGAAGCGATCCCTCCTGCCAGCTGTGTCGTAGAAAGCTGAGAGTACCAAGACAAATCAGAAAGGGCCATTTCCAGGACATAGCGGACATCGGATATACCAACGAGATAAGGAATGGCATAGTCTTGGACTTTGACAACTTGTAAATTTGGTGGGCGAAGTAATTTTGAACCACGAATGCCACTTGGGCGCAGAGCCATCAGCGTAAGTCTGGATGGCTGAGAGAGCAGGCGCTTCATACTTGCGGAAGTCATTACTGGGATAGCGAGCCAGGTATATTGGATATCATCAATAAGGTCCACCCGGCCGAATCCCGACGCGAATGTCGCAAATGCTGAATGGCTGAGTAGGAAGGTTTGTGCCGACTGGAATGCATAGAGCGAGCACACGAGTAGCTGGAATAGGGCTGAATCCTTGGAACCTGCGAGGTGATATAGGTCTGCACGAGAAAAAACTGTCTGAGTAACCCTCGCCTGATACATCGCCGAACTCACACATCTGTACGAAGAGAACTCCGTAGAGACCCCAGGTCAGCATATACCCTATCAGCTTAAGCCCAACTTTCAGCCTTCCCGCATAAAAATGCATAAAAATGCCACGTCTTACCAAGGGCCCAGCTCTAGGATGAGAATGTGTCAGTGTCAGACAAGGAAAACAGCACTGTTGCAAGGGGAACTCGCATCTTTCCAACATCCGGCGCGATTGGCTGAACACTTGGGACGTCCATCATGCGTTAGGACATGGAGGACAATGGTGAACAAGACAAAGAGACGCCGTGGGGCAAACCGGCAGCTGTAATCCTGAGGTTGGGAGAGACAAGGGGTGTCTAGTAATGCCTAGATGGAGTGAGCGATCCACGTGCCAGTACGTTCATTAGACATCAGGACCTGGACAATTGGGGTTAAGAATTTGTGTCTCTTCATGCCGTTATGGCATGTGAAGGCGTATTCCAGGAATAGTGAGTGTGAATGAAGGTCGGGAGTCGGTCTTGGGTGCGACGGCGACAGGCGTTTGTATGTTGAGGGAGGACTGGAATGCTGCGCAATCGAATCGAAGGAGTACTCCACGGGTGGGCCCGCCCACGTAAAGCATACCTGCACGTAGCCTGCAGTTGGCTTCCTCGCAGTCTCCGCTGTGAAGTCGAAGTTCTCACTGTATCTCCTTCCAAAGAGATAAGCAGTCTTCTCGTAAGCCCAGGTCCGAGGAGAAAACCCGACGAAGTCAGCTGAGAGAGTATATCTAGAACTCCGAAGCGGTGTTGAGCTCTGAACAGACTCGAAGGTAAGATAAGCGTTTAATCTTTCGCCTACTACTTAATTCATCCGAGTTCCGAGTTCTTGATCCTGGCAGCTCGGATGGTGAATGATAGAAGGCTCTCTGCAGCTACCAGGCATGGGAGTTGGTCAAAACCATACTTATGGACTGAAGACAGAGCACACAGGACAGAGCACACAGACGTTGCAGGAGAATGTTATTTCCAAGTTGAAGTTGGATCATGGCCGCCCCGGTTTAGAGCGAGGTTGTTTCAAGGACTACAGGCTGTTTTATTGCGTTGTTAGAGCTTGTCAGATCGAAAACTGTCAATACAGGCGCTTACTTCGAAACTAAGCAGGGATCCTTACCAATGTAAAGTATATGTAAGCTCATAACTGGCATAACAGAGAGTACGCTACTTAGACTTGAACTTGAGGGCCGGTCATAGCGTGGTCTATCACGTGAGAGACCCAAGCACAGTTTCAAGTTGGAATACTTACTCTGAGTTACCTCTTGCGGCTTTCCTCACTGGCTACTCTATTTTCTCGGGGTTCAATCTCATGCTAGACGTCGCCTCGAATCTCGACGATATCAGCAAGGTACGAGTCAGTGCAAAATCCCATCACCACCCTAACTGATGGCGCCTTAGACAACCTTCTGTATTCCTTACAGACCACAAGGTACACGCCTGCGACATCCCAAGTTATTAGCGCATCTTTCTGAATGATACGGTAGAGGGCTCTGATCCAATCGAGAAATTGAAGAGATTCATCCCGCCAACTTCCTCCTCGCAAGATTATGATTTGGAAAACGGCCTAGAGTTGAGGTTTGAGGCATATCGGGTGGCATGGAAGAAATGCCTGGATAGAATGCAGGTGTGTAGGAGCAACTCTGTGACAGGATGGCTATTCATATTTGTTCAGGGAATCATCAGAGACCTCCAGAGGTCGACGGTCAAAGCCGTCGTACAAGAAGTACGGTCATCCTACACCAACATCCTTCCTGGTTTACCCCACCCTGAGCTTCCAGTCATTTCGGTTATCAGTGCGTCGTTTTATTCTATCCCTAACTCTAGTCCGAATGCCCTCCCGCCAGATCCTGGATTGGGCACATCGTTTATGGAGAATATCACGACTGAATTAGAGGCGAACAACTCTGAAGTCGATTTGCCAACAAGTGTTGGAAGTTCGGTCATTCATCTTTACCCACCCGACCTACCCAATCTCTCAACGGGGATGCGGGCCATAATATCAGGATTCATCGAGAAGGATGAAAGGGAAAATGGTGTGTTTCTTTAAATTGCTTTCAGGCTGTGAAAGTGAACGGTTGCAGTGAAGCGCAACTCCGGTGCATCTATGGCTAGCTACAATATACTCTATTTAGCGGCATGGTACAAATCTTGGGCGAAATCTGGTGGTGTGTTCTCGCTTTTCAGTTACGTATGCCCGCCAGCTAATCCCACTCGAAGGTGTCCCGCAACCCAATCTTGTCGTCGTCCTTCACGACTTTGAGCAATTTGACCCACTTGTAATGCAAGATGTTTTTCACATCTGCAGGTAGATCTTTCTTCTGTCCTATGGACAAATTGTCTGATACGTCACAGTACCCAAGTGCCTCTGGTCCCGCTTATTTTCCTGCTTTCGATGACATCGCCCTCTTCGAACTACCTAAACACAACTTATTCCCGGTCGACTCTGTCCCTACTCCGCCTGCGGACGTTTTCAGCACCGTCAGGGATCCACATTTTGCAAGAATTAGTCGTTAAGGTAAGAGACATCGTTGTGCTGCGGCCCTGAAGGCTCATCTTCCGCTACAGACTTTCTTTCATATAGATTTCGAGCCTGACATCATGATTGGCCCCGCGATACTAGAATACCTTCAGGACTACTTCACGAGATACAATTCCTCGACTGATGCCGTTCTTACCTTGCTCCAAGTGCGTTCTGTCTCCTGCTAGCAGGATGCACTGTCATGACTCATATCTATTCTTAGCTTGTCCATTTGCATCATTTCACTACCGACCCATTCTCTGTCTTGGTGCACCAATCTCCCAGTGCCGGCGTGCTGTCTCAGATTTCGTCCAAACCTTTCCTTGAAATGCTGAAAGCGCGAATTGCATTGCTCCTGGACGATAACGACGACGCCATGAATGTTGAGGATTGGCAGTCGCTCGCCACCGCTTCGGTCGTTACCACAATTGATGAGGCTCGTTCCGAGTTCTATCTTCGTGCCCGAAATATCCGCAAAGCCTTCGGGGTTATGCTCCGCATACAAACGGTGTTGGAATCCAACGGTCATAAAGGCTTGGAATGGACACTCAATGCTGAGAACAGTGGTCGTGTATGCAATGTCCTTCTTGATATTCTGCGCGGCCAACTCTCTAGGGACGTGAAGCGCCTGGGCCTAATCATAAAGTGCATCTCCGCGTTCGTTGCCTATACGTGGGCTGATCGAATCGTTTTATAGGAAACTAAGCTACGACGAGCTGCGAGCAGTAGTGAACAGCGTTCATAGATATGTTTTCACGATGCCACCTCAAGCGTGCTCAGAGGAGCCAGAAGCTCGCGCCCATATTGCCTACTACTACTCACAGCTTCCGGATGGACCACATGTTTCCACCCCCGAAATAGCTGCGCACTTCAGCAACTGGATTACCAAGTACCTCGGGTAAGTCCTGGACGACAGCGGTATCAGCGACCTCGCCTCTGATTTATACCCAGTGATAAGCTTCTGCCACTTGACGATGTCGATCTATGGGATGTGTGGTACGCTGGCATAACACCCTTCCCTTCAGAGGTCAGCGATACCCGCAAGCTCTTCGATGGAAGCTGATTTTCCTTCGTTTAGCTGATCAACCCGTCCATTCGGGCGTCTATAATAGCCGGTCTGCTCCGCCCACATGAATTTCTGGAAGACCTGGAAATCAGGGTGGTCAGACAGCGCCCAATTCCGAAAGCCCTATGGGAGCTTCCGGACACGAGCATCCTCTTCAAGCGGTATCTGGACAGTGGGAAGATGGTCAACGTATACGACTGGTACGAGGCGTTCAAGTCCGTCCTTGACACCCAAAGGACGCAATTGCTGGAGGCTGCTGCTATGTCAAGCGGCACCCCGTCATCCTCTCCGCGAAAGCGGGGTAGAAAGCCGAAGAACCAACAACCCCTTCTCGACACGACTGAGGTTGAGGAGGAGAAGTGGGGGATTGAGACCCAGGCGCGGTTCATTCGGGCGCTGCACGAGCTCGACTACCTTGGTTTCATCAAACATACGGGACGCAAGGCTGATCATGTACTGAGGACGGTGTTTGACGTGGATGACGCAGAGTGATTGCAATGCTTCACGCCTTCTCTGTAGTTGTCCATCACACTTCTGGAAGATTTCGACGATTGTGCTAATATTGGACGGCAGACTTGGAAGTTGGATGCCAACGGGTTCGGCCAAGATGTGTCGGCGAGCACGGATAAATCCCTCTCATAGTCGACCTTTCTGTCTCATGATCGCTCCTCGAGGCCGCCCAGGACGTGTATGGTATGAGACTTGAATGATGTTTGTCATTCCTGGCAGTTTATTTTAAGACGGACACACTCTCCTGAGTGTTGAGCGTTTGAACGTTGAACAATCAATGAAACTTCTTCGAATTCCCTCAATCTCCACCTACATGCGAGTTTCTCGCATATCCTTCGAAATGATTCAAAGTCGAAGAAGTGTGCCACTATCAGACTTAAAAACTTCTTCACCAGCCGCTCTCGGGGAGAAATTCGCCCTGTAAGAAGGCTTTCGACACCTGAATTGGACCATCACTTTCTAGGGCCACCTTGCCCAGACCTCGGAGCTCGAGGAGAGGATTTACAGACCCATAACACCTTTATCTACATCAGATCAGGGGAGTGACAGCGCCACCACTAGTTGTCTGGTCGCAATTTTTGCGACATTTGAATTGCTGTTCAAATGCTGCGTGTTTCGGGTCTTTGATCAGTGCACCTTTCAGACTTCTCAATCTTACAGGATTCTCGCCTGTTTTCAGGTTTCCGATTGAAAGAGAAAAATCCAAAATTACTTTTACAATGTCCCAAAACCACCTCAAAGCTCGCACAATAATTTAGTGTTTCTGAGAACCATGAATGTCCCGCAGATGAAAAGAAACTAAAAAGGTCGATATCCCCCAACTGACTTTCAGACTTCACACCTTGACAGGCCTCTTATCCAGAGGTTCATCAGAACCTCGGAGGGTGCCCTTCGAATACAAAAAAGAATTAATCAGATACTCTACCTTGTCTCTGGAATCTAGTTCAATGTACTCACTATCCAACCACTCGCCGGTGGGAAGGTCACTTGCTCCTTAGTGACCGAAACCCCGCCCATTGGGTATGTATTCCCAACCTGCCCGTGGCTGGCATTATGCGAACGACTCTGGAAGGAGGAATCGTAATGAGTCGGGGCATTATCGGCACCGAGTCTCATACGGCTGTTAAAGACGGCAAGCATCGAGTTGGAATAGAGCTTTCCGAGGATGCCGGCGGTTGCCATGTAATATGTAGGACGGCCAGGAAGGAGGGCCAGAATGAAGTTCAGGATCGCGATGACGGCTGTTTTAAATGGCGTAATGAGAATTTTAGGATAGGTGGTCAGGAGTATGGGCGCCTAACCCGTCAGAGAACCAGTCTCGATTGTGAGCCGTGTGATTTTCCTAACCACTTGTTGTGTTTGCTTCATCCCGGTATTTCGTCGGGACAGCTACATCGCAGCCTCAGATGAGCGACCAGAATGTCCAATTAACCAGACACATACATAAAATGTCATGCATACTGCAATAATGAGGTCGCAAAGGGCGCTTCCACCGTTCCAAATCTAGGTCAAAGCATGCAATCAGGTCAACGGAAGTAATTGGAGGATGCACTTCATTCACGCCAGTCGTGATATATGAGTGTGTTCCCAAAAAATTACTGTTGAAAACTGCTCGTTTCGATTCTACCCCTGTGGCGATCGAACCCCCTAACTGAACAAGCGCCAGCTGACATGATCGGCCGGAATGAGCCACAAATGCCATATAAAGTAACGAACATTCCTACCACAACGATAAATGACGCCACGATCTTCGACTGGGCGAGAACGCTGATTCGGTAAGCGTAGAAGGTTTGGGCCATGAAAGCGACTTTGAGAGGTTGACTTAATAAAATCTAGGAATATTAATATATTGTAGCGGCGGCCTACCGATTCCACTCATGATAGGGACGCTGAACCAGATAGTCCCAATTTCGTCGAGGAATAGGAGATTCCCGAAGCCTTCGGCAAATCCATGAAATGCGCTCTGGGTAAGAAGGAGTGTTTGCGCTGTCTCGAGTATGAAGACTCCGTAGACTAGAGCTTTGCTCCTAATCGGATCGGTTGGGAAGGCGAGGAAATACATGTCTGGCAGTCGTCAATTAATCAGCAACGGAAGATGATGTATTCACTCACAGACTTGAAGCGCGAGCGCCCCAAACAGTCCCCAATTCATCAGGTGGCCAAGGAGCTTAAAGTGCCTTAATTCAACGTTCCCGTGAAGAGTATCCTAAACTTACAAGAGGACCAGCGCTGTTATCCCATTTGAGTAAAATTGTAAGCTGATTGGTCATTCAAAAAATTCTTACATTCGCCCAATGTCTGCCGGAATCGGTGGAAGGGACGCCATTGTGAAGAATGAAGGAAGATGGATTCTTGCTTCGACTAGAGCTCACTGTAGTGTATATGTATCGAAGAGGCTTAACCATCCCTATGTCCCAATATGCCGGGGTGTCAGACTTGTGTCAGACCCAAGTTAGACCAGCTTCGCGATTTACATCTATCAAACGATCACAAGTCTAACTCGACAGCCCTGCACATGGGGCCATACCCATCGAGGCCACCGGTCACCGAGCTGTCATTGTCGCCGAAACAATCTTTGATCTCTGGCCCGGGGTGGTTCGGCGATGTTGACACCTGCCCGAGGCACTTAACCAATTTAAATTTCCTTGTCAACTGAAGTCTGCAGAATAATACTAACCAATCAGTGGTGAAGATGGAGCCTTAAGATTTTGTTGGCTCGTAGATTGTGAACAGGTCGTAGCCAATGTGTTTCACAGACAGATTTCGACCTCAGGTCTCTGTAAGGTTGGACAACGCGCAGGGATATGTCAGTTCAAAGATCTTAATCAATTGTCACCAAGCCGTTCTCAGACTTATGCGCATGCCCGTTGTTGTTGAGAGGACCTTCTTCATAAGAAACTGTCAGCGTATTCCACTTGTCCTCGAGGTTCAATTCCTGTAGATGAAAGATTGTAACGAGGGTGTAGAAAAGCAATAGAAGAACCAACGCTGCTATTTCGTCTAAATGATGCAGTATTGGCTCTCTGCAAATATCTACTCTAGCCACTTCCCGCGTTGGATCAAGCAAACGTCGAGAGGAGCCACGATAACATGCTTCTATGTCGTGCACCTAATGGCCAAAACTTTAGGCAGGATTCTGAAATCTAGAGTTTCATGAAATTCTGTCGACGCCTTGGTGAGCTCGAAAGCATCATGATGGAGCGCTTTCTCAATATGTTCGAAGCCCCAATGATTGTAATAGAATGTATGCGGGACGTCGTGGAGGAGCGGGCAGTCTTACTATCGGGCACTGTTTGACTCTCACACATGATGATAGGCCATCATTCTTGCGTTTAGGGCAATTACTATCGTCCTTCAGAACCGCGCAGCCATACAGTATCTGTGTCTTGTTACAGTCTTACATTGACTCATAATAAATATCCTTGACATCGTGATAACCCAGAAGATATCCCACAACTGTCCATCAAACGAAAATCATTCTGACATGGAGCTAGATCATTGGACCGGGGGGAGTTCTCTTGCCTTACGTGCACTAACTTCGCAGCCTGTGGATAAACATTGAGACAGGGACCCAAAATTTCTATGTCAAGCATGCGCACCTTCAAGCGTTGGGTACCAGGTCGCGAGGTTTGTCGACTCCAATCATGGAATCGTCTTGTCTTTGCGACCTCGTCGGGTCTATGGGGTAGATCTCAGTCCCGGATTCTGTCAGCGATGTACGTCGCCTGTAGGATACGTGCGATGAGGCGTTGGAATAGGTGTCGGGCGAGTGGCTGAGCCTGATACGGCTGTTGAACACCGCCATCATGGAGTTCGAGTAGAGCTTTCCAAGAACGCCAACGGCAGTTTGATAGTACGTCGGATGGCCCGGGAGCAAGGCCAACGCGAAATTGACGAGCGCGACGGTGGCTGTATTCACAAAAGTAAACGAGATGGGGCATATCGTAGACTGGCACTCGAACCTGTCAGTGAGCCGGTCTCGATGACCAAACGCGTAAGCTTCCTAACGATCTTCTGGGTGGGGCCCCAACCAGCGTCTCGATGAGAGAGCTGAAGCATATTATCGCGTTAGTTCAGGCTCGGGAAATAGTCGGAGTGAAGTACGTAGTATGTCATGCAGGCGGCAATGATTATGTCGCATACAGCACTTCCACCGTTCCAGATCTTTGCGAGATTTTTCTTCTTTAAGAAAAAAAGAAGATAGCGGACTGACATGACCGACTTACCCCTGTCGTGATCAGTGAATCTCTGCTAACGAATCTGCTGTGTACGACAGCAGCCTTTGATTTGACTCCTGTGGCAATAGCTCCTCCCAGTTGTACAAAGGCAAACTTATAGTAACGGTAAGAACATCGGAGCGTTAAAATTTCAAAAAAAAAAAAAAACTCACCAGCATGATGAAAGACGGAGCGATGTTATTTTGTGCAAGAATCTTAATGCGATATGCGTAGAACGTCTGTGTAACGAAAGCGACTGGGCGGCCATCAGTCTGAGCGTCAGAAACCTCGGATATCATACTCACCTATTCCGCTCATGATGGGTATCGTGAACCAGATAAGACCGATTCGATCCAGAGCGCGTAGGTCCCCGAACCCCGAAGCAAAATTACTAAACGCATTCTCTGTGAGGAGCAGCGTCTGAACTGTCTCAAAGATGAACACCCCGAAAACTAATATTCTACTTGTCGGTGGGTCCTTCGGGAAGGAGAGGTAGTATAGGTCTGTTCCATTGACAAATTAGCATGATCTCTCGCTCGAAAAAGGATCGGGATGTCGCTTACAGACTTGAAGAGAGAGCGCGCCTTGAAGGCACCAATTTAACATATACCCAAGCAGCTAAGACAATTATTAGTATACTCTTCAGTCGTGTTGTAGTAACGTTTACCAGTGGACCGGCACTTGTGTTCAAGCATTCAGTGGGCGGTCAAAATGCAGATGGTTGGAAAGCTTACACTCTTCCAATATCGGGGGGGATCCCGGAACCGACTGGAGGGGCTACAGGGGCGTCCGACATGTCTCTTCAAGGATGCTCAGCGCCGTTTGAAGGGTTAGCGCAGCGGGGAATGAACAGAAGCTTCGCCTTTCGTACACAAGTTTATAAACCTGGCGAGGTGATCTGGACATCAGCGTTCGAAGCCATCTTACTTGATTGTCCCTTCATCCACGGAGGTACTTCCTTCCTGGTGTCAGACAAAAAAAGAACGGCGGAGACAGCCGTTCTTCGCCCGATACCCAATGCTTGGTCCTCGAGGCTCATGTCTGTTCTATCTGCCACTGAAGAGAACGGTCAGAGTGAGAATACACATGTGACTGAGAAGCCAGTTACCAAATAAAACGAGTAGCCGGAGGGAAGCAACAATGGGCATTCCCCTGCATGAAACTACAGAATCTGCTTTGACCCTTGAAATTGAATTTTTGTAATCCGCGCCACGTCCTACTTCTGTGATCGTGTCTACTCGCACGGTTATTGAATCGGTCATGGAGCAAGAGGTTGGTGGCCATTGGGTCCATTCTCCGTTATCTGACGCGGGGCGTTCGTCCGCAATCAGGATGTCATTACTCTGGGTGGTTCGAAGCACATATCAGAGACCTGTTTAAGACGGGGTTGGTTAGAGTGTCAGCTGCATCCAATTGAAGTAGGCTACTTTTGATGCACGCCGCCTGAGCTGTGTTCCATCAAGACTGCGCTGGACGTCGATATGATATTACGTGCAGCATCCTGTTCTCAACGTTAACAACGCTTATTTTAGGATCGGACCATGTGGGTGTCAAATCAGAGACTTACTTTGGAATTCCAAACATTCAGCGTATCTAATCTGTCTCACAGAACGCGCTTGTTACACTTTAATCATAGAGTCGAATCACTACAGGTAGGGATTCGATATGGGCTTGACCTTCGTAGTATTATGCACCGAGGAACAAGGAGCCTGAGAGATATTGTCCAATCATACAAGTCTGGGTGGAATCGACGAAACAAGGTCTCGGAGGTGACATGGGATATCGACGATAGAAGTTGTTGCACTCTTGATGGATGGGTCTGCCCATTCCAAAAAATCAGCTTCTGCGGCCATGACTTCCTGTCGCTTCTGATATTGTGTCGGAAAGGGAGCAGTGGCGAGGGTTGTGAAAGCAACGTTGACTGGAAGCATTGTACCGCTCGACGTGCTTCGTGCGGTGTTCGGCTGCGACCAAATGTGCGAAATATGACTCCTAGAGAAAAACGCGTTCAGCGAGGCTTCGAAGGCAACAAAATCCTTGAACAGACCTAAATGATAATATGCAAACCATTTCGAGCGATCACCCTCCTGCTCGAGGAGGGTTGGAGGGCCCGCCTGCTGCACCACCTCGTCCTCGTCCACCACCTCGACCACGTCTTCCGCCTCCGCCTCCGCCTCCGCGATGATTGCCAACAGATGGATTGCCAGACGCGATGGCAGGAGAAGGTGCAGTAGCAGCTGCTCCAGTGCTAGGATTAGATGGTCCAGATGGGTCCTTCTGGATGCCAATAGGCGACGGTGCATCGGGTGCCCGCTGAAGGATGCTGGAGACCTTCACTGTGTTGGCATTGGCTGGAGGAGCTTCCGTCGACGAAGTTCCTCCTGCTCCTGCTCCGGCACCACCTCCTCTTCCGTGCCGCCTGTGCCTCTCTCGCTTCGGTGACGGAGGAGGAAGGGGTTCCATCTTTTCCGTATCTGAGCTATCAATGCGGGCATACGTAGTAGCTGGCACACTGAGGGTGCTGGAGGGCCCGTCGGGCCCATCTTTGCCTGCAGTGGTAGCAGAAGCGCCCGGCGCACCTTTGGTACCAGCAGCCTCTTTCTCCTTCTCCTTCTCCCGTTTCCTACTGGCAGATCCAGCGAGGCCTGAGACACCGCTCAGCGCAGCTTCAAATTGACGAGAAGCAAGTCCGATGATTGGCCGGGCGCGTCGGCCACCAGGAGCAGGGGGGTTCGCTGCGGCTGGCGTTGGCGCAGATGACGACGGTGGTTGAGCCGGATTGGCGTTTGGATTCGGAAGTACAGAAACAGGAGTGGTGGGCACTGGTCCTGGCACCACTGAGGCCGCACCCTTAGGCTGCTGTGCACCCCGAGGGGGTCGAGGTGCTTTGGGAGGCTTTCCTCCTGCCTGTGGTGTTGGGAGCGCCCTTCTGCGATCCGGGTGCAGCTTTGGGATTCGGAGGAGGAGCAGGTTGTGATGCGGCTGGAGGTGGTTGTCCCTTCTTTCCAGATTTCTTTGGTTGCACGTTGCTCGCAGTGGAAGCAGGAGTTTCAACAGGTCTGGAAGACGCAGGTGGCCCCGAGGCTTTCTTTTTCTCTTCTTTACGGGAGGACGGCACCATAATCTGATTGTAGTGTGCATGATTGCGAAGGATGGCTTCCTTGTCTTTGTTCGCACTCTTCTCTGCCTTGAGAGCCTCTAGAAGAGGCGTTGTCTTCGGGGGGGACGCAGGCCGAGTCGATGCAACTAAGCACAGTTAGGATCGATAACCACACACGGCAAAGTTGGGACCTACTGAGGGCTTCGAGACTGACGGGCCCCGTCGTGGATGGTGTCTTCAGTGACTCCATGAACGAGATAAAATCCTCGTCTGGGAGGTCCTTAGCATACGGACGAACCCAGGAGATCAGAAACGCACCTTTCTCAATCGTACCGCTGCGATTATCCACTTTCTTCTTCTCGGAGGGGATCTTGGGAAAGGGAGCATATTCGACCACCGCTTGCGATTCCACACCTGGACGAACGTTAGCGCCTATTTATCTCTCTTCCAATTTTGTTTCGCGTACCGGACTTATCTCTGAAGGTATGGCCATCGTATTCCCGACTGAATAAGGCGAGTTGTTCTGGATCCTTGAACGCGATATAGGCGCGGGATGGTATGTTCTCCTTGTTCAATCTGAGCACAGTCAGTCGACGTCCTTCATCGCCAAGCAATCAACGAACTTCTTGCGCAGTTTTCCCTTGTAGTATGTCTTCCATATCGTTGTTTCCTCCGTAACCCAAGGCTGAACGCTCTGCCAAAAGATCTCTTCAGGCAAGTTTGGTGGAAGCCGTCGAACCACAGTCTTGAGACGCTCGTTCTGGTGAACCTGTGAGGCAGTCTTTTCCTTATCCTTCTTGGCTTTCGGCTGCTTAGCGGTTGTCGGCGTCGCGGACATGAAGGAGGATATGAAGCAAGGTTGGAAAGGTCGATGTAGAAGAGAGCATTTGCCGTCTCGGCATGACAGTGTCGGAATTCGAATATTTGAGTCTCCATCCCAGCTCTTGCCCCCGAAAATTTCTGTTCTTCGCCATTTCATCCTGCATCTTGGATCGACCACACACTTGTCTGACGTTTCCTTGTCTTCTGCTCTTCATAACCTCTTAATCTGTGAGCTTTCGTTCTCTTTTCTCTTCCACACATTTTCTTTCTGTATGTGATGAACAAAAAATCACATTATCAAGCTCAACAGTCTGAGGGATCCCTCCCTTTGCTGACCCAACTTCTGCAATTCTGACATCTTCCTTTCAACCACCGCTTTCTTGAAATACTTATGCTAACCGTCTTTTTCTTAGGTCCTTGTTGTCTTCTCCGTCTGTTCTCTCTTAAATTGGAGATTGGTCGCCTGGTATTATGTCCCCCAAGCACGCTAACAGATGATTGCTTTCTGCTCGATCCACATTGCGCATTTCCTCTTGTTCCATAATGCGCTATGCGAGGGCCTATTCTCAGCTCGGTTAGCTCATGCGAGATGGGAGAGCAATCGTTGTCTGGCTGCCTATAGGAAGGTTAAGCCTTCAGCTTCGGACAAGTGTCCACTATGTATCCTGTTCCCACCTGCACTCCTCTCGTCGCATCATTACCCATGCAATACTCCAATGCACGGCCAATGCAGCTATTGTAACCCTTCGCGACGAATTCACGTTGTGGGTTTCGTCGGCCTATCCGCTTCTCTGATGACGCAGCACTTTTTTGGCTCAAGAAATTGGTTTTCAACTGGAGTCTGGTGGCTTCAACAGCGAGGTTTGTTCATTTGGTCTTTCTCATTTGGTCAGGTCGCAGGGCTGGAACAGCAGCGTCTTCTGGCGCAGACGTCCATGACATCAACGAGCACGAGCTATCAGACAACTTTTACATATCTTTCGATACGTAGCTACATCCCCTACCATTGTCCCGTAGATCCCGAGTGGGTCCTGGTGGTGTATATTATTATTATTATTATTATTATTATTACCTTTAAAAATAGTACTTTTAGCATGTACTATGTAGATTTGGAAAAAATGAACGCGTTGTAACTCACAGCTACAGCTCACATTGCCGACTAATATTTTGAACTTTGTCTATATCCTCCACATTAAATTCAAGAAACCTAGTTCATGTCATGTTTGTACCACCTGAGCACCGCGACGACTCTTGATTGTGGGTTCAGGTCAAAATCGTACATGCTCGAAGTTTTTGGTTGTTACCACACGCTGGGCTGCAAGCGGCCCGGTGCTGTTCAGCGTGAGAATATATCTCCATTTCAACCCACTGCCACAATCTGGTCCGAGTTGTCCTCTTCCACCGTCTTTACCGCTTTCCTTCCTCATACTTCCGTTCCATCTCAATGCCGGCTGCGCGTTCATTAAAAAGAGGCAAGAAGACGAAGGCCAAAGCTGAACAAGCAGCCCCGGCCAAGGTAGAAGAGACACCCGTAGACGACACTTCCATACAAACCGACCAAGCAGGGCCTTCTACATTAACGTCGATATCCCAACCGGCTGTCGAAGCAGTAGAAGCTGTAGAACATGCTGTCGCTAGCGCGGTGGAGGTGGTGAAGGACAAGGTAGAGGAAGTGGTGGAAGCAGCTGAGGAGTTTGTTGAGAAGATGACTGGGTTGGAGGAGACCAGTCGGAGTGCGAGCAAGTCTGGAGAGGAGACCCCTGCAGAGCCCATGGAAGAGGATAAGGAGGAGCCCCGTAAGGTGTCAATGGAGGAACGAAAAGTCAAGCTCGCTGAGTTGCGCAAGAAGATGGTGAGTGCACTTGTGTTTCATGCAACGAACGTTCAATGCTGACATTCTATCTTCTGTAGGCTGCCTCATCTAAGGCCAACCGTGGCGCGCTAGTGGAAGAAGCATCAAAGGCCAAAATCACTGCCCGAGACGCTGCCCGACTAGAGCGACAGAAGAAGTTGGCTGAAACACTCCGGCTGAAGGCTGATGCTGAGGAGAGGGGCGAGGATGTCGAGAGGCAAAAGAACTGGGAGTACACGATAGAAGAGAACGACGAGTGGGAGAAGAAACTCGCCAGGAAGAAACGGAGAGCGGATTTCGAATTCCATGGTTCGCTTCCTTGTGGTCGACCTCTGAGCATCCTCTTGACAAACAACCCTTTCCTAGATGATGCACATGCTGCACGACGGCGGTACAAGAAGGATTTAGACTTAATCAAGCCTGACCTTGAAGCATATAACAAGCAGAAAGCTCTTGCTACAGGTACAGGAATGCTGACTGGATTCAATGCCGCCGGCGAATCTTCCGACATGGACGTCATCAGCCAGGAGCAGAAGTCTGCTGCAGAGAATCTCTACCGAGACGCCAATACCCTCATCTACGGCGACAGCAAGCCCTCCGAGGATGCTATTGATAGGGTGGTTAGCAAGATCAATAGAGAGTGCGTTCCTGCTGTCCTTTCCTGTTATGTAACACATATTCATGCTGGCTTTCCAGCATCGACAAGAAGGGCAAGTTCTCCAGGAAACGCCTCAACGAAGTGGAGGGCGATATCACATATATCAACGAGCAAAACCGCGTTTTCAATAAGAAGGTACGGTTCGATCTTTCCAGCTATATATGTCCTCTGGCTCATGTACTCTCTTCGTCAAGATTGCTCGTTATTACGACAAATATACATCAGAAATTCGGGCCAGCTTTGAGCGTGGCACTGCTCTATAAGCCCCTGCTTCGTTGCCCTCCTCTTCGCCGCATTTGTCACTGCTATGCGAGATTGTACGCTACTCTATCTATATTTTGTACACGCAACACATTTTCTGTAAGCTCTCAGCTACTTCATAATACAGACAAGATGTTTGCCTCGCTTCGCTTCGGCTATAAGTAGACGAAACCCGTCACTGAACAGGTTCTCAAAGAGTGATTTTGGCTGAAATTCAGCGCAAAAATGAACGAAACTCATGGACTTGACTTGGAGACTGGCAGCTCGAGAATATGCAGAACCCCCTGCGTCATACGATCGAAAGTTGACATTTTTGAAAGGGTGCCATCTCAAGAGACTAAAATTTGGGGCAGACTCGGAAAGGGACAGCTGTGACTCATGTGGAAGAGCAAATTTGACGCAATAGACATGAGCAATGCAGCCAAGCAGGCGCTTACATGAGAGGAGAAAAGACAGTGGATGAAACATGAAGATAAATGCATCTGGAGGGAGAGAAAGGACATAGAGGATCAAGGAAGTAGAGGATAAAAAAGGCTCAACCATCTGTACGGTATTATAGTATTAATAGTCCTACATGCAATAACTTGAAGTTCTCTAGGAAATCAGGACACACAGAAAGCAATGGAATGGAATGGAAGAGAAAAGGCTAAGAAGTTTTGAAGGAATCGAGGATGAGACATTGACTGAATGACCTAGGGGCAGAACAATAAAGTGTCTGAGGCCTGGAGGAGAGACGAAACGGGAAAACGGGCACGAGCAGACGTACAAACAGACGTACATGAAGTCGAGGGATCTGCTTCATTATAGAGGTATATTTGGATGCAAGTTTGGCTCAACTCCAGACCAGCGAGAATCGTCAGGCGACAAGGTCTTCGGCCTATGGTCTAATTCATTTTTGACGAACGCAACGTGTCTTCGTCATAGGACTCCAAGCCTTTCGGTGATAATCGGAGAACAGCAATTTTTGCCATGTCAATGCACATCCACATCGTCAAGCCCTTTTCGATTATCTGCAGAAGTTCAGACCTGCGTCATATGCATCGAACAGCGTCCCAAGATGTCGTATTCCCCAAACCCAGAAGTTAGGGGCCATTTCAAATTCAAAGCTAGGTCCTCGCTATTGCCTCAGGAGGTTCGAGCCATACATTTGTGAAACCTCCTTCGTCGATTTCCATCAGCTGATACAGGACCCGGGAAGCTCTTGGCATTTGTTGTCCGAAAATTTGCGGATTTGAGGCCGAATTTTGGTAAATCTCTGTCCGGAAATTGCGGATTTGAGGGGACTTTTCGCAGACCTCTGTCCCAAATTTGCGGATTTGAGGGCTCAAATTAAGAGTATTTGTCCCAATATTTACACCATCCGGGCAGTGCTAAACTAGATTTGGCCGGAGATCACTCAAAAACCAACTACACCGAATATCATAACAAAAGAGAAGGCCAACTTGCTTTCACGCGGTGGTGTTCGACGCATCCATTGCACGGAGATTACTTCATGCGACATCCTGCTCTTCCTCGATGAATCGGGCGGCGGGGCATTGGTGACTTGGCATGAAGTTCAACGGGCAAGGGCAGTCATTCCTCCTGCACCATTCCCTCTGAAAATTCACATTCTGGGGGGAAAATGAAGTAGATTTCAATTTTCTACATGTATGCGAATCAAATACATCTCGATGATGCATTTCCCGCTTGTTTTTCGCCCTCGAGCATGCGGAAACCACCTCCCGCGACGACAGCAACTGGTGGCGGAGGTGCCAACAAAAATTTCTTTTTTTGGATTCACGTGACGACCCCTGTCCGAAATTGCGGATTTGAGGGCCAGAAATTTGCGGATTTGAGGGCGAAATTGCGGACACCAAATGCCAAGAGCTTCCCGGGTCCTGCTGATACTAGAAGAACCACTCCATTGACTCTGAGGCTGGTCCCTTCACGGTGCACGAATTGAGGAAGAGCCTTGCATTCTGTGGCACGATGACAGACTCGGTCTGTCCCGACCCTCTAGGCCTCCTAATTCGTCGGCTTGTTCTTGGACCCTGCCGACTTCTGGTGCTGCCTTTGCAAGACGCGACTAAGATCCGCCAGGGTATATAAGACCGAGCCTTTTAACGTTCAGCGGTCAGTAAATCACACCTTTTAAAGTAAGTTGGCCTCACTGAATCACAATACTTACTTCTGTAGTCAGGTCGTTTGCCATGCCAGACCTTTTACTACAGACTGCTCTACATCCTCATCTACACGGACATGGGCATAGGTCGTCGCCTGCCTCTCCGTCCACCGCTTGTACGACGGGGTGTAGCTTTGGGAATCATCACCACGAACCATCTCAAACTCCGAGCGCTTCCAGTAGTCATCCAAACCTCCTGAGTGGTGCCTCGTCGTTGTCGTCTACAGGCAATGACATCAACTCCGCTCAACTTGCCGACCTTATCGCCCACTATGGCACCTCAAGTTCAATTGCTTGGTTAGACAGGGAAAGGTACAAGATCTGGCGACCTTCTCAGCCGATCCTGGAGTCCGACTTTATACCCGTTCAAGGCTATCTTCGAAAAGGTGGTCCTTTTTTTCTTCGGTGTTTCTCCAACGTCTGATTCTTTCTTGACATCTAGACCCGTTTGTCTTCGCATGGGGCAACCCGCTCGTCTCGTCTCCAGCTGCCCTCGAGAAAACTGCTCGGGCGTTCATAGCGTTCGCCGAAGCAAACCACCTCCGTCCGGTCTGGTCCTGCGTTGATCACGACCTGGAGGCGATTCTATCAGGTGACGCCCTGGGCTGGGCAACCGTGTCCTGCATCTACGAAGACGTCATAGACCCGGGTCACATCGTCGAGTTGGCTGGTATGGAGAAGGACAAGGAAGGCGGGCATTCCATCCGCGATCTTCGAAGGAATTTACATCGGGCGGAGGAGGAGCAAGTTGACGTGCACGAGGTGAAACGAGGAGATTGGAGCGACAAAGACAAAGAAGCGGTCGAGGCTGGCATCAGGGAGTGGAAGGCGCATAGGCATGGGATGAAGTTGGACCCGATGACTCTCGAGCCGTGGGTCGACGAGTCGCATAGGAGATATTGGATTGCAAAGCAGAAGGACAAGGTAGGCCTTGTCAGCCTTTTTCCTTCAAGGCGTGTTGACATGGTGGTCTTTGCACAGGTCGTTGGGGTCGAAATCCTTGCTCGAACAGGTCCGCTATCATGGCAGATCGTTAAATGCATCACATTCCATCACGCCCCGAAAGGAACGTCCGAATCGCTCATACACGCAGCACTCAAAGATCTTCACTTGGAAAATCAATATGCGACTGAAACATTGCCGACCATTGTTGCACCCGAAGACACTTCTGCCTCAGAGACCACGGAGACACCCGCAGAATCGCGGAAGAACAGGGTTACGGTGTCATTCGGAATTACAGCTGCTGATCATCTCGAACCCGGGCACAACGTGGGCGGTTGGAAAGTGACTGTGCTGGGCAAAACGTATCAAGCAGTCTCCGGCATCGTTGGATTAATCAAGATGGGGCAGTACAGGGTATGTCGGTTATCTTTTTCGTGTATGTTGATAACTAATTGACGATCCAATTCGAACAGAACAAATTCCTGGCAATGCATGAGCCGATGTTCGTTTGCTATCCTGCAAATGGTTTTGGGCTCATCGCAGTAGGGGCATTACTGATGGCGTTGCGTCACTGAGTCAATGGTTATCTTGAGGTCTATGTATGTCGAACTGTACGCCTTGCTTTGTGGTTTCGTATTGTTTTCGTTTCTGTACTTGTATTTCTTCCCGTTCCGCGTTTCTTGAGGTAATAGGAAAAGTCGTGCCATTCCAAGCCGTCATAAGTTAGGTTGAAGATCCTGTGCGAAGTTCGTAACAACGGTCCTTTAGTTGGAGGAGTACCATGCTTCGTCACCATTGGAGCAAATGGACGATTTGACGGTCTTAATACGAGAACAACCATTAGAGAGACCCACTTTGCGGCATAATTGATTCATTGATAGACAAGTGACTCTTGTCACCCACTGTCATTACTACGTTCTTGAAAAACCCTCAGCTCTTCAACTCTCAGCTTCAAAGGCATCGGAGAGAACTCTCTTACATGTATTCGTGCGAATGATTCAGACACGCCATGGTGGATTAAGGTCAGACTGCTAAGGTTCTGGGACGTGTCAAATAAAGTCGGGATTTTGGGACATGTTGTCTCCCGGTCCTTGTATTTCCCCGCAGTGGTCCCACACCTTGAGCATTCGAAATCCTAGGGTCTACAACTTCGAGAATGGCAGCTCTATCACCCAGCGGCAAGCGTGCTCTCGATAACTTCATCGTATGTGGTTTCGAAAGACGAGGTTCCAGCTTTCCTAACCCAAAGTCGCCTGCAGAAAGAGTCTGTTGAGGGAGGCAAAGTTCCTGGTTTCGTATTGGGTGTCTCCAACCTCGATGAAGAAATATACTTTCAAGGCGGTGGTCCGAACATCATAGGCGACCCAACGAGTGGAGAGGTCAATCCTGACAGTGTGTTTTGGATTTGCAGTCAGACAAAGATGATTGCTTCGGTCAATCTCCCTTCGCTCTTCGAATGATGTCTTCTGATTCACAGGATGTAGCTAGCTGTGTTGAAGCTCATCGACCAGGGCAGGCTCTCTCTGGATACCCCGATGGGAGACCACATTCCGGAGTTCCAAAATCCCGTCATTGTGGACAGGACTTCAACGCAGAAGACGAGCTTTCGCCCAGCAAAGACCGTTGTTACTGTGAAGCACGTTCTCAACTTTTCCGCCGGCCTATTCTATCCTGTTGTACGCGAGGGTCTTAATGGTCTTCCCGTTGGATACACCTCGAAAGACGTCCATGTTGCCCCAGATCCGGTTCAGCACTTCTTCCGCATCATCATTGTAGGAAAACTTTACACTCTCTGTGCGGATTAATGACATAGGATTCTCCAGGGTGAATTACCAGCTCTTCCACTAAAATTCGAGCCTGGAACCAATTGTCAGTACTGTGACGTTGTGCCCAGTTGACGAACTGAAATACTCTAGTTGTCTACGGGTGGAGTGCTGACATGCTTGGTATTCTCGTGGAGAAGGTTTCAAGTCAAACTCTTGAGCAATTTTGGTATGTGTCGTCGTGTGTCGAGGTTAGCCTGAATTGACAGTTTGCAGCAAGGAGCACATATTTGAGCCTCTTGACATGAAAACGTCCTTCTACTTGACTCCAGATCTGCGCCAACGACTTGTCAATCTTGCCTTCCGCGACGAGAACGGGAATCTCCATCCATGGACTGAGCAGGTGCCGATCATGGAACAAGACGAGCGCAAAGGTACCTATATTCATCTTTCATGGACCCTTTTCTAATATCAGCTCAATAGTCGGATTTCATCTCGGGGGTGTCGGGCTTTACTCATCGACGCGGGACTACCTCAAACTCCTCCGTCATCTGATGCAGATCAACGGTATGACCTTCTTCAGCCGCCCAGTGCCAATTCTTATTCGTCCAAAAGCTGGACGGCCTGTGACGAAGCCTCTCTGGAAAACGGAAACGATTCAGAGCATATTCGTTCCTGCACTGACAGAGAAGGGGTCCAAGTCGCTTTCCGACTTTGTCATGGCCCCTGGCACTCAATGGGGTACGGCCCTCGCCATCTGCACGCAAGACTGGCCGAGACGCCGAAGAAAGGGTTCTGCGTTCTGTATGTATCCCCGTTTCTTCTTTTATAACCCCCAGCTATTTGACTTGTATAATGAATGGCTACAGGGAGTGGATGGGCCGGAACAGCTCACTTTATGGATCCAGCGAGTGGAATCGCTGTCGTTTTCGGCATCCAGGTTGCACCAGCAGGAGACATTGAAGCACAGAAGCTGTGGATGAAGCTAGAGGCGCTGATTTACGCTGCATTGGAGAGTGGATTTATGAAGCTTTGAAGATGGGGTCCCTTGTCCCTGTACTATCTGCGGCCAATATACCCCTGGCACAATTCCCTTTTCTCGAGACAGGAGGTAGCCTCATTCAGTGATGCGCATCCAATTGTTCTTGTGATCGTCCGGGATTCTATTAATCGGAGTGCAGTCTAATGCGGCTTTGCTAGCAGCTTCCTTGTTCTGGTATTCCAGTCACCGTCAACCTGTTCAATTGTGCTTTGCTTACAGAAATGTTGGTCGGCAGATCGTGCCCGGTCTGCGTCCTTGAAAGCAGTCCGACCAATAGCTTGAGCCTCGTGGTTGACGCTGGTGCCCGACGGTGCATCTGTAGTCACGGCGTCGCTGGATACGGTCGACATCCTGTACAGACCACCGTCCTCCCGTCTGCCTTCGAAACGCTCCGTGGACGGCAGGGTTCAGTGGAGCAGGAATGATGCCCTCGTGGCTAACCCATGCCCTTAGCTTCTCTTTTCAAAATCCAAGGGGTTCGGACTACGAATTTACAGCGCGCAAGCTGTGTCTGAAACTTTCAAAGTTGTCTGCCTGATCCAAGGCCGATCGTAATTACAGCCCTCGTGGAAGAAATGTGGGCCTCATCTGGGGCTCAGAGGCTGGTAAGATGTTCGACCTTCCGCCTAAATGAGATTAGTCAGTTTCTCCGGCTCCGAGGAAGGAAAAGGCACCTTCAAAGGGATGAAAGGAGGGCTGATATGCAAGCAGTACTCGAGCATGACGAAAGATTATGCCCCAAATATCATCTTTTCCTGCTTCTGATAGGCGCGTCCCATTCAAATATGCCGGCTAGGCGAGGCGCCTCAAGCTGCCTCAAGGCGCGTCATGCACCCACACTCCCACCACCATTTAACCCAAATGGTGTGATCGTTCCGAGAATCACACCAAGCATGCAGCCGGTCAACGATGCCTGTTATCTCCTAGTCCCCGTTGGGCGTGCTGCAGTCCATCCTCGCCGGAGCACGATCAGCCGCGTGTAAGGAGTGAGGAATCCATGCTGAGCCTCCTCAGGACCTAGTCCTGGGTGCTTATTGCTGGCCGAATAAACACAGCCTGCCTGTGCACCTCCCCGTTTCCCTCCTTGCGTTACGTCTCTTCAGCGTCCGTCCACCTTGGCCCATCTTCCCACCCATCGTGAACTTAGCGTACCCCAGCCGGCCCTCCCGAACATCATTCCCGACCTGCGATCCATTCTTCGCCGGATTTTACGTCTTCCCGTAATGTCCACTGAGTCCATTGCGCCAAGCGGGGCACGCAGCGTGGAGAGGAATGGACTTGTTTCCGGACTGGAGCAAGTCCCTTCGACTGTACTTGCGGTCGCTGGAGCACGGGTATACCATACCAAACTGAACGCCAAAGACACACAATGGAACTACTCCCAGTGGAAGGGTACGTTGTCATTCGGAAGGGACATCGACACCCCCATCTCGCGGACAAACAGCGCGAGCGACACAGAAAAATACTGGTTCCGCCTTGCCGACGACGAAACAGGGAGGACGGTGTGGATGTTCAAATTTCCGGAGCAGTTTGAGTATCTTGTCGACCGACCGTTCTTCCACGTTTTTCAGGGAAGGGTGCGCCTATTGTTTCTTCCTGATTTGCGTAAAATGGCTGATAGAAATGCTGAATAGACACGACGCTATGGCTTCCTCTTCAACGACGACGACGAAGCTTCTATGTTCGGAAATGAGGTCATCAACAGGATTTACAACGGCAGTCAGTAGAAACCCGCGCATACTTGTTCGATTTATGCCTGATTACCTCCTTCACCCGAGCAGAGTTGCCCAAGAAAATGAAAGTCTTGAGAACCTCGAACACCAGCCACATAAGTACGACGAGGTCGAAGTCGCTATCCAGCGGTTCCATCTCTCGAGCCATGATCTCCTCACCCGCTCCCAATTCCTTCAAGCATGTTGCACACGTTGGTGTGAATCAAGACGGAGTCCTGGAGGCTTCGAACGATCTCGACAGTTCCTGGAAATCTATTCTTGCGAACCTGCAAGGGTATGGTGTGAGTGACGATATTGTTCTTCGGCATAGCAGTTTCGGAGACGGCTTCTGGAAGGCCATTCGAACAGTTGGGTGACCAGTTGAGGAGACTTCTGCGAGTAAGTGACGAAAGGTGTATCAGCATCTTGGACTTATTCGACGCGTTGTCAGAGCTCCGGGCGGAGGCAGAGATAGCTTGAAGCAGAGTGCTGAAATTAGCGTCACTTGTACTTTACTGTATTACCTCATAAGCTTGTAACTTTATAAATACATAGCAAGTCTATGTGATGGCCGCGCCAGATGGCTAGAAACGTGTAAGATCGCGACCAAAGATCCCTGATAAAAGGAAATGAGATGTCTTGTTTACTGAAAGCACATTATCACTCACAGTTCAAGAACCTGCCAGAACCAAGAAAGACTTGAGGCATCCATCGACATGTAATGAGGACTACTTACCAATATGTCGGGACAAGGATTCTGCAGTAATGAACGAGCTAAGACTCCGGCGAAAATACGAGAAAGAGCACTCACTTGTTTCTGATACTGAGTGTCATCGTAAAATAAGCCGATCGCCACAGCAGCCACGCAATTCTACCGGTCTCCTTTTGCATGAATCCTTCTTCTGCGCCGTTCGTAGGGCGGTCGTAAATGGCTTTCCTGAAGGTAGGGTTAGAGGAGCTCGATCTTACTCCAGGCGGGCATAACACTAACCAATTACCAATGTATGCCAGGCTGCCAAAGTTTTCGAATTTGAAGGGTTCGGGAGATTCTTGATCTTTTGCAAGTTTGTTGATTTTCCTGACGAGATACTTTGCCTTCTGGTTGGCGACTGTCGGATTTTCTTGTGGTCAGTCAACTCATCATCGGCTCATGGCCAAAGGGGCATACCTTGGGCCGTCGCTGGTAAGGGAGCATCCTCAATCTTTGCTGCATCTCCGATAGCCCAAACGTCTGTGTTAGGTTTGCCGTCTTCCATGATAATGTTGAGATGATCGTTGGTGATCAGGCTGGAGACGTTAGTGACTATGTGCCCTTACGCTATGTCCACAATAACACGATACCTGGACGTCTTCGGATCTTTCTGCACTCGACTGAGCTCTTTGACCAGAGGATTTGGGGCGAGACCTGTACTCCAAACCAGAAGTCCGAAAGGTACTGATATCCGCAGTCAACAACATAAATAAGAAGAAAAGAAAAGAATAGCCTACCTTCTCCCTGTTCTCTGACGATCATTTTGCCCTAAAAAACCTCAGTACCTCATGGCTCAAAGTCACGGCAGTGAGCATACATTCTCAACGCGGTCGACGTGGTGGCTAGTGAGAATGCTGATACCTTCGCGCGACAGAGTTTTCTCGGTGTACCTGAAAAAAGTAAGTGATGCTTTGAAGAATAGTTAGGTAAGAGCCCACTTTCGTAGTGACTTATCGAAGCTTCCTAGAATATTCGGTGCCACATCATAAAGAGTGATTTTAGTTAATCGGGCTAAGTTGGGATAGTGTTTGAAGATATCAGAGTGAAGTAAGTCGTAGAGCTCTGAGGAAAACTCCACGCCAGTCGGCCCTCCGCCTATGAACTGGGTCAGGTTTCTAAACGCAGTGCACAGAAGGAACAGGAGACCCACCGACAATGCAGAAGTTCAGCAGATTCCGTCGCTCGATGTCACTGACGAATGGTTGATTCGCTTGCTCAAAACCTGATTCTTGGGTATTAGAAATGAATCTCTCTGTAAGTCAGGTAACCCACATTCGAGAATGCGACTTCGAATCCGCCTCGCATCTTTAACATCTTTGAGGAAATGGGCATGCTCCTTGACCCCCGGTACATTGAACGCTAAAAAGAGTATGTGAATGGTCAAACGAAGCACAATGCCAGGACAACAAACTCTGGGAATACGCGCCAACCGCGATGATCAACTTGTCATATTTTAGTGTGAAAGAATTTTGGCGTTCATGAAGCGGATGTAAATCTGCATCCATCGTCGGTTCCGCATTCACAGGTCGCGTAGCAGGCATCTGATCGTCTCTTCAGTGGTGATTTCGAAAACGCTGAGACGGAACGCACGCATTTAAGTTCCTTCTTCGCAAAATCTGACAACCCATGGTTAATTGAGAACTTGAAAAAGTCGAGGACATCCCGCTAGTACCGATGTTGTCGCACCAGGCCTGATAATATGTCTACAGAAACTCCATTAGAACCCCGGTGCAGGAAATAGATAGCCAGGTAGCATACAACTTGTGGCGCGTATCTTCGAACCGGTTCAACGGCACATCGAAACTCCAGCGTCCCAACAGCCGTACTTGCAAGCAAAGGCGTGAAGTTAAAATAAGTGTTCGGCGAAAGTACAGTGACGTCTGCAATGAGGACATCAGCGTTGTCTCCACATAGGAGATCAAGAAACTCACCCCATCGTTTCTTGTCAATCCCCCGCAAGACGTTGTACCCTCCCCATCCTGAACCTAGAACCACGACGCGTTGTTTGCCCCGCGGTAATGACCAGCTGAAATGTCGCGTCTGAAGGGCACGACTGGCGCTATTTGTCGCTGTGAGAACGGCGTGGCGTACCGCCTGAGCGGAAGAGAGCGACATGGTAGAAAAGAGTACCGGCGCGAGGGAGAATTTTTGGCGGAATGCATGTCGGACGACCTTTATAAGAGGACCAAGGCTATTGGTTGGTGAGCTAGAATGAAAGGGTTGTCGGAGGTCGGACAAACACGGGTTCTCATGAGGCCCCAAGTTTGGTCAATCCGCCGGTCCACTTAGCCGATGCCTTCAACTCAACCTCCTGGCGCCCGCTCTTCTAGGCGGATTTAGAACTTAAGAACATCTCAATTCACCTTTGTTGCCTGCTTCTGATAACACATGAACAAGTCTCCCTGGCTTCTCCATTGTTGTGAATGCAACGAATAACATTGGATGTCACTGCGGAACGCCTTGCGGTACAAAAACAATCATGCTAGAAGAGATAACATGTATATCACCAATCGCTGACCAAAATAACACGAGAGGAGAGCGGATCACCGTCGACACAGCATCAGGGTTCCCAAAAGTCCTCTTCTGGCCGTATGCAAAATCTTTCCCGCTATGTTCGCAACCCCGCGCCGTTTACTCTGCGGGTGTAACTTCGTCGCCAGCCCCGGGTTCAGGCGGTCTTTCGTCTCAGTCGCACGAAGCAAGGATATGACGACTTTCTCGTCGAAAGACCACTCGTCATCTATAAAATCGAACGATGTGGTTGATCCCGTAATATTTTCATGGAACAGGGTACGCTCCCTGAAGTGTTCCATCTTGAATTCGAGTCGATCGGACGTTTGAAGTGAGGAATTCCGGCCAATCAGGGATAGAGCGTGTAACCTGGGTATTTTTCTTATCGGGTCCAACTTGCGAGGGCCCCAGGATTCCGGAGACGCGCCAAGGGGGAAATCAAGACCAGAGTCGTCGAAGCTTTTAGGCAGCTTGTCATCCAGAATGGCCGATATGCAAGAGGTGAGCGCAATGTCGTCGCTCGAGAAGAAATGCACAATAGAGGCAGTGGAAGGAAATGGTTGGGTAGTGCTGGTGCTCTCGAAGCGCGAACTGAAACTGAAAGGCGGAGAGATGAAAGCATCTTGGAGGATCATTGTCGACGGCGGGGTCAGAGAATCTGTACAAGGGTTATGCCGAAAATTGCGAGAGGGGCGAGACAAGGGGCCACCGTCCAGATATAAATTGAGAATGCTGTCCGCTGCGCACGGCGTTTGCGGTTCGTCAGAGATTGTGACCCTACTAGAGAAAGGCGGATGCTGCAGCTCCTCGACCTCATCCCAAGTGTTCTCGAGCGGGTCGAAATAAGAATGTGACAGCACACAATCATCCCCTAGTCGCCTCTTGGGCTGCGTCGCGAGAAGCTGGATTCGAAGGTAAGTGCCACTACGCCAGCAATCCCAAGGTGACTTACTAAAGTCAGAAAATCGGCAAGGTCCTTCCCCAGATTCAAGCCGTCCAAAAGATGAAAAGATAGCAAGCGAGTGCAAGCTAGAAAAGGAGTGCTGCCAGTAAGGACCTCGTAAAGAGAGACGCCGAAGCTCCACCAGTCGACAAGTTCATCATACTCCAGCAAACCACAAGGATTCCGTTCAACAAGTTCCGGCGCAGCATACAGAGGCGTAAACGTAACAACGTCATCTGGCTGAAGGACGATGGGGCTGAAACGCACACCAAAATCGGATCGAGGGTGACCAGAAACAGGCAGCATCCTCGCGGCACCGAAATCACTGAGGACCACATGCCCAGCCTCCGAGATCAAGACGTTCGCGGGTTTGACGTCCTGATGCACGATCCCGAGTCGATGGATGAAGAGCAGGGCGAGGGACAGCTCGGCTGCGAGAAGAAGGAAAGAATGTGAGATGGGTGTATGCGCGTCGTCTCGGCCATTACGGGGCGCAGGGCGAGGACGGAAGTGGGCGGCTATCTCTGGATGTGCCAAGCTCATTGTGTGGTGGTCCTGGTGGTCATGAGAACTCCGATGCGGTAGAGATATTCGAGGACTTACGAAAACAAGATACAAGAAGCTGCCGTCAGCAGAGGTTTCCTTCGTTTTATGGATGAATTCTGCGGATTTGTCCACGAGAGCCTCCGTGGACATCAGAAGATCCAAGATAGCAAGTTCATGAGACGGTAGTGCGCGGGTATCAGAGAGGATCACTTTCGACCAAATCTTGATCACAGAGAGACGGAAATTGTCGCCCTTATGCCGAGCAAGAATTGAAATTCCTGTTGCATGGGGACCTGGCTTTTCCTGCAGAATATATGCAGATAGGAAGCTAGAGGATGCCCGGAGGGGCGCGCTGGTGAATGGTTGACGAAACGGAGATTCGGGCGGCTGACGCAAGGGTAGAGATGTCAGACTGTCGAGAGAAGGAATCGTCGGGATGTCATCCGCTTGAAGAGAATGAGATAGAAAGATAGCAGGCGGTTGAGAACGGTCGAGACAAAGGTAGCACAGACTGTCATTGCAGGTGTTCGGCAGGTGTCGTGGTGGAAGATCCAGTGCAACACTTGAATGTGAATAGCCCTGAATTAATAGGAATGAACGGTTAATTGCCTTCTAGATCTAGAGGAAACAAAGAATTACGTCGCCTCCTGGAGAAACTGGAGGTGTCCAAAAAAGCGTCATTCCTGAAGGATGCGAGCTGACCCCTTCATCCCCAGTCCAAGATGGATCCATCGAGAGGAGTTCAAAGACTATTGTTCAAGTAGTACAAGATTTCTAGAGGGTATTCAGGGGGGCCATGGCAATGAGAACGGCACGACTTGGCAGTAGGTTTGGACTAGCTAGCGACTTGTCAGTGTCAGCCGTCGGCATTTGCGCCGAATTTAAATCATCTTCCCACGATATTCCCGCGAAACAAGGCCTGGCGCCAAGCACGCGTGTTCATTCTCTCCGTGAGCCTTCACCGTCCGATTAATCTCTGGAGGGATAAATGAACGTATGTGGTTCATTTTATCTATGAATGGTACTTTTGATCCTGAGATTCTTCAGCAGCTTGAGCGATGGGGTGCTCATTTCGCAGGGCTCTTCTTTTGACAGCGTCTCTGGGTGCGAGAATGCTAGTCACAAGGTGTCTAAAGTACGTACACGACATATACCCTGCGTCAGTGTCTGAGAGTTATATTACCGAACTTCCCTTAAACTAGCTTCTTCCCCCCACGTGTAGATGCGCCGTGTGTATACGCGAACCTATTGAACCCCATTTCCTTGATAAAGACGCCTACTTCATGTCCATCTGTCAACCCGCCCACCTGCTGTCGAGCACAGCGTACCCACGAGTGATTCCTTTCGGCTTGCCGTCCCGAGGTCAGATATTTAATTGGATGAAGAACCAGAAGACAGTTATTTCTCCTGCCACCTCGTAAAACTGGCCCCTCAAGAAAAATGTCCCGCACAGTGTCAGACATACAACAAGCAGAGTTACAGGACAATGACCGATTCAGTCCTGGCAGGGAAGTCTTCTTCTTCTCCTGTACCGGAGACGTGGAGTACGCGACCATCCAGAGGAGCAGCCGCCTTCCAGACGTACCTCATTTAATTCTACATCCATTTAAGCACGACTTACATATTGCCACCCCGCAGGGTACCAAGGTCCTAACGCTTAAAATCAGAGGGTCACAGAGGACCGCGACACTACCGTAAGCGCCTCGTGTTTCCCTTCGGCCGATACCTGAAACGTTCTCCCAGAGCCGCAGGAGTAACACCAGTCATGCCTTAAAAGGCACTAACAATAACTCACGTTGCGTTTTTCTGCCCTAATCGGTGGTTGTTCCTCCAAAATGGTTTTATGGAAATTATCCTGAGAGTGGTTGAATGGGACAGTACTAGTTAGCTTTAAGTACTATGCTCGGCTACAAAGAAAATATCAGATTTAAATCATTGAAAGGCCGAGTAGAAGTATAACGCAATCTATAGTAAAAAGCGTTTTCTGGGTCAAGCATAGCAGCGTAGCTAAGGCCAGGCTGAACGAGATGTATTTCCCCAGATGGGGGGTGCCCAGAGCTTAAAGGAAGAAAGCTACAAAGATGGTATGGATTATTCTCTCTTTCCTTCCAACGGCCGGCTGCCTACAATCACCATCACAGAACGGGAAAATGGGTTTCTAAATAAGGCGGTGTTCTACGCCACACTCTCAAAAGCTTACATCATATGGTATCATCAGCTCATGGAGACCCACAAGTTTCAGATCAATTGAGTTTTGGAAGATAAGTCTGTCTCAGGTTTGAATATTGTGGGGTAAATGAGATCTGTGCCCAAGGGCCTACTGGTAAAACCAAATCCCACAGCTGGCTACGTATGCTACGGCCTTTGAATTCGACGCACGTACCAAGCTGAATTATGTCGTCACTTAGTGAGTAGACGACTCTTCCTAAAACCCCATCTTTCACAACACCACAATTGTAACCATGGACCTGAGCTTACCCAGCCTCCAAAAATTAGCCCGACCAGAGAACCACAAGAATCATGAACGCGTAGCCACGAGGGTTAAGCCGGCCCTCCATAATCCCGTTGCATCTGAAATGCCCGATGCGCGCGAGAAGCACTGGCAGCGCCTGCACGATACGGGCGTCCGCCCCGATGTGACTCCCGCCCCTACCCAACACGCGAAAGTTCAAGCGGACGTAGGTCAGGACGGTCGCCGTAAGTGGCGTCATTTTTCGTTCTACAGTATAAGTATATCAACAGATGAATTCCTCTTTTCTCTTGGAGATAATACTCGAGCAGTGCAAGTCGGCACAAGTGAGGGCGAACCGGCGCGCTAGCGGGTCACAGAAGCTTCTTGAAAAGTGAGTCCTTTTCACGTTACCTACTTAATATCAAGGGCTGACCGCCGATTGTGCCATCTTCACCACAAAGGTATCACAAAAGGGAAATTATTTAACAGTGCAGAGAAGACGTTTTGAACTTGAAGGCCGTGACAGCACTCCCAGGTCATCGAACCTTATGTTTCCCGTTCACCCTATGGGCGCTTGTAGCCGCATCTGCTGCAAAGAATCTTCCTTCCAGTACTTAGCTTTATTGTCGCCTCTACATTGTAAATTCACATCGTTCTTGCCATCGGCCCGGTTAAGCCGCCGCATCAACGTTTCAGCTTCAAACTTCAAGCTTCAAACTTCAAGCTTCAGTTCAACGCAAACGCCTGCCAGTGCTGCCACAAACGTTCACGCCAAATACCTACTTAGTACACCCGAAGACTTTGTACGTGCGAAATGCGCATTATGAACTCCAAGTGACGTCAATAGTGGCACAGGTGTGTCCAATCCAGTGGGAATCCGAAAGTTTCTACAGCTCAACAAGTTTTATCTTGTCTTGGGATTGATTCTAGCCATGATATACGACAAGAATCCTCCTTACCCGCACTATGACCACCTCCCATACGCTCGCGAGCCATGGAAGTCAATATATGTCTTCCAAAGGTTGCTCACGACACTGCTTTTGGTTCCATTCTGGGTGCTCTACTACACCGTAATTCCCCACAGTTATCGCCCTCGACCGTCTTGGAACCTTCGCCAAATCATCAATGTCAAATTTACGCGGAGGATCTTCAAGGTTACGGAGGTGGCAGGTGTTACATGGGGCACGCGCGATCCCGCACTTGCGCCGGATGAGACGAGTCTGAGGGAAACCCGGTTCGAGTGGGCGGAGCCGTTGAAGGAGGTGTGGAGAACGGGGATTGTTGATGGTTGCGTGCCGTTCAAGCGAGTTGGCTGTTATGTGTGGAGAAAGAGCTTGGGCATGGACTTGGAGTCAGGCTCGGGCATTCCGCTCGTTGGCATTTTCATGCATGGAGGAGGATACTGTCATATGTCGGCGCATGAATCAAGCAAGACATCTAAAATACCCCGTAATTTACTCAAGGTATGTGTTTTGAGTGCGCTGTTTCGTTGCGGTGGCTTATCGCACCTCCAGAGGGGCATTCTGCACGAAATCTATTCGGTGGAATATCGACTGCTGCAACATGCACCGTTTCCAGCCGTTGTACAGGATGCTGCCGTAGTGTATGCCCACGTTATAGAGCAGTACCGGAGCAAGGGAAAGAAATGCAAGATTGTCCTCATCGGAGACAGCTCCGGCGGGAATCTTGTTCTCTCCCTCGCCCGTTGGCTAAGGGACGAAGCCCACCTCCCTGTACCAGATGGCCTTCTCTTATTATCCGTAGGTTCGCTTAGTGGATGTCGCCGACTCGGATTAACGCATCACTTAGCCCTCCTGTGACACATCCCACTCGCTCCCAGAAACATTGTCGTCATATATTCCTCGTCCAAACAACGACAGCGACTATCTCGTCGACACTCCTGAGCCACGAGCCCTTCTCCAGAGAACGTTCCTAGGATTCACGTCGCGTCGGAACGCAGACGACGACCGCCGTCTCATGGAAATTGTTCACTCCGAATACGTCTCACCGTGTTCGCCTATCGTGCTCAAACGCTGGGGACACGAGGCGAAGCAGGACCCAGAGGGCGAGTTCGAGGAGCACTTCGTGCGGGACGTCTTCAAGCGACTCCCGACGGACCTCAAGCGAACGCGCGCACCGTCGGTTCTCGACACCGCAGTCGTCTTGCCGAAAGAAGGACCCACCGTGGTCCTTCCACCCGCGATGTCCACCAACGAGCTGACGAACATGCTCCCACAGGCCATGTCCGCCAGCACGAGCCAGGACAGCAGCAAGACGGTCGCCTCCCCTGGTACACACCCCAATCCGTACAAGGCATCCTCGCGGTTCGCGACCCTCTTCGCCGAGTTTCCACGGAGCCTTGTCGTGTGCGGCGATGCAGAGCGGCTCGTAAGGGAGGTACGCTCGCTTATCTACGCGATGGACAAGGACGGCGTCGAGCTTGAGGTGTGCTGGGCGAGGGATGCGTGCCACGATGTGTTGATCCAAAGCGAGTGGTGGTGGGACCGCCAGGTTCTCGAGGAGGTCTGGGGAAGGATTGGTAAGTGGGCAGAGAGTTTCAGCGAACATGGACCGCCGCGCGCAACTTCAGGGACCGATGAACAGGAGACCGAAGGACGATTGGTCGATGTAGACGTTTGAAATATCTCCTTATTTATAGAAAGGTGACTAGTCCATGAGGCTTATTGGAGAACAGGTACTGAATGACTTGACAAGTGTAAAAGACGTTATCGATTATCATTGTTTCTCAAACATGAATATCTTCAGCTGCAGTTTCCTCCGCTTTTTGCTTCGCCGTTCCCCTCGCCTTGTGATCTAACAAGAGGAGGGTGGTAAGCTTTGACTCAGGATCGTTCTCGACTTACTCATCCTAACACTGTGATAATTCTTCCCCGCCGTATTGTCCCATTTGTTTCCTGGTTCGTCGCGCTGATGTCCGCCCATCTCATACCGCTCGAACGCCTCGTCGTTGCGGAACATGTTGTACTCTGATCCACCTCGTTCTTCGCTTTCTCGTTGGATACATTGCTTGTGCTTATGTGGCTCTGGTTCTGAGCAGACACTGGTCAATAGAATAATTTTATCCAGGGAGGAGCACCTTTGGATTTCTTAAGATCATGTAGGCGTGCTTCAGCAATTTGCTTCTCCATTCCAGAGGGCCCGCGACTGTTAATGATTTCCTCGAAGGAAGCAATCGCCTCCTGTTCCTTGGGAGTAAATTTCTGGCCGTCTGAAGCAGAAGTCAAATGGTTGACTACGCAATATTGAGAAGCGAGGTGCATTACTGACTTTCTGACATCGCGAAACTCAGAGAATGGGTTGGACTAGACGAAGTATCGTGCCTGAATTCTGGAAGAGAGGAATGTAAATGTATTTTATGAACAATTATATCATAGGCATGTAATTTTCTGGCATCCGACAAACAGATGGTGACGTCTCTCAAGATGTCATTTAGAAGCCTCATTTAGAAGCCTCATTTTGTTTCACAGTCTTTCACTCCAAACTGTACGCTCGGCTTGGGAGGAGGAGAGGACAAGCGTTTCAATTCTTTGAAGGTGGAGTATCTCAATGCAATCTATGACTCAAGAGACCTCTCGTTGTATCTAAATCTCCAACGACTCGGAGAAGAACCCCTTCAGGTAAAGATGGCAGTGCGCAGGGTGGCGCATACCGGCCCGATGGCCCGACGACCACAGCCAACCTCGATTTTCACGAGAATCTTTCACGCTACACTGGGAAATAAATGGCATTTTATGAGGCGTATATGTACATATCATAGTATAATATTATAAATATTCCAACAAAAAATAATTCTTTGCTATCGTGCTCTAAGATCCCCTTGGCGTTCTGCTTCGCTTCTTCCGACACGTTTGGATCTAAATTTAACATGGTCAGAAAATCTGCCCCAAAAAAGCCGCGACAGCGAGAAAAATGCAATAACTTTTCAAGGTGGCCTTGTGTCCACCCATGACGTTGCCCTTGTTCTTTTCCGCCGTGATCTCATCAACTTGCTCCCCGGGGCCTATAGCGAAGAATGAGATCAGACAGAGCTGCTTGGAGGGATGCTTTGCCGGCTTACTGTTGCTCTCAGCTTCGACTTCGCCTTGAATACCTTCAAGTTTCTCCTGTGCACGCTCCTTGGTCTCCTCGGAAAAATCAGGGTTGTGGATGGCGGCCTTATAGCCTGCAGCGATGCGGGGGCCCTTTAGTCGACACTCAGGCGCAGAACGAGTTGACAATACCTACTGGGATCAGACTCGGAAGACGTCTTTTGAGAGTGGTGTAATTGCAGTTGGGTTATATAAATGGATGTAGGATTTTGCCTTTCCAAAGCACGAAGGGTATTTCTTATATCCTTTCTCATCTGTCAGGGTCGCCGTTGAAATCGAACACAGGGGAAGGAGGCAATTGATTTTCCCAGCACAAAGGGGAATAAATCAGTCCTATTTACGTCGAGAAGACGTCATTGAATTATCCTGAAGTCGTCACTATGACGCGCTGTCCGACAAGGTCGACGTTCTACAGTGGGGTTCTGATAACTTACGCCGAGGTTCATCATGACTCAACGACTACGAAATATGCTTTTTGTGCTATTACTACGAGCTAGGTACTAGACTCTTCCTGTTGCGAGTTCGTGAAGAATGGGTAGACGCTGACGCCATCGGTGTGGGCGCAAAAGGAATATGCCTCGTGGGACTGGTTGCTCTTGTGCCCCGCCATCTATGATTGCCCCATCCGATTTGACGGTGACCGCAGCTAAAGTTCAGTAAAGATGAGAGTTAAGTATGTGCACACTATATCTCTTGCGCCTTTCGCATTTCCAACCCCGGCTCGCACTGCTCAGGCATTACTTAGCTATCAAGAAGCAATGATTGGTATTTGAAGGAGAGCCCGATCGAGCCCTCTGTCATGTGAAGCGGAGCAATGTGACTGGTTGACGATGCCGGACTGAACCACCGGGCGCTTCGGAGGCGCGCCACATGAGTACGTGAAGCGCCTTTGCACTGCCACCAGTCTTCTCGGCGTTGTGGCATTTCACGATATGCTCGACTATGGACCTCTTTACATATTCATCACGATAAGTATCTTTCCGATGGCAGGATAATCGAGGTGAAGAAGATTCGTATTTTATACATAGGGCATATGTACATATTGTTTCAATTTAACCATAAAGTAATTAGCCGAGGGGACTGTGGTCAAGAATGCATGCAGGTATGTACAATGAACGAATCAATGCGATAAGAGAGACAATGTAGTGACGATAGCAAGAGAAAAGCTGGGACGATAACAAGAGGAAAGCAATGAACAAAGCAATGAGCAGAGCAAAAGAACAGCAATCTGATAGCAAGAACAAAGAACAAAAATAAGTTAATAACCTTTAAGCCGTCGCAGGGATTGCAGACGACGTTGATGACGATGACGAGGGCTGCGCAACAGGCTCAGACTCAATCATCGTCTGCGGATTGCCAGTGGCAATCGCGAGCGCAGTGAGGAGAACTTGCCACATGGCGTCCATGCACTCCCACAGCTGCTCGTCAAACACACCCAGCGTGCACGCGTTCTGCCACAGCCCATGCACCATCACCGTGTGCTTCACGAGGGCCTGCACCGTGAACGTCTCCGCCAGCTGGGACGCGAACGGCACGACTCCGTGCACGGAGTCCTCGAGGAACGTCTGGGGAGCGGGCATGGGTAGGAGGCTCTTCATCAGACCCTCGACGTTCTTGTTGTACAGGTATATCGAGAGCTGGGGGTACGTCGCGGGTGAAGGTAGGCGCAAGGCCCAGACGGGGAGGGTGACCTCTTGTTCCCCAGAGACGTGCTCCGGGACGGGTAAAGCGGGAGGGAATTGGGGAAGGTGTGCGCAATGTGCGGCGAGGACGAGGCTATGGGCGGGGTAGAGGGTGACCTTGCATGGCCCCGGGTTGAGTTTGGTCTTGGTGCCGTAGATGGCAAGCATGTGAGTTGGAAGGACGGTGGTCATGTCGTTGACGACAACAGCGAGCTCTTTGGGAAGGCTGTTGGGTGGGGGGCTGGCCTTGATGGAGGATAACGATTGAAGGAGCCTAAAGAGAAATGAGCAATGTAACTCTGTAGTCAAAGGGAAAAGGACGCACTCAGGGGCCAAACCCTGCAAACTGTCACGAAGGTACTCCAAGTCGGTCTCTCCGAGACCAGGCGCAATGGCGGTGATAGTTTCAGGTGCGATTTCCTTGAGCTCGGGACGAGCGAGTTCTTTGGGGAAACCGACGGTAAATGTCCTCGACGGAGCAGGGCGGGCATCGACCATCTCCACGTCTGTTGTCGCAGTCGGGATGGTTGGAATAGTGGTAACCTTGAACCTGACGGAGGGTTTGCTCTTCGCTCCGCGGACCTTCTTCGTGTGTTTGAGCATAGACTTGCTGGGTCGGTTCGCCATTCCGCTGGTGCGGAGGCGGCGGGAACCCAGCGAGCTGGTCAGGCGGGTGACGAGGGCTTTTGAACCCATAGGAGGCGGGGAGGCGGTTGCGTTCAAGTTGTTGGGTCTGAGAACCATGGGCGAAATCGTTGGAGGTGCGGGAGACTTTGGGTTCAGAGGCGGGGATGTTGACGCTGCTGGAGGGAAGAAACGGTTGCAAGCATTTTATACATTACCGAGCTACAAAGCGCAACTGCCAATCCAACTAGCAGTATATCACACAACTGCAGCTTTTGCCTTATAAAGAAAGTGATGGCAAGGTCACTAGGCCGGGAAAGGGAATTTCGCCTCATTGCACAGTCTGATTGGTCCAATCTGTCACCGGAACATTGGACTCGCATCAACACCTGAGATCCCTTTATGGAGAATGCTTGTGGGTCTCTAGAGACACAAAAACAAAGACAGGAGCCATGCATAGAGGGTAGCCCATTATCCAAATGGATTTGTTGATTGCGACAACAAAGGAGAAAGAATGAACAAGCCCAGCGCAACCGCTTCACCAAGTCACCATCCCAGCGATTCAAGGTAATCGTCGCATGAAGAACAATGGTCCAGGTCAGGAGTGATAAATCCGATAATGGAAGAAACACCCCAATCGAGGATATCGGAGCCACATGGCCATTGGGAACCAGTTTTGTGCATAACCTGTCAGCAGAAGGTATGACGAGTACGACGCCAAAGGTCCGAAAGAGTAGCTCGAGAATGCAGAGAAGAGCACAGGAGGCATTAGTCAACGAGAAGCCGTGCAGATACGGCGGAGATCACCACGCATCTTGCCAATAGAGCAATTGTTCGACCCGTTTGAGTCAGAACATTTGCACATCTTGAGCCCCAGAGTCGAATAATGCACCATGTTCAAATCCTGCGAGCTGAAAATGGCCAGAAAAGCGTGCAATGGAGCTATCCAAGAATACACCAGGAGCGAAGTGCAGAGGGTGTCGGGCCACTCGAGTCCGAAGGTCAGGCGCAATGTGCAAAATTCGCAAAATTCCGCCTAAGAGGCCCTTTTCCGTGAACGTACAATGAGGCTAGTAGACGGGTATCAGAGCAGATTTCCCCTAAATACTACGCGTACGTCGGCATTCATTGTAGGCGCTTCCAAATACCTGGTGGTCGGTAGGAGATTAGGAGCTCGACGCGATGGTGGCACGATAGTTAAAAAGTTCTGGCGAGAAGCCTTCGAGTGCACCAGCATGAAAGGTGCACGCGTTCAGTATACGTATGCACCTCGTAGTCCCAAGCACATCGCAGAGAAGCAGACCTCAGCGACGAGAGCTCAACGCTGCATCGCATGCGAGGAGTGCCACCGCGACTGAGGGAGGTCATGGAAGTAAGAGACAAGAGGCGAACCGCTGGCACCTACCTTTCTCAGCGCGCACGGGGTGCGAACATGCTCAAGAATTTGATTCAGGGCTTGGGCCACAATCGTCGAACAATGCGGGCGCGCAGAGACGCGGGAAATTTTTCGATCTCCGCTCATTATGGCTCAGAGGTCACGCGTTTGTCAGGTGATTTGAGTGAGTCGCGTTAGTTGCGTCTGTTTGTTGAAGGATCAGATAAGCCTCAGATGAAAGTCGAGAACGAAGGCTTTAGCCACCCAACGGCGAACATGAATACGAACACTCAAGAAGATCGAGCGAACCCGCCCTTCAGATCTATAAACGACTCAGATGTTCACACGAAAGGTGTTGCACTGGTCTCTTTGTTGACAACGACAGCGACAGGTGGTCCTTGGTGAAGGTCCCATTGACGCGTTTCGTTGTAGGTGCGATTAAAACTTGTGAGTTTGAACCTTCTATGTTTCAATCATTGATTCTGCAATAGGCATTTAGTACTCTCGTCGGGGGCTCGATGGCAGGAATGGACGCCCAATTTAAGGACTCGGAATACGTGCGGGAGGCAGGCAGGAGATACGAGAGAGGGGTCGAGGGGTCGAGGGAAGATGTATGATACTCAAGTGGAACATTACCTGCATGAGAGGTGGGTTTCGTTAAATTTTGCCCTGCAACTCGTCTCGCCTTTCTTGCGGATAAAACTATTTGGAAACCCCCCTTTCCACGGAAACCCTGGGTTTCTTGTCATTGATGTAGAAACCCCCCACATTTGTCCTTCCATCAAAAGCTTGCGCATGTTTGGCTTTCCGGAGGCGCGGCCGGCGATGTGGGAGGCGCTCAGAAGCGCCTCAAGCGCCTTTTGACGCTGGCGTCCATTACTTATGCAAAGGCATTGAGCCTACGGAAGGCGAGAACCTTCAGCTCAGGTATGTCAATCAAAGCAGTTCACGTGGAATGGGTCCCCACAATCCCTGAACACTGCAGGCTGACAGAACTGGCAGGAGGCGCCGAGGCGAGAGCTATGTCTTACTAGTGTCCGAGTCCAGCGCCGGTTAGGCACTCCCAAGACACGAGGACGAGTGAACTTTGCTGGGTGCTCTACATAATAAATTCTTAAATAGTGCTCTAGTGTTATGTTTGTGTGAATCTTTCATCATGGTGGGCTTAAATAACTTCTTCCGAGCAGCTTGGGAGACGAGTGGGCCTTTACTCTCTGAGTGTTCAGAGATCTACTGAGATACAGACTCTTTCTACAGATTACTCAAGCATTAGAGCAAGCAATGTATGATGGTGTCGCTCATTGTCCCTTTATTGTCTATCAAGCCCTCCTGTGCCGACGTTGCAAATGATGCCCGCCTCGCCTCACGAGTGCTTCCCAAACCAATTGCGCCCCGTGCGTCTCACACTTTAAGCTCAAAATATCTACCAACCTTCTTTCATACAGCTAATTCTGGTATGGATTTACTACAGGGCGTAAAAGCTGGAGGGAAGGGGAGTAACAGCTCAAACAACGTCGACTTGGGAAAAGCTGACGACACCATGGACGGTGCATGGTGCCATATTTGGTCGACATCACCGGACAGGCACGATCATTCATGCGGGTTTCCGAACAAGTTATTTGGAAATCCAGGGTTTCTGCTGGAAAGGGGGGTTTCCAAATAGTTTTATCCCTTTCTTGCAGGCGCTTAACAACATGGGTCACTCGCAAACCATTCATGAGCTGTCTGGGGCCTGAAATCCGGTTGGAAGTACTAGAAAGCCTCCACGCCTGTCTTATCGTGCACGTAGCCTCCTGCTTCGAGCTCCAGTCGCGAAGGAATGAGGCTGTTGTACTCCGGTCACCATCCTACGCACACCATTTCGAGTGCACTGCTGAGGCCGCTGCCAGCTCACACACTCTTTTCTCCTCTCACCCATTCACGCAGCTACGCCATCTACTTCAACGTTGTACCGTCCTCCCTTAGAAGACACCCGAATAATGGATTCCTCAGACCACAGCCGCTCCCCAACGTTTATCGATGCAAGCCAGTCCCATTGTACACTCAGTGCCACATACTTAAACCAGTGGAATGAGCGACCTGCAATGTTGCGAGAAGGTATGCAAATGACCTTTCCACCATCGACCATTCAACATTCGAGAGATGTCGCGAGAGCTGCGCCCTCCTCGCGAGCGTCTCCCTTCCACCAGCCCAGGACAAGAAGAAGACCACTGACACGACAGGACTTGGCTGCTGCAATGGCATACCAATTCGCCCTCATGCTTCCGGTTCTCCGTCCCTTCACTGAAGCAATCAGGGACAAGAAGAGGGATGCTGAAGCACGATAGCGAGTGGTAGCGACAATCGCTCAACAAATGGCACTCGCGCTTCGCTTGCCCCTTCATCGAGGGAGCCATCGAGTACGATCCCGCTGTGTTCAGCAAGTCTTCTCTCAAATATCAAATCCAGAGGCTGATTCAAGAGCCAACACTGCAATAGCAAGTTTGCACCAATTGCCCTCGGTACTCGTACTGGATGGGCTCGACCCAAGCAAAGAGTGGCATCGGCTCTCCCACAGCATGGCAGTTACTCAAGGAGTCAACCTGTATTAGCTTTTTTTTTTTTTAGCTCACGTTGAGAGTGGTGTGCTGAGTGCTAGTACGACGGGCCGTTTGTGGTGTTGCATCCTTGTCCCGTCGTACTCCAATGCACAGATCTATCCGTTCTCCAAAGCGTCTTCGAGAGCCACTTCGACGAGCCTCTGAACCCGCCATGGCAAGTTTGGAGCAATCGACCGACTTTTTTTTAGTTTGAGGGTCGGTATTCACAAAGCATACTGCCAGAGCGGAGGGAGAGATACATACTTACGATACCAACCTCCCGAAATAGCGTATCAGGATCTCCCAACATATTGATGGACCGACGCGACGAGTTGCACCTACAATTAAAAGCCTCTGGGAGACACATTTCAGCTCGTGAGGCATCGGGCATCGTCTTGAATCCTTTATTTCTGCTCCCACCTTTCCTACTTCATTTCTATAGCCTTTGTCATATTCTTTTGGTTTCTTGTTTCTGTATCTGTTAAGTAAACAAATCTCTATGTAGAGTAAGTAGAACTCTCGTTCCGGCTCCGGCTTGAGTATAGGAACGCCAACGCCACCGTTAAATTCCCTTGATCTATGTACAAGTCGAATCCCGGTGCCAAGGCCTCTATTGATATCCTCCGAGGTTTCAATTAAAGGCTCCCATCTGAATCGGCGTTGGTGCCAGGCCTCGGCGTCAATCATAATCAATCCTCGTCGCCCGGACGGTTCGAAAAGAACTCTTTCTTCCACCAAGAGAAGGAGCCCAACCTACCGCAGTGCTAGCTTGGACGAGGTGCATTGACAACCCCCAGGGCCAGGTTCGCTGGGTGAACTCAAAGATGAAGGATGAAGCTAGGGCTCCCTTCCTGTCATGTCAGTTCGGATTCGTGCGAGGTAGAGTAAGTACGTCACTGAGGTGGACGTAGAGCTACCTGCGTTCCATGAGGTTGGAGGTTGGAGGTTGATCGTGGCGTTCAACCTTCGCCTCGTTGGGGTTGAGATAAAGTGATATATCATATACTTACTTCCAACCTACCAACCCCGGGTCAAAGTCCAAGCCCGAGCCCGATCCAGTTCGGATGGAGTGATCGGAGAGAGAGACGACGCCAGGCCGGACATCCTCCGGGAGGGAGGCAGGCAGGTATGCCAGTAACTTGTTGTTGTTGTCATATCACTGATCATAGTGAGAGTGAGAGTTTGTATAAGCCGGCGGGTAGATGCAAGAGGCCGCGGAAGGAAGGAAGGAAGCCGCTTCGAGTGTTTTCATGTCCTAGTTTTGATCTGTGGACCGCGGCAAGTAGTACGGGAGTAGTGCGAGAGTAGTGCGAGAGTCTGAGCGTTAGTGCGCCGGCGGCGTCGCTCGGTATCGTCAAGGTTAGATGGCACTCGACGGCCCCGGGTTGAACGTTGGGCGTTGGGCGTTGGGCGGTGACGGTGAGGTGGCGGAGCCGTGCATGAGGTGACGACTCGGGGGTGAGGTTGAGGCAAAGTCACGGTGAGGGCCGCCACTTGCGTGCATGGGTGCGTGCGGGTGAGAGTCTGAGATCTGATGGTGCGTGCGGAGGGAAAGGTTCGAAGAATCATCAGTATCGGTATAGATAGAGGGGGGGGGGCATTCGAGTGACGCACGCACCGTGGACCAGAGCAGGATCTTCAATCCAGATACATATCCTCAAGTTCTTGCTCGAGGACCGTTGGATGTTGTTGAAGAGGCCATCCTCGTACTGCTCCCGCCCTCATTCCCAAAATTCGATGATCGGCGTGGCGTCCGGCACGATCAGTGGTAAGTGCACGATCGACGGTGCCTAAGTACTATCTATCGAAACCAAGCCAAGCACACGATCGACGGTACCTACTGTACTATCGAAACCAAGCCAAACACGCCAAGCGAGGAGCGAACAAGGGCGCCTCTGCCTGGCTTGGCTTGCATGTTCTGATGCCGCGAAGCCTCGATGGACAGATGGACAGATGGACGGATGGGTAGATGGGCAGATGGACGCATGAGAAAATGGTGGGATGAACTGGACAGCGAGTGAGTTGAGCCTGGCTATGGGCTAATTTTGGAACTGTGCGGAGGACTTCGCGGCTCGTTCATAGGGAGGGGTGGAGGTGGGATGGGAGGTGGGAGGTGGAAGAGGGGAGGCCAGAGTGAGAGACGGCGGGATGGGAGGAAGCCTGAAGGCGCGGAAGGAGGAAGGAAGGGGGGGCGGAGGGGCGGGATAGTACTTACGCAGCGATAATGAAAACCTCCGAGGACATTATGATTTAGGAGGGGTGCCTGGCCAGGTGAGCTGATGAGGGAGGGAGGATCGCATCGCAGTACTAGTATTCCAGCCCACCATCGACATCGACGGACGGCGGCGTCTGTCTGTCCTCCACCTGCTAGCGCTGGCGCTGGCGCTATGCACGGGCGAATCCGCATCCGCACCTCGCACCTTCACCCTAGTCCTCGTTTCGTTCCAGGCAAGGCGGAGAGACTCAGACAGGCACCTTCAGGCTCAGGGCGATCGGATTCGGTGCATAATTCCCCTCCCAAAAAAAATAGCCCAAAATGCGAGGAATGCATACATAAGACCGGACGCGTTGTTGAGTGCTGTCTCACCTTTCCTTTGTGCGTTGCGTTGCAGAGCGTCGCGACCAACTCGCCTCCGTTCCTTCGACGTATCATTCCTTGCCCGCCCCATCCCACTGACGTTCCTTCCTCGCTTCTCTCCTTCGCCTTACTTCCGATTCCTGCGCTGCTTCTTTCCTTCGTTCCAAGTTGCCGGTCCCTCCCTCGTTATATCTGTCCAGTGTCCTCCATTTCTCCTCCCTCCTTCCCGTCAGAGCAGAGCAGAGCAGAAGCACAACATGCCTCCCCCCCCCGCCCCCGCCCCGACTGACCCTCACCCCGCCCTCCGACTCACTCGTCTTTGCAGGTGCGATTGCCAGTGCGTCCCCGCCTACATCGGAGTTCGAGTGTGTACAAGTTCAAGTCGAAGCTGATGCTGATGCGCGAGGAAGCCGCGTGATCGGCTCGGCTCTCTCCCTTCAAGTTCCTCTTCCTCTTTCACCTCCATCATCGTCGCCTTCGCCTGGCACGAACGCTGAAGCACCACCACACACGCCCCTGACGCCGCCTCTGACACCTACCACACCCCCCGCCGTGCTGACGAACGGCGCAGTGCATGAAGCATCTGAAGTGCAACTGCAACTCAGAGTCCAAGGCGATCCTTACCCCCGAACCCCAGACGAGCGCGATTCGTACCTCCGTGACGGCCTCCACCAGCACCAGCACGCCGGAACCGATCCGTACCACCGATACCAGCACGGGCACGGGCACGAGGGGGCGTCAAGTGCGAGCGCCCCGTTTAGCTCTGGCTCTGACTCTGAGCCCGAACGAAGTCGGACCGGCCCAGCTCTGTCACTGTCAGTGTCTTCCTCCCTTTCACTTCCACTTCCACCCACCGCCGGCTCCTCCGCGGCTCCTACTTCCACATCCGCGCACACTTATATTATTGACATCGACATCGACACTTTCAGCAACGACAACGCCAACGACAGCGACAACATCCGTTCGGCCAGCCGCCCTCCCTCTAACACCACCTCCGCCTCCGTCAACGCCAACGCCGTCAGCCCACCATCGCCCTCACCCTCGCCCTCACCCTCACCCTCACACTCACACTCGCCATCCCTCCGCTCACCCTCGACGACTCCGCGCCCCGCCAAGCAGAAGCACACCTCGCCTACGCCTACGCCTACGCCTACCCTCGAGCTGGACACGATCGCACTTGATCCCCCTCCTCCTCCTACCCACATTCAGATCCACGGTCCGCCGCCCGCTGCCGACTACCCTCACGCCCACGCCCACGCTGAAGTCGGAGGTATGCTTGGGGAGGCTGTCACTTGGAGGAGAGACGTGGATACTTCGAGGAGAGAGACGGTGGATAGCACGCAGTGGCAGTGGAAGGAGCGAGCCGAGCGGGGTGAGAGGGACAAGGACAGGGAGGCGAACAGGGTGCCCCGCCCAACACCCACCACCACCACCACCACCGTCGCAGGCCGCGCCCTCCGAGTGAACACCCTCCAGAAGAGGGAGCGGGTGTACCACCACCCCAGTGCCGATGCGCATGAGCTGAGCCCGCTTGCATACCCAGGTCCTTCCTCGTACCCATCTTCCTCGTCTTTGTTCGCCGTGCACCACCACCACGCCTCGTCCTCCTCGACACCGAGCTCGTCAGCCGCCCACGTAGGATGTTCGTTGGGGTCGGGGTCGGCATCGTACCCGCCCTACTCGGGGTTGGGGTCGGGGTCGGGGTCTCGTCTCACCCACCAGCACCAGCACTACCAACGTCATCACCAACATTCAAGTAGACTGCCCGCCTCGTCGTCCGACCCGCTCTCAGACTTGGCGTTTCACGACTACGACTACGACTACGACTGTGATCCCTCCTCGTCCTCCTACGATCCGTCTTACGAACTTGAGCTTGAGCACACCCACGCCATCGCCTACGGAGACCCTCATTCATCCTCCCCCTCCAAGTCCCGCTTCCGCCTGCGCGACACCTACCCGCTCCCTCGCGCGCTCCGGCGCGTCTCTACATTCATCTCTTCCTTCCCGTTAGTGCACAGGATCGGCCGTCGGATACGCGCCCTCCTCCATCGAGCACACCCTCCCTTCGCCCGGCCCATACCCTCCCTTTCCCTCTCCCTCTCCCGCTTCTCGCTCGTCGAATACGCACCCGCCTCACCTCCCCCACCCCCACTCTCACAGCTCCAGGTCCAGGCCCCGCACCCTACCTCGCGCTCTACTTTTCACTCAACCTCGCCCTGACGCTGTACAACAAAGCGGTGCTGGTCCGCTTCCCGTTCCCGTATACCCTCACGGCGCTGCATGCGCTGTGCGGGAGCGTGGGGACGGGGGGTGGG